ATCCTTCATCTTGTTTCTCCATATGTGATAGTTGGAGCCATTCAGACTTATCATCTTGCTTGTTTTTGCCTCCATTTGGAAGTGGCTCTGATACCACTTGTTGGGCGCAGCGGGTGAGAATAGCGGGTAAATATATTGCACTAAGAAATCACACGCTTGTAAGAAGTTCACAAATAAGTTGGACCTGGTGGCAGAGCCTCCAGAATTACGGTAACCAAATTACTTAGATCAATTTACTTCGGTAATTTAATAATGCAATATACTACGACTATTCTCAAAATAACAACAAGCATAGATAATAATAAATGACACCGAGGATTTACGTGGTATACCCTGATTTTGGGCCAGTCCACGGGAACAGCAACTCCGGAGTATTTCTCTACTATAACAATGGTAGGTTACAGAGATTTTCTAGATACAAGAAATAGAACACACGGTGTTTCCCAAACAACCTCACTATTTCACTCACAAGGAAATCTCCTATCTACCCGTGGTAGTGAAAACGTTTCACTACCAAAACCCACAAAAGAAATACGAACAGAAGCATAGCAAAGGAAATGGAGAAGGATGGAATGGTAAGGGATGATTGAAATGAGGCAAATGCCTCTGCATTTTATAGCCAGGGAAGAGGGGAAGGGAATTGAATTCCCATCTGCTAACTCACCTCCCCAACTGCATTTTTGGGTGCTTTAATATTTGTTGAATTTTTTTTTATAATTATCAAATTGCTGGCTCTTGCTCCACCACATGTAGCCGGGCCAACAATTCTACCCCGCCTGACTACATGGGCGACTTCATCATCCCTGCAGCTGATCGACAGAACTCAAACTTTTCTCTTGGAAGAGTCTTGGTACACATGTCAGATCCATTTTCGTCAGTATGGATCTTCTCTAGTTGTAACTGCTTCATTTCAAGCACATCTCGTATCCAGTGATATCGAACATCAATATGTTTTGATCGAGCATGAAATGATGCATTCTTCGCAAGATGAATAGCACTTTGACTGTCACAGAACAGCTGCGGTTGTTCCTGTAGGAACCCAAGTTCATTCATGAACTTCTTCATCCATATCATCTCCTTGCATGCTTCCGTTACTGCTATATACTCAGCTTCTGTTGTGGAAAGAGCTACACACTTTTGTAGCCTTGACTGCCACGATATTGCTCCCCCTGATAAGGTAATCAGGTACCCAGAAGTGGACCTCCTCGAATCAACATCACCTGCCATGTCAGCATCTGTATAGCCAACAAGGACAGGTTCACCATCTCCAAAACATAGACTCATTTTGGAGCTACCTCAAAGGTATCTAAGGATCCACTTCACAGCTTCCCAATGTTCCTTTCCTGGTTTGGAAAGAAACCGACTGACAACTCCAACTGCATGAGCAATATCTGGCCTTGTACACACCATGGCGTACATCAAACTTCCCACTGCTGAAGCATATGGAATTTTATCCACTTCCTACACCTCCCTTCTACCAGAAAGGCACCCCTGACTACTCTAGTGGGTACAAGTCCAAGATTGGTGTCATTGGCCACAAGCTTTATGTGTGTGCAAGCGGCGGACGCAATTATGCCTTTGATGCTGACACTGGAGAGTGGGAATCGAGCGGGGTTGGGTATCAAGCAGGCACTGAAACCCTGTCGTCAATGTTGAAACTCAATGTCCAGTTTGGTTCTCACCAGCCACGGCAACACGAGTGTTTTGTTGTCGTGGCTGCTGAGATCTTTCTATCTGATCACTTAGGTGCCTATGTTGCATTGGTTGATGGCGAGACGGGCTGTCGATTGCACAAGCAGAAATTACCTGAAGCATACGATGTGCGTCTTCCGGTCTGTGCTTTCCAAGTGATTGAACTAGAAGAGGAGGAGGAGGATGAGGAGCATGATGGTGACCTGCAATTGAGCAGCACATTCTGTTTTGTGTACACCACATATAATCATCTTGTAGGGCTTACAGTTTTGAGATTCTCTTTGCCACCAGCAGCAGCATCATCATCGGAGACATCTAAACAGGAGCTGCGAACATCATCAATGAATGCGAAAGCTGCTGGTGGTGGTATTCACTTGAATGTTGAAGTTCTGGAAAAGCGCCTCTATAAATATTCAGAACCATGCCCTGCTCGGTTTGATGCCTTCTTCCTCTAGGTAGGGGTGTTCAAATGGTTATCATGGTTATAACTAAACCAAATAAGGCTAAATTCCATTAACCATGGAATACAATATCATAACCAAACTATCCAAACTAATACAACAACCAAATTAACCAGATTAACCCATATAAAATCACATTATCATTGACGATGAAAATTTTCCGGTTAATGCAACAATTCGCAATTTATATAACGAATAAAACATAACAATCAACACGTAGTTATAGTTGACCCTTAACAAAAATACATGCAACTAAGACAATTATCTTACGATTAGTATAGAAGTATTCACCTAACAAAAATTTATGACAAAAGTATGGGTTAATGAATTGTTGTGTTTGTGTAAATTGACTTAGTCTCTTAGCAATTATCATAGGCTGGAAATGACATTCCTTTCAAGTTTTCATCCATCATAATGTATGAAATTTATCTAAATTAGGCGTTAATATGTTGTGGTCTACACTTTACATATACAAATATACACTATATGAGCAATATTGAGTTTTATATTTTATGAGTCTAAAAGGAATGAACGTTAACTCTTGAGTGGTTATGCAAAGTATTAAGTATGTGTATATAATTATATGTTAGATATATGACTAATTACTTAACTGGTTAACTTGGTTTAACTAGTTAGGAGTGTCTGAAACCAAACCAAACCACCTAAACCAAACAAGCTAAAAACTTTAACCAAATCAAACCAATTATCCAAATTAACCAAACCAAATTATCCAAATAGTACTGGTTAAAACGGTTACCATGATAACCAAACCGTTTGAACACCCCTACCTCTAGGGCCCCTAGTTTTTTTTTTCTTTTTCTGAGTTGACGTTGCTTGTTCAACTTGCTTTGTAGAAAGGGAAGATATGCTTTCATCTTTTGTTACTGTTATCCTTGATCCGATTAGATTAAATATTAATTAAAACCTGTAAACCACAATTATCTACATGCAACAATTTTAGTCACTAGAAAATATTAATATCAATTTTGGGGACTTTTTTCAGAAATACCACTGTTTAAAAAAAGAATTCCAAAAATAATACCCAACCCCAAAAAATTCCAAAAATACCACCTTTTTCAAAAACCGCCACCCCACCCTGCGGTTTACACGAAAATCGCTGGGTGGGGCACGGTTTTCTATGCAAACCGCGGGGCTAAGGTGCGGTTTAAAAAAAATTTTTTGGACCAAACCGTTGGGTGGGGTGGCGGTTTGGTCCAAATTTTTTTTTTCGATCAACTCGTAACTCCGGCCGAAACTTCAAACGAACGTAACTTTGCACTCGGGTATCCGATCGTAGCGATTTTTTTTATTTATTTCGCATAACTTTTCAAGATCTACAACTTTTACTAGGATGAAATACGGGACCTTGAGAATAACTTTACCTTTACTTTTCACAATCCATGTACATTTTGAAATTATGATTATATTAAAAGTTGTGGATCTTGAAAAGTTATGCGGAATAAAAAAAAAATCATGACGTTCGGATTTTGGAGCACAATGTTATGGCCGCCCAAAGTTTGACGAAAGGCGAGACCCGGCGGTTTGCGGCTTGCAAGATCTCAAAAAGTTTGCGGCCTCCATTTTTTTGAATCCGAATAACTTTTTGAGATCTTGCAAGCCGCAAACCGCCGGGTCTCGCCTTTCGTCAAACTTTGGGCGGCCATAACATTGTGCTCCAAAATCCGAATGTCATGAATTTTTTTTTATTCCGACTAAATTTTCAAGATCTACATCTTTTAACAAAATCATAATTTCAAAATGTACATGGATTTGTGAAAAGTAAAGGTAAAGTTATTCCCAAGGTCCCGTATATCCACAACTAATTCCTGTTTTGAAAATTTCATCCGGTAAAAGTTGTAGATCTCGAAAAATTATGCGAAATGAAAAAAAAAATCGCTACGATCGGATACCCGAGTGCAAAGTTACGTTCGTTTGAAGTTTCGGCCGAAGTTAGAATTTGATCTAAAAAATTTTTTTTTGGACCAAAACGCTGGGTGGGGTGGCGGTTTGGTCCAATTTTTTTTTTTATAACCGCCCCCTAGGCCCGCGGTTAGCATAGAAACCGCGTTCCCGACAAGCGGCTTTCGTGTAAACCGTAGGGTGGGGTGGCCGCTTTTGAAAAATGGTGGTATTTTTGGAATTTTTTGGGGTTGGGTGGTATTTTTTGAATTCTTTTTTTAAACAGTGGTACTTTTGGATTTTTTCCCAATTTTGGTTACTCGAATTACTAAAACAGGTCACATTTAGTCACTCTCACGTCAGCCTCCGTCCAAATCCGGTCACTTGTTACATTTTTTTTTTATGAATGTTACTCGAATTACTGAAACATGTCAGTTATTTTTCGTTAGCCTCTGTCCAACTCCATTAACAGAGTTGGACGGAAACTTACGGGAGAGTGACTAAATGTGACATGTTTCTGTAATTCGAGTGACCAAAATTGATATTCATTTTTTCTAGTGACCAAACATGACATGATTTAATAATCTTAGTGACCAAATGTGGCATTTACCCAATGAAATTCAATATGGAAGAGGCAAAGTGGGCCCACTTCAATTGGTTAGAGAGTATACAAATTATTTGTTGTATTATAAATGTTAATAGGGCCCATCATATGAAATTGAAAGTACATTTCATGAATGTAGGAAAAATGGAAATGAAGAGATGAAATCGTAAAAGGTGTATAAGTGCATAAGTCATCAAACCACCAATATAAGATAGACATCCTTGTTATTTCCAGTCCACTACAGATAACCAGATGTCGAATCATAACAATAGACGACTTGTCATTGTTGTCAACAATCAAACACATTATTTCTCTCTGATTGGTCTTATAGCAATAGCAAAGAGTCATGTGCCACCATTTCTCACGTCCTCAATAAATTCAGTTATCGAAGACGACGAAGATCCACCATCCATCAACGCCTTCCTGACACCATCGTTGAATCTCTTCAGTTTCTCCTCCCTCGAGCCATCTCTCTCCATCAACCTCCTGACGCCTCTCTCGATCTCTTTCGCCGTCACCGTTTCCCCGCTCTCGCTGCTGTAACTCATCCTGATCTCGGTGGCTACCTCGAGTTCGTTCACCAGCAGGAATGTGTTGAGCTTCTGCTCCGCGTACATCGGCCACGTCGCCATCGGCACCCCGAACCACAGGCTCTCGAGCGTCGAGTTCCAGCCGCAGTGCGACACGAACCCTCCCACAGCCCTGTGAGCCAGAATGGTCGTCTGTGGGGCCCATCCAATCACCCTCCCTACCTCCGCCGTCCGCTCGACGAACCCCTCCGGCAAAATTTCCCCGACGTCCTCGTAGTCCGTTGGGCCGGCGGCCCGAGTCCCCTCTGGACCAGGCCTGCGCAGGGACCACAGAAACCTCAGCCCACTGGCCTCCAGCCCATTGGCGATCTCTCTCACCTGTTCCTCGCGAAACGCCCCCATGCTCCCGAAGCAGAGGAACACAACCGTCGACTTCGGTTGCCGGTCAAGCCACTCAATCACCTCCTCCTTCTTCGTTCCTCCGCCGTCGGCGCCCTTCAGGTTCAGAATGGGTCCCACCGGATACACCTTGTTCCCGCCGGAGGAGGAGAGAGCATCCACCGCGCAAGATTCAAGCTCTTTCACCGAATTGACCAAAATCCCTTTAGTTCTCCTGAAATCTCTGGCGATTCTGTAGAACGATTGGATCAATTCCTTCTTCACAACGTTGTTTGGGAAAGCCCAGCGCGGAATCGGGTTCGCCCAACTCGGCACGGCCAACTCGGTCCCCTCGAACTCGGTGATGTCGAGTCCTTCCTCGCCGTCGTGCGAGGCCTGGATGTGGAGGATGAAGCCGAGGACGGAGGCAGGGGAGGTGAAGAAGATGAAAGAGGGGACGCCGAATTCGTCGGCCACGTCGATCATCGAGGTGCAGAACATGTCGAGGACGAATCCGGCGAGTCTGGCGCCGTCGGGGGAGCGCCGGACGACGGCTTCCCTGACTCGAGGCTTTTGGGTTTCAATCAGGGCGAAATCGCCGCCGCCGGCGGGGGGTGCGGCGTCGTTGGGGAGGTGGTGGAGCGTGATGCGAGGGGAAGCGGCGGGGAGTGAGTCGGTGTAGCGCGTGACGGCGGCGGCGGTGGAGGGGGTGGTGATGATTAGGAGGGAGATGGAGAGGGCGGCGTGGCGGTCGATTAGGAGGTTGGCGAGCTCGACCATGGCGGCTAGGTGGCCGGCGCCTGGGTGTGGTATGAAGATCAGCTGCATCTGCTGCTCTTTCTCTGCCATGTTAAAACGTTGGGGTTGGTGATGATGTGGAAACGCTTCCGCCGACGGCGACGGCGATTGTGGGGCTGTTGCGGCTAGCAGGGTTGTGTGAGGTATGGATAAGAATAAGAAAGATGAAATGCTTGGCCTCTGTTTTAAGAACCAAAACCACATGATTCACGACTTAATGATTAACTAGCATTAACCCTGCCCTTTGGGCAGGTAACTTTTAATTTATGTGTATATGTGTAATATGATTATCAAAGCAATAATTTTCTAAAACCACACAATTAGTTTCCATCACAAAAATAAAGGCCTAGAGACACCACGAAAAGAAAAAGAAATCTCGCATCTCAACTTATAATTAAATTTAAAAAGAAACACCAGAAGGTCCGTCCATCTTGATGAAGTTCTTCGGGGAAAGTTTGGTGGGCACTGTCGTCTTGCGGCCGATCAATCTATGAGAAAGAATCGTACATGCATTGATGGCCAATCCTCCCATCCAAATAGTAAGGATTATTTAACATATGTTAGTGAGTGAATCTATATACAAAATATATCTATTTATGATATATCGAGATTTTAGAATTTGTAACCTCTAAACCTACAATACACATATAAAATGGAGAAAGAAACCATATTCGTTAAATCTCTAAACTTTATGAATCTATACTTTGGATTTCATTCTCCAAATGAACTCTTGATTAATTTACCATTAATATTTTAAAACATATTTTTGATTAAAAATATTAAAAAATATTATGATTATTTTTTAGATGAATTATATTATTATTATTGAGGATAAGTAATCATCACAAATAATTATAATTTATTTCATCATCTCTTTCCTCCCATATCTCCATCCAAAATAAATTGATCAAAAAGAAAAAAGAGAAAAACCTAGTGCAAGGAGGAGTCTAGCCTCTAGGAGACGGTTTAAAGAGGATAAAAAAAAAATATGAGTAGTTTTCCTAAACAAAAAAAAAAAGACATAGAGGCGAACGCGAATGGTAAAAAAAAATTAAAATTAAAAAAAAAACTCGATTACCGAAAAATTGCGGTCAGGCTTTTAAGGCTGACGTGGAGGGGGTCTTAATCTTAATCCTCTTTAATATATTTTAAGATGGTCATTTGAAAAGAGAATAAGAAAACATTAATTTCTTGTTCGTTGGTTCTTCACATTTTAGTCCCTCAAAATATTTTCAATTTTTCATTAAAACAACGAATCAACTTGAAAGATTTTCATAACAACCGTCCGTTGCGCGCCCAAATAAATAAAATGACCTAATGGGTATTTTCCATGTCCTAGTTAAAATATATAAAAATGGGCTAAATTACACGTTTGGTCACTCGAATTATACAAATCTTTCACGTTTGTCACACGAATTACTTTTCTTTTTTATTCGCCACTAACTTTACGAATCATTTCACCGTTAGTCACCGGCCGTTACACTCCGTTAAATTTGTACTAGGTGGCAGTCAACTATAAAGTTTAACCGTTAACTAGATGACATGGAAATAAAAAAAAATTATCTATCTGGGTTCGAACAACCATAACTACTTTTTTTAATCTCTCTACTAAATAAAAAGAATTAATAAGAATGATGGTAATTCGAACCTAGGACCTCTTATACAGAAGGAAACAACTAAACCAATTGTGTCAAGTCCACTTATGAGACTTATGTGGATAAAAATATATATATACTAAAAACCGCCTAGTGGGGGTGCGGTTTTCAACAAAACCACCCCCGGCCCAATATGGTTCACATCTAGAATGTTCATACTTGCATCTGCATTGGCAACATTGCCAGTATCACTTGCACTTTCCATTCTAGATTGGAAAGTGGTATTAACTGTGTAAGAAAAAAGAAAACAAAGTGTTAGGATATTCATACATTGAATTAGGTGGAAAGAAATGGTATTTGTTTACTTGAACAAACAATAATTAAGAGAGTTTTAGAACTTACCGCTTTCCAAATCCATGATCTCTTCATCATCTTCCCTCTCGTCATTCTCTCCAGCCCTGGTAGTTTGATACTTTATCCAATCATCCGCACAAATCAATACACCCAACATGTTATCACTCAAAGAGGACTTGAATGGACTGAGAATCCGACCGCCACAGCTGAATGTTGCCTCTGAGGCAACAGAAGAGTTGAGAAAAGCTAGGATATCCTTAGCCATCTCAGCAAGAATCGGATATGTTTTAGAGTGTCGAGACCACCAACTCAAGATGTCAAACTTGGCATCATCACTCTCCTCATTGATGCCATCAGTTTGACATCTCAAATAGATGGCAAGCTCAGCAGAGCTACCTCCTGTATCCTGCAGAAGTGCTTCCCCTTTCCTCTTCCTGAGCCTCTCCTCAAGCTGCTTAATCCTATCACCACCAGCCGTGCTCTCACCCGTGGTAACCGAATCTCCAGCCCTAGTTCACTTAATTGTGTAGCTCAATCAACAAAAAAAAAAAAAATTCTCATTATTAGTACCAATCTTTTAAAAGTTCAAGAAACGTTTAACACATAAACATTATGGATAATTTGATGTATCCGGGTTTTGTCATGGTATCCTATGATCTATCTATTCAGTTATGACGTCAATCATTGCAGATCACATTGGCAAACTTATCCTAAAACATTATGGATCGTTTGACGTATTCGGTCGATGGATCTTGTTGTGGTATCCCCTAATCTACCTATCCAATTATGATATCGAGCATTGTAGATCACAGTGCCAAACTAACTCTAAAATATTATCGATCGTTTGATGTATCTCGTTGGTGGGTTTTGTCATTGTGTCCGGTTATGACATCGAGCATTGTAGATCACATTGCCACTATAAATTGTTTGACTTATCCGATCAATTGATTTTGTAATGGTATCCCCTAATCTACCTATCCAGTTATGATATCGTGCATTGTATATCACATTGCCAAACTAGCCACAAATCATACCCTCCAAAAATATTTCCCGCACTTCGTGGCTTTTTATTTTTTTGGACAACGGAGCATATATAAAACAGAAGAGATTTGGGAATTAGGGTTATCGAGATCGAGATCGAGATCGAAGGCTTCCTATCATTGTTGTGCTGACGATGGGCCGCAGTCGCAAGAAGAATCGAGCGGACGGTAAACAGTTGCCGGTGGCGCCGAGGGATTATGCCGATGATTGTTTCCCCAGAAGAAGAGAGAATGATAATCAGAAATGGAGAGGTAAGAACTTATACCTGAGGTGTTTGGATACTACTCGGATTTGGGGGATTCAGGCTTTTAGGGTTCTCGATACAAACGAGGCCGTCGAGAAGCTGATCACAGCAGCCAACTTCAATTTTTTGTAATCCTTGCACTTGCATCAACTCAATATTCAACAATCAGCAACACTCCTCCTAGTCCTCGAATTCAAGCCTGGCAAAGGGACAATGTATTAAAAACATGATGTCAGATTGATCATCCAGTCATCCCCCAAAGTATTCATTTTTTTACTAGGCTAAAATAGTGTTCTCAGACGTACCTTATCCATCTCATGCACCTCATCATCTGAAGAATCAGATTCATCATCCTCCAAATGATCCACTGTTTAACAAGTAAGCATATTGCACTTAACAAGTAACAATGATGAACTTTGACAAGCAGTAGCAATTCCGTTTAACAAACAAGCACAAACACATTCGCATTATAATTCAACCTAAGAGCAAGAATTCCATATCCTAAACAGAATCATTATATCTAGCACTAGAGAAGCAATTACATTTGAGTAAAAGCATTCAACCCCAAGCAGAACCAGTCGACTCCCCCAACATAATCATTCAATCCCTAAGTCTCATTATTCAATGGCAAAACAGATTCACAATAGTACAAATTGCTGACAAATATAAGTGTAAAGAGTAAGAAAAGTTACCAACTGAACCATCTAACAACCAGCTTTGGGCACACATTAAGGCTTCAACAGTCTCCGGGCTAAGCCTACTGCGTTGAGGACTAATGATCCTCCCACTTGTACTGAAGGCTGACTCTGAAGCCACCGTTGAAGCCGGAATAGCCAGAATATCTCTAGCAATTTTGTGCAGAATATGATATTTTCCCTTATTGGACTTCCACCAAGACAAGAGATCAAAATCAGCAACACTCTTAATGAGCTCGTCCTCCAAATATGCATCAAGCTCTGATCTGGATGGTCGTTTCCTTTTCTTGCTAAATGCATACGAGTGAAACTCCAAAGCAAAACTGTCTTCACAATCATTTGCTTTTGAGCCGCCCCCGTTAACACCATTCACTTGTTCCTCCTCTCTTTCTTTCTCCTCATACTCAACAACCAGTTGTAGATCACATTGCCAAACTAACTCCAAAATATTATAGATCGTTTGATATATCTGGTCGGTGGGTTTTGTCATTGTGTCCGATTATATGACATCGAGCATTGTAGATCACATTGCCACTATAAATTGTTTGACTTATCCGAATCAATTGATTTTGTAATGGTATCCCTTAATCTACCTATCCAGTTATAACATCATGCATTGTAGATCACATTGCCAAACTAACCACAAATCATACCCTCCAAAAATATTTCCCGCACTTCGTGGCTTTTTTTTTTGTTTTTTTTTTGGACAACGGAGCATATATAAAACAGAAGAGATTTGGGAATTAGGGTTATCGAGATCGAAGGCTTCCTATCATTGTTGTGCTGACGATGGGCCGCAGTCGCAAGAACAAGAAGAATCGAGCGGACGGTAAGAAGTTGCCGGTGGCGCCGAGGGATTATGCCGATGATTGTTTCCCCAGAAGAAGAGAGAACGGTAATCAGAAATGGAGAGGTAAGAACTTATACCTGAGGTGTTTGGATACTACTCGGATTTGGGGGATCCAGGCTTTTAGGGTTCTCGATACAAACGAGGCCGTCGAGAAAGTGGTCGATGAGTATGGCGAGTTTCAATTCCTATCGCCAAGCGTAGTCTGTGATTGGGATTACTTCAATTGTGGTTTCCCACTCGAGATGGGGGTCTTCACGTTTGCTGGTAAAGCATACATGGTCGGCGGAGAAACTAGAGCAGGGGGCTTGCTGCCTCCGGATTCACATGGAGACCCTGCTGATGAGGAATTGGGCGTACCAAGTGACAAAGTCTATGAATTCCGTAATCCTCCGATGGATACCCTCCTCGAGCTCCCTGATGTTCTTCGTTTGCCTGGCCCTATGCGGTGTCCGATAGTTGCAAAGATCAATGGCAGCGTATACGCCCTCTTTGGAGATTATCGCGGTCTTAGGAGGCCGGCATTTCCGAGTGCCTCCAGCCACTCCTTTGCTGTTCTGGAGAAGGATGATGGCAGAAGTATCGATCAGTGCCGTTGGAGGCCACTTCCTACACCTCCCTTCTACCAGAAAGGCACCCCTGACTACTCCAGTGGGTACAAGTCCAAGATTGGTGTCATTGGCCACAAGCTTTATCTGTGTTCAAGCAGCGGACGCAATTATGCCTTTGATGCTGACACTGGAGAGTGGGAATCGAGCGGGGTTGGGTATGAAGCAGGCACTGAAACCGTGTCGTCAATGTTGAAACTCAATGTCCAGATGGGTTCTCACCAGCCACGGCGGCAACACGAGTGTTTCGTTGTCGTGGCTGCTGAGATCTTTGTATCTGACTTGGGTGCCTATGTTGAATTGGTTGATGGCAAGACGGGCCGTCAATTGCACGAGCAGAAATTACCTGAAGCATACGATGTGCGTCTTCCGGTCTGTGCTTTCCAAGTGATTGAACTAGAAGAAGAGGAGGATGAGGAGCATGCTGGTGATGACCTGCAATTGAGCAGCACATTCTGTTTTGTGTACACAACATATAATCATCTTGTAGGGCTTACAGTTTTGAGATTCTCTTTGCCACCACCAGCAGCAGCATCATCGGAGACATCTAAACAGAAGCTGGGAACATCATCAATGAATGGGAAAGCTGGTGGTGGTATTCACTTGAATGTTGAAGTTCTGGAAAAGCGCCTCTATAAATATTCAGAACCATGCCCTGCTCAGTTTGATGCCTTCTTCCTCTAGTGCCCCTAGCTTCTTTTTTTTCTGAGTTGACGTTGTTTGTTGAACTTGCTTTTTTTCCCCCAAGTGGACGATTCATCGTGTAAGTAGATTCTAGAGTGTGCCGTAATCATGGTTCATGGAGCCAAATGATCACACCATTGTTGATAAATATATGGTTTTAGTGTTCACTAACATATATTATGAACGGAAAATTCGTTGGTTGGTTGTACAAATCCTGAATATCCACGTACTGACTCTTGAAACGAAAATACTAATAATCCTTACATATATTATGAACGGAAAATTCGTTGGTTGGTTGTACAAATCGTGAATGTCCACGTACTTACTCTTGAAACGAAAACACTAATATTAGGATTATTAGTGTAAAAAAGGTAAGACACATGATCTCGAATTATTCTTATTAGTTGATATTGACATGATATTCTAACTTTTGATAATTACAAAGTTGCGAGTATAAATTGTATTTTGGAAAACTTCTGGATAATATTGAGTAGACCACACCTATATTTTTCAACCATAGATAGATCATAGAAGTACCCACAAAAGTTACAAAATATGAATATAACCATGGTAAATGTACTACCGTCTCAAGAGTATTTTGAGTCACGAGTTGGAAAACACTATTCAGGCCACACGGAAAAAACTTACACGTAACGTCTGCCTCATGATTGAATTTATGTTCTTAATGTATTGTCACCGCTTCTATAACCTTTGGTGGATTTTGGGTTAATGTAGAGTCTCTTGACAAAAAAAAAACGTAGAGCAAAAGAATCACACAACAACCAAATCTTTTTTTAACCATATTTAGATCCCCACACGCAACAACCAAATCTCCCTTCCTATATTTAGCTCCCCACAACCAAACACACCGCGATTTCGCCGTCGCCGGAAGCGTATCAACATCATCACAAGCTCCACCGCCGCTTAAACATGGCCGAGAAACCGCAGCAGATCCACCTCGTCTTCATACCATCCCCAGGGGCGGGCCACCTCTCCGCCATGGTCGAGCTCGCCAACCTCCTCGCCGACCGCCACGCCGCCCTCTCCATCTCCGTCCTAATCATCACCACCACCTCCTCCACCGCCGCCGTCCCCCACCCCGCCGCCCCTCGCATCACGCTCCTCCACCTCACCGACGAGAACCCACCCCCCGCCGCCGCCGCCGGCAGCGTCTTCGCCAAGATCGAAGCACGAAAGCCCCAAATCAGAGAAGCCGTCTCCGCCGCAATCGGCCGCTCCCCCGACGGCGCCCGACTCGCCGGGCTCGTCCTCGACATGTTCTGCACCTCGATGGCCGACGTGGCCGGCGAATTCGGCGTCCCCTACTACATTTTCTTCACCTCCGCCGCCTCCGATCTCGGCTTCATCAGCCACATCCAGCAATTGCACGACGAGTCAGGGTTCGACGTCGCCGAGTTCGAGGGGAACGAGTTGGCCGTCCCGAGTTGGGCCCGCCCAATTCCGCGCTGGGCTTTCCCGCCCAACATCGTCAACAAGGAATGGCTCCAATTGCTGTACCGAATCGCCCGAGTTTTCAGGCGAGCCAGGGGCATTTTGGTCAATACGGTGAGGGAGCTGGAATCCTGCGCGGTGGATTCTCTCTCCTTCACTAAAGTGCATCCGGTGGGACCCATTCTGAACTTGAAGGCCGGTGCCGCCGCCGCCGGTAAGAAGAAATGAGAAATAGGGTTTTGGGGAAGGGATCTCAAAGTGAGAGAGCCTTCGTTTTCTCCATTTCATATATACACAGCAAAAGCTGTTTACAAAGTAAAGCAGAGTTTAACGGCTAATCTACAGTGTAAACAGAAAAACAAACAATCAATTCAGCCAACCAAAACTATACACGTGTTGGCCTTAAACGTATTTACTATGGACCAAGTGGAACGGTGCGTTCTGGACCCTAAGACCAAGTCTTCCAATAACGACTTCGAATAGGTGGAGAACGACGACGTTCCAGCGTTGATCTTCATCAGTTTGCAGCAGCTCTGTTGCATTCCTGGAGAACTGAAGAACAGCTGCTGCTATTGATTGTCTGAGAATGACATGTTCTCCATTACGCCCCCTCAAGCTGGCGAGTGTCATCTGATACTCCCAGCTTGCGCAACAACATTTTGAACCTGTCAATTCCCAAACTCTTGGTAAACAGGTCTGCAAGTTGATGATCAGTAGACAAATGATGTAAACTAATCAAACCACTTAACAGACGTTCTCTTATGACATGGCAATCAACTTCTATATGCTTGGTTCTCTCGTGAAATACTGGATTTCGTGCTATGTGAATAGCAGACTGATTATCACAGAAAACCAAGGCAGAATGAGAATGATTCACTCCAAAATCACCAAGTAATCTCACCAACCACTGAAGCTCACAACTCAATTGTGACATGGCCCTATATTCAGCCTCTGAGGATGACCTCGACACTGTACTTTGTTTCTTACTTCTCCAACTGATAAGTCCTTTGCCCAGGAAAGTGCAAAAACCAGTAATTGACCTTCTGGTATCTGGACAAGTGGCCCAATCTGAGTCACTGTATCCAGTAAGTTGCATACTAGAGTTATGTGGATAAAACAGTCCTTGACCTGGAGCATTTCTAAGATAACGCAGAACCCTTTGCAAAGCTTTGAAGTGCACTGTGGTTGGTGAATCCTGATACTGACATAGCTGTTGAACAGCGTATGTGATGTCTGGCCTAGTTGTATTCAAATACTGTAACTGGCCAAGCCAATGCTTGAATTTGCTCACATCATGAAAAGGCTCTCCATCTTGAGCTGATAAAACTTGCTTAACACTGGAAGGAGTTTTGGCAGGCTTACATTCATCAAAACCTGTGTCCTTTAACAACTCAAGGCAATATTTTCTCTGGCTAATGTGTATTCCTCCATCAACCCTGTTTACTTCAAGTCCAAGAAAATATTGCAGCTGACCCAAGTCTTTCATTTTAAATTCTGACTTCAGCATTTCCTTAACTGCCTCTACTGCTTCCAGGCTTACACTACCAATGACAATGTCATCAACATACACAATCAAGACAACCAAATTACCTTTCATAGTGGAAAGGAAAATAGAACAATCTGCACTAGATTGTTTGAAACCATGTGAAAGCAAAGTTTCAGTCAACTTTGCATACCACATTCTGCTGGCTTGTTTCAAGCCATAAAGTGATTTCCTCAAACGACATACCTTACCCTTGTACTGTCCCTGATCCTTCAAACCAGGTGGAACCTCCATATACACCTCTTCATCCAAATCACCATTAAGAAAAGCATTGTTTACATCCATCTGATGTAAGTACCAATTCTGAGCAGAAGCTACTGCTAACAGCAGTTTCACTGAATTCAACTTTGCAACTGGGCTAAAAGTATCACAATAATCAATCCCATATACTTGATTATAACCCTTGGCAACCAGTCTTGCCTTGAAACGTTCAATACTACCATCTGGGTTATATTTGATCTTAAATACCCACTTATTACCAATAGCCTTCTTCCCCTCTGGCAAGTCTGTGATCTCCCAAGTCCCATTATCATATAAAGCTTTAAGTTCATCCCTCATGGCTGCTTGCCAACGAGGATCAGTAATGGCTTCTGCATAGGAAGCTGGTTCAACAGTGGCCATGATGGACAGAGCAAAGTGCTGCTGTTCAGGTGACAGAAGGGGAGAGCAACAGACTTGAGCCATACCCACATAATAGTCATTGTATTTAGATGGAAATACAATTTGCCTTGTGGACTTTCTAGGGGGAACTACTGGTGTGGGAGATGAGGAAGAGGAAGGAAAGAAAGAACTAGGAGGAGAGGAGGTGGATTGGATAGAGGTGTAGGATGGTGAGGATGTAGGAGTAGCAGAATTAGTTGGAACTGCTGGAGAAGCAGCAGGTGGGGAAAAAGGTTGTGCAGCAGATGGAGGAGAAAACTCTGCTGCAGGTGAAGCTTCAAAGGAAGGATGACCTGAACAAAGATCATCCTGAGTGAAAAGGGACCCAGGATAAGAGGGGAGATGAGTGGATTCACCCTCTGGAGTAGTACTGTCTTCCTGCTCATTGGATTTAAAGGGGAAGACAGTCTCATAGAACACCACATCACGGTTGATAAAAACCTTTCCTGTGGCAATATCTAACAATTTAAAACCTTTAATACCAAGGGGAACACCCAGAAAAACACATTTCCTGGCTCTAGGGTCAAATTTATGCTTATGACCTTCAACTATTGTGGCATAAGCCAAACAACCAAAGACCCTAAGTGACATGTAATCAGGTGGGACATGATGTAAAAGTTCAAAGGGGGTTCTGTGACCTAGGACAGGAGTTGGAGTTCTGTTTATTAGGTAGGCAGCATGCAAAACAAAGTCCTCCCAGTAGAGTAAGGGAAGACCAGACTGAAATTTGAGAGACCTGGCTACATTAAGAAGGTGCTGGTGTTTTCTCTCCACTCTACCATTTTGTTGAGCAGTATAGACACAGCTCATTTCATGTACTATACCCTTTGAACTATAAAATTCTCCCATATGGAATTCTTGACCCTGATCAGATCGAATGGTTTTGACTTGTTTAGAAAATTGAGTCTCTACCATTTGACAGAAGGATTGTAAAAGGTTTCTGGTTTCAGATTTGGATTTCATGAGGAATACCCAAACTGCTCTACTGTGGTCATCAACAATGGTCAAGAAATACTGAAAACCACTTCTGGAAATTACATTCAATGGACCCCAAATATCCACATGTAATAGATCAAAAGGTTCTGGCCTAACAGAATTACTAAGAGGAAAGGGCAACCTCTTCTGTTTAGCAAAATGACACACCTCACAATGTTTAGATTGAGGCAAAACAACCTCATTACATTGATTCTTAACTTCTCTTAATCTAGACAAGGAAGGATGTCCTAATCTAGCATGCCAAATGTTGAAATCTGGACTGGGAAATTTGGAGACTCCTGCTGCAAAAGGCTGAGCAACTCTACTGGAATTAAACTCTTGACTCTTTGACTGGGAAAACAGATACAATCCTCTATCCACTTGGGCTAAACCAATCCTCCTCCGAGTAATAAGGTCCTGGATAACACAAAAATTTGATTTGAAAACCAATGAGACTGGATGATTTTTGGTTAACTTACTTACAGAAACCAAATTGTAAGTAAAAGCTGGAACAAATAAGACTTGAGTGAGGAATAATCCACAAGGCAATGAGACTATTCCTATATGAGTTGCTTTAACCTGTTGCTTGTTAGGGAGATTCACAAAGATGTTGTCAACTGGTTTGCTTTTGATAAAGAAACCAAAGCTACAGACAATATGATCTGTAGCACCTGTGTCCAGCACCCACTCAGATGTATGTAATGAGCCAATAACATTAGAATGTGATTGGTTACCTGCTGAACTTGAACTTGCAGTGAAATGAGCAGGAGTTCTGACCACAGAGTTAGCTGAAGCTTGATGAGTATGTGACTGGCCAATGACCCTTCCTTGTGCAGCAGAAGGCAGATGTGGTGAACTTGGAGGTGATGGTGAAGGTGAAGGAGATCCTGTAAGCATGATCTTCAGTTTCTCAAACTGGTCTGGGGTGAGAAGGCTATGAAGATTGACTTCACTGCCAGCTGAGGAAGACCCCCCAGACTCAGACAAACCACTCTCACAAGCACCAGCAAAAGGTTGTTCACCTTCTTGTTTCCTTTTGTTCTTAAGTCTGTAACAATCAGCAATAATGTGTCCTTCCTTTTTGCAATATCTACACCATTTCTTTCCCTCAGGTGTGTAGTCCCTAGGGTTTTTACCAGATGGTGGGGCTCTACCCTGATGTTGGCCAGTGGCTGACAAAGCCACTGAATCAACTCTTCCTTTTGTTGAACTGACACCTTTCATCTGCCTCTCTAATTGCACCATTTGTTTGAAAACAGACTCGACATTTGGCAATTGTGCATTCATTAGGACTTGAGTTCTGGCAGACTGAAAGGTATCATTCAAACCTTGCATGAACTTGATAATGAAATCATGTTCCTCATACTTCTGGATGGTGAAAAACGGACTGTTGGGGCATGAACAGCAAGAGATAGGCCTGTACATCTTATATTCTTGCCATTTGGTGGTCAGGGCTGTGTAATATTGTGTAACAGAAAGATCACCCTGCACACACTTAGCAATCTGCTCCTTCAATTCATACACCCTCATATAATCCGCTTGACTAAACCGATCCTTTAAACTATCCCAAACATCTTTAGCTACCTTGAAAGCTACTACACTGTTAGCTATATCCTCAGAGAGTGAATTGTAGATCCAGCTACGAACGGTTCCATCACATCTAAGCCATGACTGGTAAATTGGATCTCGAACAGAAGGCACAGGAATCATACCATTAACGAATTGGAGCTTGTTCCTGGTGCTAAGGGCAACTTCCATCACTTGACTCCACAGATTGTAGTTCTGATCAGTCAACTTCATGGATATGATCGTTGTTAAACCACCATCATGTGAAGGCAAGTAGTATGGATTCAGATATGGGTCTTCATAATGCCCAACGGATTGACCTGGGAATCCTGGTAATGGATGGGCAACGCCAATGGGTTGAGCTGGAAAACCTTGCATCTGCTGTGCAGATCCAGTGGGTACCGACGCAGAGGGTTGCGACGGGGATTGATTTGGGTTTTGAGTCTCATCGTGAGCTGACGCCAGGGACTCTGTGTCATCTGTAACATGACCATCGATTCCTTGTCCTTGCCCTGACATGGTGAGAAGAATTCACCACAAACGGCTAGGGTTTGATCAGAGAGAGACGATGAGATCTACAGAGACCTGCAACCAGGCTCTGATACCATAAGAAGAAATGAGAAATAGGGTTTTGGGGAAGGGATCTCAAAGTGAGAGAGCCTTCGTTTTCTCCATTTCATATATACACAGCAAAAGCTGTTTACAAAGTAAAGCAGAGTTTAACGGCTAATCTACAGTGTAAACAGAAAAACAAACAATCAATTCAGCCAACCAAAACTATACACGTGTTGGCCTTAAACGTATTTACTATGGACCAAGTGGAACGGTGCGTTCTGGACCCTAAGACCAAGTCTTCCAATAACGACTTCGAATAGGTGGAGAACGACGACGTTCCAGCGTTGATCTTCATCAGTTTGCAGCAGCTCTGTTGCATTCCTGGAGAACTGAAGAACAGCTGCTGCTATTGATTGTCTGAGAATGACATGTTCTCCATTAGCCGGCGGCGGCGGAGTACCGGAGGAGGAGGCGATTGAGTGGCTGGACCGGCAACCGGAGTCGTCGGTGGTGTTCCTCTGTTTCGGGAGCATGGGGGCGTTCCGCGAGGAACAAGTGTTAGAGATCGCCAATGGGCTGGAGGCCAGTGGGCTGAGGTTTCTGTGGGTCCTGCGCAGGCCTGGGCCGGAGGGGACGCGGGCCGGCCCAACGGACTACCAGGACGTCAGGGAAGTTCTGCCGAAGGGGTTTGTGGATCGGACCGCGGGGGTTGGGAGGGTGATGGGATGGGCCCCACAGACGATCATTTTGGCCCACAAGGCGGTGGGAGGGTTCGTGTCGCACTGCGGGTGGAACTCGACGCTGGAGAGCCTGTGGTTCGGGGTGCCGATGGCGACGTGGCCGATGTACGCGGAGCAGAAGTTAAATGCGTTCTTGTTGGTGCACGAGCTGGAGATAGCCACGGAGATCAAGATAGATTATCGTAACGGAGAAATCGTGACGGCGGAGGAAGTCGAGAGAGGCGTCAGGAGGTTGATGGAGAGAGATTGCTCGAGGGAGGAGAGGCTGAAGAAGTTTAGTGACTGTATCAAGAAGGCGCTGATGGATGGTGGCTCTTCGTCGGCTTCCATTGCTGAATTTATTGAAGGATGCAAGAGTAGTGGTGGCATGTGATTCTGACTAGCTAGTAGTTGTCCTTTCGACAAATATAGCTTCAAAAAATTCCGATTAGAGAGAGAGAGGAAAGAATTCAGTACATCGATTGTTGACGCAAGATTAGTCACCCAACTGCTAGCAAACCAACATAATTCATCGACACAGATTAGAACTCCACAAGCATTTCTAATTTGTCTCTAGTCCATTCCAATAATTGACAGTCTCAACGTCAGCCATCTATTCATGATGCAACGATTCTGCAGTGACAATGCTGCAAACCATCTTAAGACGAGATCAGAAACGGGCTGCAACAGAATCATAGCTCGGCAACCAACAGAACTCAAACGAAGAGGGCATTTGATTTCACAAAGGCAGCAGGAGTAATGCACTCGAGAACAAAAAGACCATAACTTTTGCTATTGTAGATAAAAAAAAACCAAAACTTTTTACACCAATGTATATTGATGGGTGCGATCCCGCATCAAAGAAGAGCACCCTGTCTAACAATAACAAACATGGCGGGACAGACTGATGGAGATTACCCTATCTCCCAAATCCCAATCGCCCCCAACAAATGATTCACAACTCAACGGAATCAGGACTAACCCATTTCCAGAAATGCTTCCTAACAGTCACAGCTTGATCGGCAACCTTCTTATCCTCCGAATCCCCATACTCCTCCCCTTCCTCTGTCACAAAATCGTCGTCCGGCAGCCCGTCCACAATCGCGTCCACCGAGTACAACACATATCTCGCCGGCAAACTAGGGTACGAAGCCGAACACCTCTCCTCCACCTTCTCCCTGTACGAACCCGGCACAATCCGCACTTCCCCACCGGCAATCGACCCGAGCTCCTCTCGGATCGCCCTCAGGACGGCAGAATCAGGGCTCTCGTCGGGCTTCATCTTCTCCGACAAGGGCCGGTGCCGGCTCCTCACCGTCCCGTCGGAAAGCTCCTGATGCGATTCGATGAGGACCCGGTTGTTCTTCCCGATAATTTTCACGGTGACGACGTTGACGGTGCGAATCGGAGGGGTAGAATCGGCGAGGGAGGTCTCGCCCTGGGAGATCTCGAGCCAGAGGTTGTGAACATTCTTCGTACCCGGCTTGACCCCCCAGGAGGCGAAGGAATCGGAGGGCAATCGGGGCTTCAGCCAATCGGAGAGGGAATCAGGGTTAGCGAAACGGCGCCGGTTGTTTGGGTTTGAGACAGACATGGATGGGATTTGGAGGAAGCGGCGGATGCGGCTGGAGGCGAGGAAGGGGATTTTCGGGAAATAGGGTTTGAGAGAGGCAGAGGAAAAAGAAGAAGAGAAGAGGATGGAGAGAGTTGTTAGGAAGAAGTCAGGGATGTTGATGTTGTTGGGCCTGTAGCGGCGGAGCAGGCGGCGGCGGTGACGTGGATGTTCTTCGGCGAATGGCAGCCAAGCTCTAACTTAAACAAGCGGCTAACTTGGCTCTTTTTCCCGGGAAACGGGTCAACGATTCGTCTGATCTGATGGTCGTGGTCGGGCCGGGAGATGGGCCGTGGATGGGCTGGTCATATCTGCTTAACCGGGGATGGGCTGCTTACCACAACTACTTTCCGAGTATGGGCCTAATCTGAACGGTGCGGCTGGATTTCGGTTCGATTTCGGTTAACAGAACCAAATTGGTAGGGTACCTTCAAATTCGACTTGACGTCATTTCAACAACCATAACGAATATTTTTGTGGTTTGAGGTTATACGAGAATCAAATATTACGGTTTTCGGTTCTGATACCATTAACCGCGTTCAATCAATTAATAATTCATTCGTCTTTTTGGTTTGTGTTACCAAAGTGGGACTGTGTTCGTTGGGGTTTGAGATTGTTTAATTTTGCAGTTATTTTTGTTTTTTGTTTTATTTTGCGAATTAATTTACGGTTATACCGAATATCAAAAGATGACCCAAATCCATAATCGCAACAGTTCTATTTCTTCAATTTTACAATTGTCAGTTAACCGATAACCACCACATTCTATTACCGTAACCGCGATTTTCCAGCCCTAGATTGGGGTGAGGGATTTTAAAACACATCCATTTTTAAAATTATTCAGGATATAACTCTCCAATCCATATATGTCGTACCAATTAGTCCATCAGAACTTCATCACTCATTTGATTTTATTTTCGAATAGCATTTTTTCATATCTACACAGAATTTGTACTACTACGTAATCTCTTTAGCAATAGACCAAATACATTCCCAATTTATTCCGAATCTTTTTTTTTTAATTCCGAATCTTTATATAACGAAGAAACCAAACACCGGAATGATGTCATCAAACCAAACTATAGCTTTCAGATGAGGTGTTGATCGGCGGCGACAAATGACGATCGGGAAGCTGCCCGACGCGGCAGCGGGCCACCGTTGCAAACGCAGCGTTCTTTTTGACAATGACACGGATGTAGGCATGTAAGCTTGCATGTCGGCACCTCGATGTCGACGACGTCGTTGTTGCCGCCGGTGCCTTCTTCTGCTCCAATGTTCGTAATACCTAAATTCAAACCAGCAAATTAACCAGATAAATTAATATATATATTCCGACGATGAACTTAATTAATTATTTGCTTGGCAGATAGAGATTACAGATTGTGAATAAAGTATGGTTGTTTGACATGAACGAGTATTATGTTCCGATTCATTTGAAGCATAATATGTTCTATTTAGTTATATAGACCTTACTCTTAATTTCAAAATAACACACGTACCGGCAGCGAAAATCAGGAGAGCAACAACGAAAACCAACTTCCTCGAGGCGTATTCCATATTTTTTTTTTTTGGATTTTTTGATTGTTTGTGTGGATAAGATTGAGCTCTGTGCTGTTATAATTGTGAAAGCTTGGTTTATATAATAGTGGATCCTAGTGTTAAGGTATATCCACATATGTTTATTTGGGGAAAGAATATTAGAAAGGATTTATTAAGAATAATAATTATTACTTTCCTATGTGTAATAAAAATATAAAATCTTAGAAATTATTAAGAAGATTTCCAAAATTTAAAGTTGCCATATAATGCGATTGTATTTTCCTTAAACTCAGTTTTTCTACCACTTAAAATTTAAATATTCTCTCGATCTCGTCATAACATCCTTATTTGTTAGAGGTAATACAAATTGGGATTCGAGTGAAGTGTGGGTTGACATGCCTTCAATTTTTCTTATTGATCCGCTGCAACTGGACAATGTAATTAACTTTGGTAGCTGATTAATAAGATTAGCAGGTTTCCATAAAAAATTCTTATTTTATAGAGGCAAAAAATGGATTATTATAAAACATGGTATCCTAATAACTTCTACAAATTGATATTATTAATATGGAATGGAAATGAAGGAGCATCAACGGCTTTCAAACTCATATTTTAGAGAAATTATTACCTATATGGCTATACTGGGAGTACCACGTGGGGATTGATGACGTGGTACTCCCGGTCAATACCAATATAGCTAATTGTCCAAAAGCCTATTAACTATTTTATAACAGATTTTGAAGTGGTACTATCACAGATTTCGAGAGATTAATTTCGAAGGACTATTTTGCTTGGATTTTGAAGGCTACATATCACGGATTTACTCTGAGTCTAGTTTTCGACGATGATTAAGTCAATTAAACACTGATTTGAAATTATTTTTCCTGAGTCCATTTTTGGCAGACTGAAAGGGGTACCATCACAGATTTCTAGCGATTTTTTTGAAAAGTCATTTTCCTTGAGTTTGTAAATAAATTTTTTTGTTCATTCTTTGGATGATAGTTAAGTTTTTCTTCACGCTCTGTAACTCTAACAAGCTGTGAACTTCTACGTAATCTCTTTTATTAATCTCTGTAATGCTAGCTATAGCCAACTAAACAACGGAATTTTCTCATCATCAAACGAATTAAGCTGCAATTTTCATATTAGCCGCTGATCGCGACGGCTAGCCACGCACCGTGCAGAAGCAAAGTCGGAAAATACAACTGCACGTCTTCAGTTGCCCGCATTTAACCTGGTATGCAGCCGCCGGAGCCCCTACGACGCCGTTTTCACCTTCTACGCCGCCGCCTGATTGGGTAGACACCTGAGCTTTTTTGCGCAGCGTGCAAACGCAAAGTTTGCCCGTGCAACTACACGCCTTGAATCTGGCGCACGGAATCACTTTCTTCAATTCCGCCCCGATGCCGACGACGCCGTTATCGTTACCTTCTTCTTCTGCTCCAATTTTCGTAACACCTAAAAAATGCGAATTGCATACGCATTAGTCGGGTTGACGTGAATAAAGTATATTGTACGATCTTAAATGATCGTTTATTTGAAATATAAAACATACCACCAGCGGTGAAAACCAAGAGCGCGACCAAGAAAACCAACTTCATCGAAGCGTATTCCATGATCCTGAAAAGATTGTTGTTTCGGTATATGATTTTTTTTAATTTGTTTGTTGATGAGGGCTATGGTTCTCTCCAAAGGTTGGTTTATATAATAGGGGGAGCGTGGTGATAAACTATAGAGAATGTATTTATTTGGTCAAAAGAATATTCTTTAAGAAAATCTATAGGAATTAAAATAATTATTTGTTGTTTGACCCATAAAGAAATAATTATTGTATTTCCATGTGCCATAAGAAATCTAATCTCAATTTAAAGCTCATTCCCATAATTGTTTTTTTTTTTTTTGAATATGTTGGGCAAGAAATGAAATGCTACCAATGTATATTCTTTTTTGCTACTATGTATTCAGACTATTTTCCGATAAGAAATGAAATGCTAAGAATGTTCTTTTCTGCTACTATTAAGACGTTCCATGCAAGGTTGTCAAACCGGTTTAAGTTATTGAGTCGGTCAAGCAAGGGGTTTGAGGTTTAGTGGTCTGATTGGGGTCCGGCCGGTTTGAGCCGTTTTAGACATTTTCTAAATATATATACAAATAAAGTAGTAATTAAAATTTAATGAGTGAAATAAATTTTATCTTACATATATCTATTAAAAACTTATTTTCAACAAAATAAATCTATCTAACCTCCATGATCCACCTACCATTTCCCTTCCTTCGTTCCTTTTTCTCTCTTTTGCCTCTCTTCTTCTCCTTGTGTAGTGGTCAGACCGGGGGGTTTCTGGAGGCCGTTTTGAAGCCCGAATCGGGTCGAACCGGGTCCAACCGGGGGGTTCGATAGGGGTTTAACAACCTTGGTTCCATGAGAAAAAAATCAACCCTTTTTGGATTAAGAAAGAAGAAGGAAATATGGAGTTTTTTATAATAGAAAAATATGGAGAATTGTATCAATAGAAAAGGGCAATAAGAAGTAAAATTATCTACTAAGCCTAATTTTATTAATTTTTTTTTGTGTGTAGATGAAAATAAGAAAAACGGTACAATTGGCCTTGATCATAATTCACCGTAAAGATAATGATCAATAGTTTTCCTAATAATTATACCTTGTGAAAATTTAACCAAATTATATTCCATAAGGACCAAGTACGTGAGAGATTTATAATTTCATAAAGAACATTTAACTTTAAATGACACTATGCGTTTTAAAGAGAAACAAATGAGTTCTTATAAGAATTCGGAAGTTAAAAATGCTTATTGTGGAACTGTATGAAGTTGGCCTTCCAGTAGGTCACCCTTTCATTAATTAGTACAAAGATGGGTGACCTCACATGAAGTCATCATGATGTGCTCAAAAAGGGGTACAATTGTCGTTGATCATAATTCACCATAAAGATAAGGATCAATAGTTTTCCTAATAATTATACCTTGTGAAACTTTAGCCAAATTCAACAAGGACCAAATATGGGAGAGATCTATAACTCACAAGGAACATTCAACTTTAAATAACCGTATGAGTTTTGAAGGGAAGCAAATGAATTTTTATAAGAATTCAGAAGTTAAAGGTGCTTATTGTGAAACTGTATGAAGTTGACCTCCCGGGAGGTCACTCTTTCATTAGTGCAAAGATAAATAGAACCTCACAGGAAGTCATCATGATATGTCCAAAAAGCAATATTGTGTGGGATAGACCTAAATCGGACAATATCTTGATTAGAAAATGTGAGAATATTACGAAAGATGAATAGTGCTAGAGAGAAGTGTTGCTCCCGGTGTGCAATCGACAACTCCCAGATGTCTCGCTAAAAGGAGATTTAGAAGTGGTGACTCATCAGAGATAGCGGGAGGTGTTGATTCAGCGATTATATTCATTAATTTGATGAAAACTCTTGGTTCAGGTTTAGAGTTGCATGCGAACTTTCGGTTCTAGACTCTAATACCATGTTGGCGAACTAATCACTTGATACCAATTAATAATTCAAATTATTGAAAAAAGAATAATTAATCCTTTTAATCTCTTACCCTATTAACTTGCTTCAAGCTTCATCAACCAACAGACAGCAACTATATTGAATTAAGAACGCCGACACATAAATAGAGGTTGGTCTCCCCAATCATCATGTTGTATACTGTTCTACTATGTTATGGAACTCTGTGCGAATAGATCGCTACATATTGATCCTTATTACTATAATCTATAACTGTAAAACAAACTAAACAACAAAATCAACATCGGAACAACTTTTTTTCCTTCCTTTGCTTTTTTTTATCATACGAGGTGCTTATCAGCGGCGGCGCCAAGCAATCGGGAAGGCGTCGGCGGCGGAGGACCACGACCGCAAATGCAACCGCCGAAGTAGCAGTGGCACCTTGGAGCTTGGCATGGAGTTTTGCATACAGGCGGATTCACCAGCTGGATGCCCGCTTTGCTGCCTTCTTCAGCTCCAATGTTCGTCATGCCTGCACGCAACCAATGGAGGATATGGAAAAATCATCATCAAGACTCAAATCCGCGACCACGAAAAACTCTAATTTAACAATACTTAGCGACAGATGAACATCTCCATACGACAAACACACCGGCGGGGTCGTTTGATGTGCGAATGAGTATTGTGTTTCGATTTAATTATTTGCTTTCTAGTTCTACTTGAAAAGTAAAACGTACCCTCTGTGAAAACCAAGAGAACGACGAGGAAAACCAACTTCTTTGATGTATACTCCATGTCTTAAGAATGTATATTTTTTTGAAGGTTTTTTGCTGAAATTACTAGAGGTTTTTTGATGAGCTCTTTGCACTAGTAGTTGTGAAAAGATTATTGGTGATGAGCTATAGCCCTCCCCTAGCTTTGGTTTATATAATAAAGGATCAGTGGGAACAAATGGTAACACATTTAATGAATTAACTCCTGAAAATTATATTTCCATGTGATATAAAGAATCTAAATCTACAAATTAAACTTCTTCCCATAAGTGTTTTTCTTATACATTTTAGCCTTAGGTAAAACAAAATGAAAATGTTATCAATAATCTTTCTTACTACTCTTTCTTTCATTTACAATACTGCCTATTAGCATTGTTTGTGAAACTGTAATAGAGATTTTGACAGGTTCGCGTAATTATATTTTATGATAATATTATTCTCATTAGATTATATAATTTTTTTTTAACAATTGTGTTTTATTTTTAATGAAATGGTACATTATTAACAAAATAAAATATTGCACAATACCGACGTACCTAATACTACTTAACCTCTTGTAATTCGGTTGTAGTCAATGCAGTTAAAACCGCGCTTTAAAACTTAAAAGCTTATACTATTACTTTTTAAGGTCACCAAAACGCTTCTATGTAGAATCGTGATTTTCCCTTAAAAATGTAGTCAAAATCTACCCTTTAAAACTTAAAATCTTACGATTTTACGCTTCTAGATCACCCAACCACTTTCTAAGTAGAATCACAATTTTGACGGCATTAGTTGTATAGCACAAATCATGCTATTGAAACACTATGTAAGAAAAAATATTAATGGACTACTGGCTGTGAGTTCCCCTACTCCTTGCAGAAGTTCCAGCAGGAGCTAAAGAAATGGAATGAAGATGTGTATGGCAACATATTCAAGAGGAAGAGACAGCTGCTTAATGAACTCAAAGCACTGGAAACTCTTAATGGCAGAAGACCAACTACCAGCTCACTGGAAAAAGAACAAAGCACAAGAGAAGAATTGGAAAGAACGCTCTGGCAAGAAGAACTGTTGTGGATCCAAAAATCCAGAACAAATTGGGTTGTCAGAGGAGACATGAATACCCGCTATTTCCATAACAGTACTCTCAGCAGAAGGAAAAGGAACAAGATCACCTATTTGAAGGATGATCAAGGACAATGGATTGATGATGAAGAGACCCTCCAGAATTTGGCCAGGGAGTATTTCTTCAACCTTTTCACCTCTAGTCTTGATAGAGATGTCCATTGTGTGCCTGCTGATTTTCCTGAGATTAGGGATGTTTTGCTTGGTAGTCTAGCAGATAAACCTAACCTGGATATGATCAGAACTGTGATTATGGACATGAATGGTCTCAAGGCCCCTGGAAAAGATGGATTCCAGGCCATCTTTTACCAGAAATGTTGGAACTCCATTGGGGAAGACTTCTCTCTCTTCATTTTGTCCTGTTTCAACAACCCTGGTAGAATCCAATCCATGAATGAAACCCTCCTGGCTTTAATTCCCAAAACTGATAGCCCCTCTTCTATGAACCAGTTTAGGCCTATCAGTCTTTGTAATGTGAGCTATAAGGTGGTTGCTAAGATTCTGGCAAATAAGCTGAAACCCCTCATGCCTCTCTTGGTCAAGAAAAACCAGTCTAGTTTCATTCCTAATAGACACATAACTGATAACATCATCATTCTGCAGGAAACAGTCCATTCCATGGCTAGGAAAAGTGGAAAGAAAGGATCTATGCTCCTCAAGATTGACCTAGCCAAAGCATATGATAGATTGGAATGGGACTTCCTGGAAGAAACTTTGAAAGCTGCTAAACTCCCTACTGGTTTCATCACGATGGTCATGCAATGTGTCACTACCACCAGCTTCCAAGTCCTGTGGAATGGGAGTGAAACTGAAAGCTTCAAACCATCGCGTGGACTCAGACAGGGATGTCCCCTCTCCCCTTATCTCTTTACTCTTTGTATGGAAAGGCTTAGCCACTGCATTTTGAGTGAAGTGAACAAGGGAAACTGGAATCCTTGCAGGCTCTCCCCTGGAGGACCAGCCCTCTCCCATCTGTTCTTCGCGGATGACCTCGTGCTTTTTGCTGAGGCCAACCCGAAGAATGCTGATACCATCTTAGATTGCTTAAGTCGTTTCTGTCTTGCTTCAGGAGAGATGGTCAGCAAGGATAAATCAAGAGTTCTTTTCTCTAAGAATGTGAACAACCAGAATAGGAAGGAAATTTGTAGCAGACTTGGAATCCAAGCCACTAGTGACCTGGGTAGATATCTAGGTGTCCCAGTCTTACATGGTCGTCTTACCATTAATACATATAAATATATTATTGATAGGATTGACCAGAAACTGTCCACCTGGAAAGCCAAAAACCTGTCCCTTGCAGGCAGGGTGACTCTTGCCATGGCTGTCCTGAATGCCCTTCCTACTTATGCCATGCAAACCACTCCTCTACCTCTCTCTGTGTGTGATACAATAGATAGGAAAGTTAGAGGGTTTGTTTGGGGATCCTTGAATGGAAAGAAAAAATCCCACCTGGTTTCCTGGGAAAATGTTTGTAAGCCTAAAGATCAAGGGGGATTGGGTTTAAAGTCTGCTAGGGCCATGAACATGGCATTCATGATTAAACTGGGATGGAATATTCTGAACAAGGAGTCTGATTTGTGGGTTCAAGTCCTGCAGGGGAAGTATTTTAAGCAGCAGAATGGGGAGATCAAAGAAATGAAGAAGAGCAACCATTCTAGCCTCTGGAAGGCCATTGTCCAAGGCATGAGGCTGATGAAGGAAGCTACATGCTGGAGCATTAGGAACGGCAAATCAACAAGTTTCTGGTGTCAGCCATGGCTGGACAATGGGGTCTACCTGGAAGACTTCTGCCTTACTGACCTCTCAGAGGAAGAAAAGAACTCATCAGTTGCTGAATGGACTACAGAGGAAGGTGAGTGGGATTGGGGAAGACTTAAACAGGTCCTACCTAATGACATTCTGGTTTCTATTGCAGGAATGGAGGCCCCCAATCCAAGCCTGGGTGAAGACAAGACAATCTGGGGACTGGAGAAGGATGGACGATTCAGGTTGAAGTCTGCCTATGGACTGGTTGCTGATGACCAGGAATCAGAACCAAGCACCAAATGGAAGAAACTCTGGAGATGGAAGGGGCCTAATAGAGTAAAGCACTTCTTCTGGCTTGTCTTCCACGACAGACTCTACACCAACAAGGAGAGGGCCAGAAGGAAGCTCACACAGGACAGCTCATGCCAACACTGCCAGGAGCCTGAAGAAACTATTGAACACATCATTCGGAATTGCAAGAAAGCCAAGGCTGTCTGGGAAAGAATGAATGACAAAATTGCAGAAAGAAGTGGAAGCCTTCAGTTCCATGACTGGCTGCTTGCTAACCTGCAAAACGAGGATACAGGAGTTGACTTTGGAATTGTCTGCTGGCACTTATGGAAGCAAAGAAATGAGGAAACAATTGATGGGAAAGCCTTCTCCAAAGAAGGACTTTTACTGAGAATTAAAGCCTGGTTCCGGATTGTCTGCCAAACAAAGGAGGACGTTCAGAAGACGACAACCACAAGAAAGAACCCTGTTTGCACATCTATTGGATGGGAACCACCAGCAGAAGGTTGGATCCAGCTGCATACTGATGGCTCGGTTATGCCACAAACAGGTGCTGCAGCAGCAGGAGGACTGCTTCGTGATCACTTGGGTAACTGCATGGAAGCTTTCACTTGCAACCTTGGGAGATGCTCCATAACAGCAGCTGAACTCAAGGGAGCGGTTGAGGGTTTGAAAATTGCGTGGAAGAAGGGCTATCGAAAGGTGAATCTGAAGATGGACTCTACCACAGCCATCGATGTCATCAGGAACAGGGACAAACAGGAGCATAGACATGGCAGTATTGCACAGCAGTTCAACCAGCTTCTCAGTCTTGAATGGGATGTTACAGTGGATCACGTGTACAGAGAGGCCAATTTTGCAGCTGATTACTTGGCGAATCTCGGCCATGATTTTAGTTTTGGTACACACAATCTCAATGTTAGAGATTCTGATTTAGTTAGGTGGCTTCGCCATGATGTAATGGGTATATCCCATGAACGTGTTATTAATATGAGTTAGACGCCTTTGCGTCGTCCTTTCTACCAAAAAAAAAAAGAAAAAATATTAATAACAATTACTGACGAGCCCAAAACACGGAAACCAGAAGCCCACCGGGCCAGTCTCTCTTCAGAGCCCAAACTGAAACAGCCCAAAAAAATTGTCCGTACCCAAAAAAAAAAAAAAGAAAAAAAAAACTCGGAGTCGTCGTCGTCCCCAATTGTCACCCCTCGTGCCCACGCGTGCTACCTACCTGGAAGATAGAAAAGTAGAGAAAATCCTTCCTTCCTTCTTCCTTCTCCCGTTCTCCGTCGACTCCTTCAATTCTCTCTCTCTCTCTACCAGCCAAGCCAAGTCACCAGTCTCCCCTTCCCCCACTCCCATTTCCTTCTTCTTCTTCTTCCCCAATCTCCCACCTTCAACCTTTGTATCAACCGCCATCGAAATCCCCCTACAGCAATGGAGAACTCGGGCCAAGAATCCAACCTCACATCGGAAACCTCCGCCACCTACAATTCCCCATACCCACTCTACTCCCTGGCCTTCTCCCCAACCCACCGCCACCGAATCGCCGCCGGCAGCTTCATCGAGGACTACACGAACCGGGTCGACATCCTCTCCTTCGACCCGGATTCCCTCTCCATAACCCCAAACCCTACCCTCTCCTTCGACCACCCTTACCCGCCCACCAAGCTCATGTTCCACCCCTCCCCTCCCTCCTCCTCCGGCGGCGACATCCTCGCCTCCTCCGGCGATTACCTCCGCCTCTGGGACCTCCGCGACGACGGCGGCGGCTCCGTCGAGCCCATCTCCGTCCTCAACAACAGCAAGACCAGCGAGTTCTGCGCTCCACTCACCTCCTTCGATTGGAACGAGATCGAGCCAAAACGAATTGGCACCTCATCAATCGACACCACCTGCACGATTTGGGACATCGAGAAATCGGTAGTGGAGACGCAGCTGATTGCGCACGATAAGGAGGTGTACGACATTGCTTGGGGGGAAGCCAGGGTGTTTTCTTCGGTTTCCGCTGATGGGTCGGTAAGGATTTTCGATTTGAGGGATAAAGAGCATTCCACCATTATCTATGAGAACCCGCAGCCTGATACACCTCTGCTTAGGCTAGCTTGGAACAAACAGGATCTTAGGTACATGGCCACGATTCTGATGGATAGTAACAAGGTTGTGATACTTGATATTCGCTCGCCGACCATGCCGGTTGCTGAATTGGAGAGGCACCAGGGGTGTGTGAATGCCATTGCTTGGGCTCCGCAGAGCAGTAAGCACATTTGCTCCGGTGGGGATGACTCGCTGGCTCTCATTTGGGAGCTGCCGACTGTGGCTGGACCGAATGGGATCGATCCCATGTCGATGTACTCTGCTGGCTCGGAGATTAACCAGCTGCAGTGGTCTTCCGCGCAGCCCGATTGGATCGCTGTTGCATTTGCTAACAAAATGCAGCTCCTGAAAGTTTGAGCGTGTTCTGTTGATCGTGAAATGGGTGGTGGTTGTTGCATTGGTATTTGGTACTCTACTAGAGTCTGGAGTTAAGAGGGGTATATACCATAGCTGTAGTTGCAGCTCCTGAAAGTTTGAGAGTGTTCTGTCGATCATGAATGGATGGTGATGGTTGCATTGGTATTTGGTACTACTAGAATCTGGAGTTAAGTGGGGTATATACCATCGCTGTAGTTGTCTTAAGCATTGAATCGAGTATCGTTAGGGGCCTCTTGCTGCTGTGACAGGTTTCTGGATAGTCACTCGAGCCATCGATGTTTCAGCCGCGCGATTGGAAGGCATGATCTTACTGATGTTTAGCATTTCTGTTTGCTGGAATCTAGCTCAGTGTCTGTAGGTTCTTATTCGGGAAGCAAGTTGTGGCTGTGGCTCAAGAGTGATTGATTATGGGGACTCCATCTCATATCATTGATTCGATGATCGAAAATACCAATGTCAGATGTTGTTTTCATATCTGTCACTACTGCTGTAATGTAAAATAGATGAACTACAAGAACTATGTATTTTGCAGGTCAGTTCCCAAGAATTTATGCAGAGTCGTAATACGATATCTTGTTTGCAAAAGAAAATTGCGATGCATTCGTGAAATCGTTGGGATTACCCAGATATGATTCGAGTTCATGATTTCAGGTATTCTAACATTACATGAAGTTTGAATGTATAAGATGGTTTTCGAGCCTGTAATTTGATGGAAAAGGATTCCGTTTCCTATGCGGAAAAGGTGAAATGCTGTAGGCTGCTTCTCAGTTTAGTAGCTGGGGCTATTGTGGTGTTGGGTACCGTTCTGTTTGTAGTTTGAATGGTTGTGGGCTTTGAGATTCCTTTTGGTTACGAAGGTATTGGGCTTGTAGTTTGAATGGTATTGTAGCCGGTTGACTTGTACAAAGACAGAAACTCATAAATTATCAAAGAGGGGTAAATTGCAAGGTTGGTCACTGAAAGTGTTAAAATATTCACGTTTGGTCACTAAAAGAATCTTATTCCATTCATGGTCACTGAAAGTGGTTAACGTTTCACGATTGGTCACTCTCCGTTAGTTTCCATTAACACCGTTAGTGGTTTGCTGACGTGGCAACCAAAAATGCTGATTCCATCTTCGATTTGTTCGTTGACGATCTGTGTTCCCGAATAGAAGCAGCAACGTCGCCGTGTTTGGGAGTGCCTCAGTTTTGGGGTTTCACCGTGTTCTGGGTTTGGGAGTAAAGATGAGAGGAGGCAAGGGCGATCGACTTTGAGGAAGAGCTGGTCACCAGAAGCATCGACAATCACAGCTACTATTGAAGGCCTGGCAGAGATGGGTTGACGATGGTGTTGTTGAATCCCTTTGGATGGTTGATGGCGACGGTGGGGATTAGAGGTTGATGGCGGCCGAGAAGAAGGGACTAAGAAGGTGGATTAAAATAGGGTTTTCATTTGGGCCAATTTAGTTTTAGGTTGGGCGGGTCAATAAGGAGGGTTGGGTCATTGGTTGGGTAATCTAACAAGGCTGGTAAAACTGACGTGGCATATCCGGTTTTATGATGTGGCAGATCAAAATTGGATGAATCATCATTTCTAGTTGCCACGTCAGCAAACCACTAACGGCGTTAATGAAAACTAACGGAGAGTGACCAATCGTGAAACGTTAACCACTTTTAGTGACCATGAATGGAATAAAATTCTTTTAGTGACCAAACGTGAATATTTTAGCACTTTCAGTGACAAACTTTGCAATTTATCCTATAGAAGAGCTATAGGCATCAAGTCACTACCGATTTGCTTTATTAGTGGAAACTTGAACCAAAGACAGAGACAACACAGAAAGCAAAATGTTCCGCCCCAATAATAATCGATATATTTATAGTCTAATTTTGTTTCTGTTAGCAAAATTTTTCTCATGTCATTCATGCCCATAGCGCACGTAAGGTTGTCATTCGTCAGAATTGCACATATTTTCCAATGGCAGCATTTCTTCCATGAGTGACGGCATACAAGTTTATCTTGGAGTTAGGTTTTGTGGATGTGGATGCTTGATGTTTTTGAATGACCACAACAACATCGTGATGATAAGCTTTTACGTAGTCAAGTCTTCCATCCAACATCTAGCTAGTTAGCAACTTGTAACACCCCGACTTTTTGATTTTTTTGTGACGACGCGAATCGGTTTCGTTTATTTTGACGCGAATCGGTTTGGATAGGGTGGATTCGTGAGTGCCTCTCGTCGGCTTCTTTCTCGGTGATGATGAATGGTGCCCCCTCGGGTTTCTTTCGATCATCACGTGGGTTGAGGCAGGGGGATCCCTTGTCACCTTTACTGTTCGTACTTTGTACGGAAGGCTTCTCTGCTTTGATCAATAAGGCGATTTCGGAAGGAAGGCTTGCGGGGGTGCGGGTGAGCCCTAGAGCTCCGGCCGTGTCGCATTTATTCTTTGCGGATGACTCCTATCTGTTTCTCCGTGGATCCTTGCGAGAGTGTGACGCGCTTCTGGCGGTGCTGCGGGAGTATGAGACATTAAGTGGGCAGAGGGTGAATTTGGCTAAGTCAGCCGTTTGCTTTAGTAGGAACATTTTGGGTCCTGATTGTGCCCTGATGGCTGCGCGGTTGGGTGTGGGTGCGGTTGGCGTCCAGGATAAGTACCTTGGTTTGCCGACTCTAGTAGCAAGGTCCAAGGCGGAAACATTCAGGTTCGTTGAGGAGGTCCTTCTCGCCAGGTTACAAGGGTGGAAACAACGTCACCTATCGTGGGCGGCAAAGGAAACCTTGCTGAAGTCGGTGGCAGCGGCTCTTCCGGTGCATGTTATGTCCTGTTTCCTATTGCCGAAAACTTTGTGTCGTCGGCTTGATCGCTTGATGGCAAGGTTTTGGTGGGGGACAAAGGATGGGTCGCCGAGGATACATTGGATGTCTTGGAGACGACTGTGCAGAAGCAAACATGAGGGCGGTTTGGGGTTCAGACGGTTTGAGGAGTTTAATCAAGCCTTGTTGGCAAAGGTAGGATGGCGGATCTTAGAGGAGCCGGGCTCTCTGCTAGCAAGGATGTATAAGGCGAAATATTTCCCAGATGGGTCTCTCCTAACGGCGGGCCCTCGGTCTCGCCCATCCTGGGGATGGCGGAGTGTGCTGCATGGTTGTGATTTGCTTAAACAGGGTCTGCAATGGCAAATGGGTACGGGGGAGGATGTGGAGATTGGATCTGCACTGTGGGTGCCGGGGGCGGAGCAGGAGGCTCCTCCTCTCTTGCCTATGGCGCCTGTCATGTGTCATGATAAGGTTTCGGCTTTGATCTGCCCAGGGGAGGGGAAATGGTGTGAGGATTGCCTGGTTACCTGCTTCCCTCCTCAATGGGTCAGACGGATTAAGGCTATTCCGTTGCCCCGCTTGGAGGTGAAGGACAAGCTTATTTGGGTGGAGGATTCGTCGGGTGTTTACACGGTCAAGTCGGGATATCATCTAGCATTCCGTCGGAGGCGCCGGTGGGCTAAATGGAAGGAGGATGTTAGCTGGATGGATTTAAAGCTGTGGAAGACTGTTTGGTCGTTGCAGGTGCAACCAAAGCTGAAATTCTTTCTTTGGCAGATTTTCAGTCGTATTCTGCCCACTACGGAGGCTTTACTCGAAAAGGAGGTTGATGTCCTGGGGCGTTGCCCGGTTTGCTGGGCGGAGCTGGAGTCTTTGGAGCATCTTTTCTTTCTTTGTCCGGTGGCGAAGGAGTTATGGGAATGCGGTGGGGTCCTGGGGCTGACGGATGGTCTGGATGGTGCTAACTTTGTGGTTTTCCTTCGGCGGGTCTTGGAGCGGGTAACATCGGCGGCCATGATGTGTCGAGTGGTGGCGGTTTTGTGGCGCATTTGGAAGGCGCGTAATTGGGTGGTTTTCGAGCTTAAGCAGGTCCATAGAGCCGTTCTCAGGCAGCAGCTTCTGCATCAAATTCAGGAGTGGGAGAGGGTGCTTGTAAGGGAGGGGGTTGGAGGGCTTGCTGTTCCGCCAGTGCAGGGGGGGATGGGGGGGTTGGCTGGAATCGTGGGGGTGCTGTCGTGTTCTTTTGATGGTGCGGTTTGTGGTCAGTCGCATGCTGCAGTGGGGATAGCTATCCGGGATGCAACGGGAGCCGTCGTGTTGGCGAAAGGGGAACGTTTGGATGGAGCGTTTGAGCCAGCGGTGGTGGAATTAATTGCTCTTCGGGAGGCTATGTACTGGTGCATTATGAGGGGCTGGGGATCAATGCTGTTTTTGGGGGATGCTAAAGCTATAATTGATAAGGTGAACGCGCTGGAGGTGCGGGACGCCAAGGGTGGAGCAATCCTTCAGGAAGTCAGGGCTTTTCGGCATATGTTCCCGGAGTTTAGAGTGCAGTTTGTGGGTAGGCAGAACAATAGGGTTGCCCATTTGGTGGCAAGGAAGGCCCTAGATTTGTCGGCTAGTGCTGTACTTGGTTTTGATTTTTGCGCTTGGCTCCGTTCGGAGTTGTAAACGTTCGATCTATCTTTCTCTTGGTAATACAAGCTATCTTTGGTTAAAAAAAAAAAAGTACGAGGTCATTGTTAGCAACCCACGCTAAAGTTTTCGAATTAGATTTCGTGACTTTCAGTTCACTATCTGTAACAAAAATCGTCATACTAACACATATACGTAGTAATCACAACATTAGCTTCTGAATTAACCGTGAACCACTAAATTTTTAAGTGTAGGTCCTATATAGTAAAAAAAAAGATACTGGTGCTCATTTTTTTAAAAAAGTCTGTTTCCGAATTAGATTTCGCGACTTTCAGTTCACTATCTTTTTTTTTTACTATCTAGGACCTACACTTAATCTTTTTACAAATAGATCCATAAATTTTGTTATGGTAAAATTAAGTTGGAATAAATTTATAATTTTTTTTACTATTATAGTACCTAAACTTTTAAAATTCACAAACGAGATATCATCCATTTCAAATCACTAATTGTGGCCTTATAAAATAAGCACATGCCTTCTCATCTCTTCCCCCAGCCACACTACTCCTCCCTCCCCCTCCCTAGCTCTCCATCTCTCGACTTTCCTTCGTTGCCGGAGCTATAGCTATGGACATAAAACTACTAACCTCATCAGGTGTCCCCTTCTCCACCCTCCCGCCGAGCTACGTCCGGCCCGAATCCGACCGCCCCCGCCTCTCCGAGGTCGTCGTCGACGGCCTCGACATTCCCGTCATCGACCTCTCCGCCGCCGTCGACAGGTCCCGGCTCGTGTCTCTGGTCGGTGACGCCTGCACCAACTTCGGCATCTTCCAGGTACGTACCCTTCACTAATCGATAAGGAAGTAGTTAAGATCCATACATATAATTAGTTTTCTTTCAATCATCCGACTTAGTAGTGGACAACAACTTTTTAACACAGTATCAGAGTTGGTTTGTCATTCATGAGGTCACGTGTGCTGTGCGAATCTTCGCGACCCCCAATATTAATCATTGTTTTAAGCACTAGCAGTGACAGACATGAATGAAAAAGTGCTTAGGATATGAGTTTTGCTCAACAATTCGAATTGTTGCGACCAATTGACTTTATGATTGACAATTGTTGCTTTGGGTGCATGGTGTCATCGGTGGTCATCAGGTGATTAACCATGGGGTTGGGTCGGGTGCGGCGGAGGAGATGCTGAGGGTGGCGGCGGAGTTCTTCGAGCTGCCGGCGGAGGAGAAGATGAAGCTCTACTCCGACGACCCGGCGAAGACGATGAGGCTGTCGACGAGCTTTAATGTGAAGAAGGAGAAAGTGCATAATTGGAGGGATTACTTGAGGCTCCATTGTCATCCTCTTCCTAAGTACGCACCTCAGTGGCCTTCCAATCCTCCTTCTTTCAGGTATCCATCCATCGTTCTCATAATCTCTCTGCTTAATTATGATTCATTTCAATTTAGGAATGACATTTTCGACCTGACCTGTTTTACCCGACTTTGTTTGACATGTTCTCGGACGGGTCCGACCCGTCTTGTATGTGAGGTGGGGCGGGAATGAGTATTCTCATCGACCCGACCTGTACTGACCCGCCCATTCTCGACCCGTTCTTGCCTAAATTACATGTGATCTTAGTTAAATTAATTAGGATTTTCATTTTATTACATAATATTTTAGCTATAACAAAGTTGTAAATTGGTGAAAACCTCAATTTCTCCAATAATTTAACTACACTTATCATAATATAGTTTTGTTTCTTGATCTTATAATCAACTTAACGAATATATCTAATATTTTTCATATAAATTGCATATGGCATACCCATTAGGTCGACCTGTCCGGGCTGCCCCAACCCATAATAATTTATCCGACTTGAACTCGACCTGTTACGAAACCAAATATGGATATCATGATACCTGCCTATTGCCATTCCTAAATTTCATAATTACGGGGTTCCTTTGTGCCGACCTTCACGAACATTGAAGAAGAAAGAGAAGCAGTAGCCGGCGACGACGAGTCAACTACGACTGAATGGAAACATACATAGCAAAGTCAAAGATAGATCAACTTCTCGAAGCCCCAGCTCCACTGCTCTTCGTCCGTCCTTATTAACTAGGCCGTTTCAAGTTATAATAATGCTTAATTACTTCTATTAACTATATCATTATGCACTAATCACTACAATCAACGGGATTTGTCGTTCGCATATTAAAGAAAACATGGTGGAGGGGAACAGTCAACAACTTCTAGAAGACCCTGCCTAGTGGCGTAGCTAGACTTTTTGTATTTATTGGGGTCTTTAAAAATTTATTGATGGCGTAGCTAGATTTTTTGTATTCATTGGGGTCTTTAAAAATTTACTGATACTAACGCAGTAACGCCTATATATTTAATGAACTTTGAGTTGATTTGGGGGTCTTATGTGAGGTAAGATCGACGAAATTATGAGATCCTAAACTTGAATAATTGTACAAAACCCTAGTATCTAAAGGATTTTGTTACACAATTTTGGCCAAGTGGGGTCATAAGACCCCTCTCCTTAACACTTCCCTCCGCCACTACAACCTTGCTCCAAATGGCGGTCGTCTCACGAACGTCTGCAAGGTGTTAGAGAATGATATAAGATCCAGCATAACATCTAACTTTTTTTCTTCTTCTTTCTTTTGTACAAAATAATAATGAACGGTCGAAAAATCAGAGACATACGTGAGTTCTTCATTCACTTGGTCCTTCCTTGCCTCATTTATCTAATAGTATGCATGATTGAAAACATTGAGCGAGCGTTTGATTTCTCTCGTTAAATGTTGTATTGTGATTAGTGGTGGATTCATGGTTTTTAGGGACAATCTAAATTTTGGACGAAATTTTGGTTTTTTTTTTTGTCATAGTTGGATGATAATTATTGACTCTTCGATAGTAGTTTGAGTTTGGGGTAGAAGCGTATTTTTGTTCCTTTAACGGGTACAAGACACCCCCTAAAATTTAGAGGGAAATTGTTGACCCTCTAATAGTAATTTAACTTTAGAGGAAGGGGGAATAGATAGTAGACTTTGCATGATTTATCCTAATGGGAAGAATGAGTTTGTTGATTCTGACAAGAAGAAGCTAATAAGTCTTATTCGAGTTTATCTAAATGATTATGGTCACCTTCCTGACTTATTTTCCCACGAGAATTGTTATTATTGTGTCAAGGATGGTGAGTTATTTATGAGATTAAAAGGAATTAGAAAAGCTAGCTCAATTCATGGGGAAGACAAGTAAATTTATCCTATTCATCAAAGCTATCTGCTTCTCGCGAACTTGTATTAATTTTACTAGTTACAACTTCAAGTGTTGAACGATGTTTTTCAAATTTAAAATACATCAAGAACAAGGTTCGACATTAAGTAAACCAATCAATTCGTGAATATAATTATATAAAAGTTATTTGGTGGCGCCATTGGGAAGGAAAAAGAAGTTATCTGGGCTTGGTCTCCAAACTTAAGGCGAGCGAGCTAACCTCCCCCACCCAACTTCATCCATACATCTCCGAGCCCAATTTCATTATTGTACATATCGGGCCCAAATTCACCTTCATCATATAGTTTTTCTCCTTTATGTTTCGTCGTCACCATGGTTGTCACGCCGGCCGGCGTGCCATCGGTTGTACCAGGTTTAACTGATACCGGTTATAAAAGTGGTGTGACACTACCGGTATGACCGGCATGATCGATATACGAATCTCTAAGTAAAATAACCTTATTTTTGCAAATTTAATTGATAAAAATTATTTTATTATTTATTTTATGAGTATAAAAGTTAAATATTGATGTTATTTGTTGGATTCAAGTATAAATGTTAAGGTATTGACGTTAAATATCATGTTTAAATATGAGTATTAATAATTTTATTTGTAATATTGACCGGCATGAACCGGCACAAACCGGTATGTACCACCGGCGGGCGAACCATTTCAATTACTAAACCAGCACACTGGCATAAACCGGTTTGATAACCTTGGTCGTCACCTTCGATGATTCAAATGAGGACAAACTTTGCAGGGAAACCGTGAGCAATTACTGCCAAGAAATTCGAGAGCTAGGGTTCCGACTGGAAGATCTGATATCGGAGAGCCTGGGTCTAGAAAAATCCTATATCAGAAAGGTGCTGGGAGATCATCAACAAGGCCAGCACATGGCCGTCAACTTCTACCCACCATGTCCACAGCCGGAGCTCACCTACGGCTTGCCGAGCCACACCGACCCCAACGCCCTCACCATCCTGCTTCAGGACCAGCTCGTCGCCGGCCTCCAGGTCCTCAACGACGGCAGGTGGGTCGCCGTCAACCCGCACCCGGGCGCCCTCGTCGTCAACGTCGGCGATCAGATCCAGGTGCGTACGTATATGAGCTCGAAGTTTGTATAGGTCTCCGAGGGGTGTGTCAAAACGACACACTATCGTTTGAGATTTGTTGAAAAATTCATGTTTCATCATTATGAAAATTTGAAATTAGAATATCTGAACACAACTCTAAGAATTGTAATTGACACAACTCTTTGTAAATACTCTACGAATTTGACGAATTGGATTTTTAATCGATTGACACACCTCTTCAAAAATCTTGGGTTTCGTCATTTGTTGATGTCGCTTTTTTCTGGACGCGAGCAGGCATTGAGCAACGGGAGGTACATGAGCGTGTGGCACAGGGCGATCACGAACACGAAGACAGCGAGACTGTCGGTTTCTTCCTTCCTCTGCCCCGAGGATGATGCGCTGATCAGCCCTGCACCGGAGCTGACTCGAGGGGACGATGGATCGTTAGTGGCAATATACAGGGGATTCACGTACGCAGAGTACTACAAGAAGTTCTGGAGCAGGAATCTGGATCAGGAACACTGCTTGGAACTCTTCAAGAACACCATTGAATAGAGTACTCTCTTCTATAGCACTTCGGTAACACTTTGAAACAATGTGCAACAAACATCAATTTCGTAAATCAACTGGTCCCAATAACTCAAAATGTTGTAAGAGGTTCATATGTGATACTCAAGGTTGTCAACCCGCGGGTTGACCCTGATCCGATCGAGCTAGTGGGTCAAGGGTTAACGGGTCACCCGTTTTAACCCGGAAATATGGAAATAGTCATTATATTGTACTTATCCTAATAAATTATATCCAATCTCATCTAACATATGAGTAATGACATATAACATTACACCAAAGTAACATGTCGTACTTAGATCCAACATATAATGAAAATTCACATACACTTACATAACATCAATATTCAACTGTTCAACTAAGGATTCCATAGATTGAGTTAGAAGGGGGAAACATAGGAAAATAGGCGCATTTCGCAAACCAAAGAAAAAATGACGCAATTTAACCTCCAACCCAATACCTGACAACGGTCGACCCGGCGGGTACGTGCGGCCCGTTTTTCTCACCGGGTCGGGGTCAAAGTGGGTCGACCCGCGGGTTGAAAACCTTGGTGGTACTTAATCGCTTCCCTTTAATTGAAAGCTAACGCGCATAAGCTTGAAGCTTGCACACACAGGCCCACCATATCATATGCTTTGAAGTCAACGATCAGTACCAGGGATCCAGAGGACTTTGAACACGTAACAACCAACCAACTCTGATATCATATTACAAACCAACAGGTCCCAATAAATCGAGTTGTTGGAAGAAGCGTACGTAGAAATATTGTACTACGCAATGAAGATAACATGACCAATCATTCTTTATTATTTTATTCATGAACCCATACAAAAGCTGTCTCAACCCATCATGCAAAGAAAACATGTTGAACGGTCGATCACCGGCCGGAAAAGGAGAAAACAGCAAACCATCTTTACTTTAGAACAACAACAAAGGGCCGGGAGAAAACACACACGGAAAAGGAAGCAAAGTGATGAGAGATCGATACCAAGTTTCGGTCCAGACGACGACGACGTACGACAACATTGCATGCATGCATGCACCCGCCACCTCGACGGATCTTCCGTGGACCAAAGAGAAAACACATATTCATAAACTGCACAAGCAATAACAACTAATGGCCTCACAGTCGCAACTCGGCTTGCAATAGTTAGGATCTTGACCTTCACACAGATGTGGGTAATAGCTACGACACGCAACGTTGTTGCAAAAAGGATTGCACCATTCCAGTACCGAAGCCGTATTGTTGTTGGATGCTTGAGGTACGACGACGTCGACGACTCCTCTTTCAGGCAGCAGTTGGGAGGCCAACTTCCGGTGGTTGCTGCTGCTGCATGATTGATGCGTGCGTAGAAGCGTTTTGGTGATCTAAAAGCGTAATAATTAACCGTATTTAACGGTTTTTAAACCGGCCACAACTACACCAACATCACGATAAACCATACCTCACGTTAGTCGGAGCATCGTCGACATTTCTCCACTGCGGACTAACAACTCGCGAAGGCAAAACATCTGCGCGCGCGTATGTATTCAAACATTCAAACACTATCGATATACAACGAAGAAGAAGAGACTATAAGTGAAACGATGGAGGGGGAAAGATATACGTACGTGGGAGGACGACGGCCCATATTATTACCAGCGGAAACAAGACGGCCAACCTAGAAATACTCGGCATCGCCATGGCTGTAGCTATGTATTATAATTAATTCCGATCCTAATCAATTATAGCTTCCCTTTTCTTCTCCTTTGAAGTAATTTGTTGGGTTTAATTTGCACGTTGATGAGCAACACCAGCTGCTTATCCCTCTTTATATATGGGGAAAAACCAGCGTATAATCAGAACCATCGGTTATTATTTTTATATGTGTATAATATCTAAGGGTATTCAAGATTGGAGTATCTTCACTTTGTTCTTGTTTCCTGGACGACGTGCTTCTACCGGCTCAGTGATTAGGGTCGGCTTATATGCTTGGTAGCGGGGGAGACGATGCTATGCATAGATTTTGCTCTGCTTTTTTGTTTTTTTCTTGTTCATGGATGAATCCGAATTGGTTTGGTTTGGAAGAATCGTAAGGGACGTGTATATAAAAAACCATAGTGCTGCAAATGAGCCGAGCGGCTCGAACGTTTGGTTCGGAAAAAAAGTTTCGTTGCTATTAGACTCGTTTACTAACGAGTAGATTTTGAGCTATGTCTTGCTCAAGTACTCGTGAGGTTCGCGCGAGTCAGCTCGACTCAATGGGTTACGTTGTTGAGTTCAACTCGTGAGCTTTGCTCGTTTGTACAGTTCGATGGTGTGGCGAGCCACTTCGACTGTACCAATTGCTAAACAAGTTAGGTCCATATGACTCGAGTTGTTGCTAGATGTTCCATTATGGGTATTATACCTGTTTACTCTATCACGGCCCCCCTTAAAAGAAAGCCTGCTCATGTGGTAGAAGTCTGCACAGGTGTGAATAACATGTGCATAAGAAATGAGGGTCGACGGGATTCGAACACGGACCTCTCAAACATTGAAGGCTATATATGATACCATGTCAAGAACTAGTTTCTGGTTAGCAGTTTCTTCGCGCTTCTTAGTTCTAACTCATTTCGCACGTTGCAACATTGCCAAAACTGAACTCAACCAATGATACTCCAACCCCAAGAGTCGAACCTTCTTCATTTTCAAAATTTTCATGTTAGATGAAACAGTTTACTTGCGCTCACCAAATATAGAATTGCAAGCGAATTACATTGATGTGATTACAACAAAACTGACATGAGTTGGATTGCATAATATGCAATCGAGACAGCAAATTGATGTTACACTTAGATTGACATGAATGCTCTTAGTGTTAAAGAATCCCTCGAGATTAGCAAGAAAAAAAAAATATTCCAAGAAAGTATCAAATTCAACCTACCATGCCTCGTCACTCAATTTTATCTTCAGTTTTTTTTTTTCGTAGAACTTTGGATGTATCTGTGATGGGTTAGGTGGAAGGTGGTGGCCAAATCTTGGATGTTGAAAGCTTCGCTGTAACTTGCAATTGTAAGGAAACCGGGGTTGAATTTGTTTGGTTCCCACTTGCGTGTCATGCAATGAATCATCATTCAAACTGTGTTGCGACGCAGCATCATTCCCCATTAGCCTCGGAGTTCTGATGAGATTCGGTGTATTAATCGTTGGTATTCGGAGTTCTGACGAGATTCGGTGTATTAATCGTTGAAAGATCTTGCACATAATAACTCTGCATTTCATTCACTTTCAGTTCACCAAATATGGGAATGGGATGAGTTTCCCTTTGATGCAGCTGCATACAGAGGTAAGTAACCAACAAGTTACCATTATTTTTCACTGCATTCCCTCTTCTTTTTACCGTTTTACTACTCTTCAATTCGCTCTATCTTCCCTTTACCTAATCGTGGAGAGGTGAAAGTAAAAGTAAAAAAAAAACCAACAACAATCAAATTCACAGAACAGAGCAACCCAAAACAAGAAAGAAACGACTGAGAAGTATCAATGGCGGAGGAGATTCGATCTATGCAGCAGTCTTGAGGAACTCCATGACATAGGTGTTGAAAGCAGAGCAGAGCACCCTGAATCCCTTGAATCCGGCGCCCTTGCACAGCGACTCGAACTCCGACTGCGTCCTCTCTTTCCCTCCCGGGTTGTGCGCCAGCATGATGCAGTCGATGTGCACCACGTTCTTCGTCGCCAGGCTCGCGTCCGGCGCCACGGGCAGGATGCACTCGCACACGATCACTTTCCCGTTCGCCGGCAGCGCCTCGTAGCAGTTCTTCAGGAACTTCAGGCAGTGCTCGTCGCTCCAATCGTGACATATCCACTGCAACAAACCACCATTACCCCCATCAAACTTCCACTCTTCCATACTTTTTAAGTCTCAATGATTAGCTAATGGTCCACTATGGAGAGTTATATCAATAACTCGAGTCGTTGAAATGAACAGATCCTAGACATTAATAAGAACACATCCCCCTGATTCATGTACTTACGAGTTACGATACACCAGTCTATATACACTACGTCATAAGTTTGGTTCATCATATTCGTTGTCAGATTACTATCAATAACTCGAGTAGTTGAAATGAACGGAATACTCTAAGAGCACATCCCCTGATTCATGTTCTTACGCTATACCAGTCTATACCACTATGTCACATTCACCAGCATCAATTCACAAGCGTACCTTCATGAAAATGGCGTCATGACCAGAGGGGACGCTGGCGAACATGTCGCCGCCAACATGCTGGACGCCAGGGAGCGGAGGAGCGTCTGCAATAACATGGGGGAGATCGAAGTTGATCCCTTTAATGGAAGGGTGCTTGGAAAGGATCATGCTGAGCACAGCTCCAGTGCCACCACCAACATCCACCAGCGATTTCAGGCCATCGAAACCGGTGTAGGTCTCCAAGAGCTTCTTCATTGTAATGGTGGAGTGATCAGACATCCCCTTGTTGAACACCTTGTTGAATCTTGGATCGGTGCCATGGTACTCGAAGGCTGTCATCCCGTATGCCTTGTTGAACGGGATGCCTCCATCCAATACCGCATCTTTCAAGTGATACCTGCAAGAAAATCCAAGTTCCCAAACGTTGAAACGAGAAGTTCTAACAAGAGCAATTGGAGCGTATAATTCCTGTCAATGTGGTCATCAAAGAATGTGATTCAATTCAACCCTTAGATAGCCAGAACAAGTATTGCTACTGCTAAATCCATCAACCAATTTGGTCAGATTATCTCAAAACGGAACAATTGGGTCAAATTAATCAGTTCGAATTCCTCATCCAGCTCAAATTGATCCGGTAGGTTGTGAGAATCGAATCAGAGAAGGTTCACTATGACAGAACCTGCTACTTCTAAATGAATCAAGCAACGGGAACTACAATGAATCTCCAAATCCATAGACATTGATTGAGCAGAAATTATGATCTAAAGAAGCAAAACCCAGTACTCAATCGAACTCAGAATCAGGGGAATATAGTCAATTTACCAGCTCTCCATGAGGACCTTGTCCTGGTTCATGAGTGCGAGCGCGGCGATGGAGACGCCGTCCTCGTTCTTGGTGAGGAACTTGCAGACGGGTGCGGGGCCGTAGAGCCTCTCGACGGCGCCGTCGGGGAGGGTGCGGAGGGAGCAGGTGAGGACGGAGTAAGAAGCGAGGAGGCGGCAGATGCGGTCGAGCACGGCGGGAGCTTCTGGGTTCTTGGTGGGGAGCTGGGCGGCGATTTCGGCAGGGGAAAGGTAAGCTCCAGCCCCAGCTTTGGTAATGATCTCGAGGAGGTCGAGCTCGAGCGCCGATTTGAGCACCATGGGGAGGACGGAGGCGCTGGCCAGCTGCATCGCGAACAGGTTGGCTTCCTCGTCGGAGACCTGGGTCGGAGTCATCTGGGTTTCCGGCGTCGAACCCATTGTTTCTAGAAGGATAAGGGGAATTGGGTAGTAGTAAGTGGGAGAGAATTGGTAGTAGTGGTGGTGATGGTGAAGATCAATGGCGGAATGTGGGAGATTTATATGGAGGATTGGGGGAGATGGAGATGGCGGATGGGTCCCGCCGGAGCTTGTTTCTATCTCAACAACCGCGCTCTCTCTCAGTCTCTCTCTTGCTCTGGCTCTTGCTCTGTGTATACTAGTCACTGCCTGCTGCTACCGCTAAATGCGACCGTTGACCTTTCCCTGTAACTTTAATCGCCATTAAAATTTTCCTTCGCATTTAGAACCAAGCTTCTAATAAACAAAGAAGAACGAACCGTACTGGTAATAAAATATTTTTAGGGGTTTAATATAAGAGAAAAGGAAACATGTGGAAGGCAACAAGTGGTACAATGAGAAAATTAGATAAGCCCAGTTCCCGCTGTTAATTATTTTTTTTACTTAGATGTGCACTAGAATACTACACAATTTACAGTATTAAATGATACATATATAGATATAAACTAGAAATACTATAACTTATACCCATTTACACTAGCTATTTTGGTCTCTTTAGTTCTGTTTTTATCAGTAGTTGTGGCAATATGAGTTGTCAACAGAACATAAATTGACTTAAAACGGTGAGATCACTTTCAACATCTTTCTTACTATTTTTAAAAATAGTTTTTAGTGGTTTCTATAAGTTGTTGGAATAATTTCACTCAAGTAAATTTATGCCCAAAATTTCTCACTCAATTGTCCGGTCACCTGTTTATTGATGTAATAAGTCTGATTGGATTTTACCAGGGTAGGGTGTTGGGGTGTACATGTATCGGGTGGTTCGGGTTTACTGTTTAGCAATTTTAATTACCTGACTCATGCACTACTATTTTGGAAATACCAAATTCAAACCCACCCAACAAAAGTAAAATCTACGATTTGTTTATAATTGGGTTGGGTCGGGTAGGCGTCTAGGCGATACTTTTAAGTCAAAATCCAACCCAACACAAACAAAAAAAATTACTCTACACCACACAAATATTATATAACTAATTAAAATTTCAAAAGAATAAATCGACGTGAGAAGCATCAAAATGAATAATTGTTGTTTGAATTTTAATAAAATGCGATTTGCTTCAACATATGTGTAGTTTTTTTACAAATATTTGTTGAAATAGGCTAAAGAGGATATATATACGAACACATCCATAATTTATTATTCTCATAAAATTGTATACAAGAAAAATGATTACGTGAAGGATAGCCTATGTTAAATCTATTTCTAAATTTAAGTTGAAGAATGCATAGGTTCGTGACACAAAGTGAGAAAAATATCCCAAATATCTTAATTTTCTCACAAATAAGACACAATTTTTTTTATACAAACACTCATACTAATAGTTGAGACATGGGTTGGCTGGTTCTACGGGTTCTGTAACCCAAAATCCAAATCCAACTCAAAAGAGACGGTTATACAAAAGAAAATTCTCATCCAAATTCCAACTTTAATTTTAGCAATAAATACGAGTGGACTGGGTCGAGTTGGACGGGTGGGTCAGTTTACGAGTCATTTTGTTCACCCCTAGTAGGGTGTTCTTCTGGACTATTGTTTCTTTCTTCACATTCCTAGGCGGAAAAAACATCGATACTAAACAGGGTCTAAAGAAGCAACGAAACGCTTCTCTGTTCCTAATTTTGTCAACTATCATGATTTATCCAACATTGGGCGACTAAATAAGTTTATGTTTTCTATTTTTACCCTATTATTACATCTCTAGTACAACCACACATCACCAAAATTATACTAAACAGAGATGGATGTGGAAGGAATAGAAAAAACCGCACAAATTAAGTAAATGCTTATATGATCTCATATGTGTTCGAAAGGGGACTCAATTCCAGCTAATTGGTTCTCTTTAATGACGAAATGGTCCTAAATCTTAATTTAATCACCAAAAAAAAAGAGACGAGAAAATGAAATGTTTTTATGTATTTGTATTATCTTGCATTGCATTGCATTTGCATGGATGGATCCGGCGCCGGCATATATTCCTGTTAGGGCTGGCTATTTGGTCCGGATTTTTTGGTTTTACTCGAAACCGGACCGTACAATCCGGATCGAGACTGGACCGGGACTGGATAGTAAACAATCCAATCCAATCTTTGGGCTTAGATTTGAGGTAAAAAAACCGGATAAAGACTGGATAAGAGAGTTCAACACCCAAAACTTAAGGGTAATTTGCATAAACGGTCACAAACCTTTCCACTTAGTACAAAACTTAACTAACTCCTCACCCTTTCAGGCCTTAGGCCACTCAAATTCCCACAATCTCAATATAAAATCAAGACCGAATCGGGACCGGACCAGGTTAAGACCGGACTGTATCCAATCCAATCTTCGGTCCTTATATTTTCAAAAAGACCGGACTGGACCGGATCAATTTGGACCAATTTAACCAGACCGAACCGTATAGCCACCCCTATTCCCGGTGAGGTTGACTTGCCCGCTGTAGGGATAATCTGCCGGCGATTAGTCAATATACGCCACTGGGCCTAAATATATTTATTGATGAAAGGTGGCCGGGGTTGATAGATCCGACCATATTTTCCGGTGGGGTAGCTAGTCCTTGTAAAGCCCTATAGGGTATGAATTAAGGAGAAAAATCAAATCCTCACCAACCGCGGACTTGGTAGCTCTGGTAAGAGATGGTATGCGCCGATTGCCAATCACATTCCATGGCATCTTGATTTGGTCAATACTTCGTCCACCTTGCACTCGGCCGGCGTACTTTAAATCTAGCTAGCTTGCTTGACAATGATGTTATATCTATTTTTCATCCAAACACCGCGACGATGACGAGGCAGATCTTACAAGCACGTGTTTACACCTCTTAGTTTGCCGGATTCGTGATTGGATAATTGTGGTGTGTACGAAATTTGAATACAAAAACAAAATCCGCTTAGTAATTTTTTGTTCGTGTTGCGATGTGTACTAAAAAAAATCATATGATGTCGAATCAAGTGATCGAGAGCACGTCAGTGCGCGATACTTTCTACCTATTGCCACCCAAGCATCACTCTTTCTTCCACCTGAAAAAAGCAAGACTTGAAACCTTCTCGAGCGATTAGATTTGTGATTGGACTATTGTGATGTGTGTGAACCGTGAAGATATCTGAATCAGACTCTCTTTCGTTCGTGTCATGGGTACACAATAACCATACGATAACAAATCGAATGCTCAAAATGTGTGACCATGGTGCCTGTGCGTAACCCATTCAGTAAGATAGCCATATTTCATCACCAATAATAACTTTCTTGTTAGAGTTTGAGTGTCTCGGGTTGATTTATGGATCAAATAGCAGTTAGAAACCTGAGTAGTCCAAAAAGTAAAGAAAATTTGAGGATCGTAATTCGACCATCAGTGCATTTAATCGGGTTTGGTACAGTCAAAATATCAATTCGACCCAATTTTTTCTTTTTCCACTATTCGAAAAATTTATAAGACCAAACACCATAATACATTATATTCGATCCAAATGTCCAATTGATATGATACGGTCTGATAACGACCAACCCTTTCCACACTCCTACACAAAAGCCATAGTACTCTAATCTCTTTAGAAGTTTCACTAATTGAATTAACCTATTTTCGTTGGTTAAGCTAATTTGTGTAGGAAAATTATGTAACCGAGTAATTTAGATTGGACTTAAAAGAGGAAAGCACCCGGCATGACTGGGCCTCGGTGGGCTAATCATGTTTGAGCCCGAAGCCCAATACTCATCTTCCTTCTATGGCACTTTTCAAAATTTGAGTTTCTTCGCTAATTCGTGCCCCGCCTGTTCCTCTGCCCATCTCCAATTAATCCCCTTTTGACTGCGAGTTGAATTAGGTCCTCAACGGAAACACTCCGGTACAGCAGAGATGTCGGCGAAGCAACGGAAAGCCGGAAAGAAGACCATCACCAAACCGCCGCCGGAGCAGGAGATCATCATTCTTTCCGATTCGGAGAGCGACGGCGGGACTCCAGTACGACCCGTATTCTGCCTCAACGTCAAAAACGGCACGGACTTGCGCAAGTTCGACGCCATTGAGGACTGCTTCATCCTCGATTTCGACCCTTACGATCAACCCGCCTCCGATCAGAAAGTCAAAAACTTCACCCCGGATGCCGACATCGCACTGATTTCCGAAAAGGGTCAGGTGGGTTTTCCCCCCTTTCGCCCTCTCTCTGATCGTATCCCTCTGTTTCCCCCAATTTGATTTGCTCAATTCTGAATTGGGTGTTTTTGGGGTTTGAATCTTTGTTCAAGGTGGCTTGTAGAGATTATCCCCATGCCAGGCATCTCTGTGCAGAATTCCCATTCGACAAGACTCCACACCAGAAATACTGCTCCAGGGTTTGTGGGGTTTTTCGTTTTCCTCTTCCAATTACTTGGCAAAGTAGGCATCTTTCTTCAATTTGGGGTTTTGGGTTTTGATTCTTGCAGTGTTACTGCTACGTTTGTGATACGGCTGCTCCCTGCGCGTTATGGGAAGTGGGGAAATCTCCGCATTGCCATGCCATGGGGCAGGTCGCTGCTTGGCAGGTGGAAAGAGACAAGATGCGAAATCGACGAATCTTGGGCTCCAAGAATCGATTGCTTTGTTAGTTAGAAACGACGGTGGTGCTTTTGGTTCACTCCTATTCAAAGATCACTGCTTTTGAGTAGCTTCATTCAGAGCTCGACTTAAATGGAAGCCCAGCTGGGTCTCACGGTAGAATTTGACTTCACCCTTTTGTTTCTGTTGGTTTCCTTTAGCCAGCAGCAGATTGTAATTTTGATGGTTTCAAGATGAGAATTGAGATCACTCAGCAGTGGCATTGTCAATCTGGTTCTTTCTCTAGTTAGGGGAAAGCTTGTTTTGCTAATGCATTCGTCTGTCCTTTTTTGTATCTGCTACTTGCTGACCAGTAGAAGAGACTATGGTTCTTCTGTTTTAAGGTACCTCCATGCTTTTGTTCATAAAATTGCAGGCTCTTGAGTTGTTTTTCCTCTATACATTTGGCTTCGAATGGCTACTGTCTACTGGTTTTTTCCTCTCGCCTTGACTACAGTCTGCAGGCATCCTTTACAAACACAAACTTCCCCCCCGAACTAATAAGATTCACTTGGTTTCTGACATACAAACATGGCAATTGCAGTAAGACAAGACATCCACCTTGGTTTCAAGTGGTTAGTCGAATGGAAATGTCTGGAACCTAGAGATCATTGGTAGTTGGCAAACGCCTTACTACTGAGCTTCTGCTTTCCAGTGAACAGCTCATAGTCTTTTAACTTTCTTACTGTACCAATAAACCACTTTCTGCCTGCAAAAGAACCATCTCTTTTGAGTTCTCCTTCCACCAAATATGTGATGCCAAAACCCCAATTGGTATAAACTAACTCCTCTAGCAATGCTCGTCACTCAATTCGCATTAGAACGTTGAATCAACTTTTATTCGAACGCTCATTCTTATAAGTAGAGATACGTGATTAGCGAATGAGATCATAACTACCACACCACAATCCTATAGTTAGTGGTGTTAGTAGTTAGAGCTTAGTGCGTCCCAACACGCTAATTAACATCGAATTATGATACTCCACATTCATCAAATTATCGTTAATCACAAGACACACAATCGAATAACCGTACTAATTAGCGCCTAGTTTGTATATCTGACAAGTGATAATGCACTTTGTTAACTGTTAAGAGAAGCGGTGGGCCAATGAGGGAGGAAAAGAGAGCGGGCCCAAAATAGAAGCCCAACAACTCAGCAGGAAAACCCTGGCCTGTCAGGCGGATCATTGGTCCCCCGAGCCCACCCAAAGCGAACTGACAAAATGGCACCGAGAGAAGCAACCTTGCCCCTATCTTCTTCCTATCCCTAATCTTCCATTCTCCTCTTCATCAGTCTCTCCTCGACTACTCCCGCAGCCATGTCGCCACCGGGTCCCGTCATCGAAGCCGTTGAGCCTGAGACCACCGAGCAGGTCGTCGCCGTCGAAGAGAAGAAGAAGCTCGCTCCTTCTCAGGTCAATTTGTATATCCATTTTCTCCTATTCCCCCCATCTTTGAAATAGACTCGTAAACCCTTTTCCCCTGAATCAATTCGATTTTCCCCCGCAGAGCGATGAGCCCATCGTGGAGGACGTAAAGGAAGAAGACGATAAGGACGACGACGACGATGAGGATGATGACGACGATGACGATGACAAGGAGGACGACTCCCCTGGTTCGTTACTTATATTTTCTTCCTTTTTTAGTGAACTATTGATCTTTCGAGCTGAAGTTTTTTTTTTTCTTCTGTTGAGCAATTTGAAAGGACTTGTTCTCTTTTTGTGAATCTAGGGATTTACTGTTCAATGGATTTGCTCTGATTAGCTTAGATTTGATAGGATTATGGAGTTGTAGCAATTGCTCATTTGCTTTAGGACCACTTTGATAATAGTGGTCTTTGCTCTGTGATTTTGTCTGAGTTCTTTCCATGTCGTAGTAACTCATTCTTTAGATGGGAATGGATGATTTTCTTTAAGCTTTGATTAGTCTATGGAGAAAGAACTGAGCTTGTCCTTGGACATTCGATAATCGTGGCGTTTGCTCTGTGATTTTGTTGGAGTTCTTTCCATGTCGTAGTAACTCATTCTTTAGATGGGAATGGATGATTTTCTTTAAGCTTTGATTCGTCTCGGGGCCGCCTCGAAGCAGAGTTATCGGTTGTAACAAATTGTGATGTTGCCTTACTTGCAGGTGCTAATGGCAGCTCGAAGCAAAGCAGAAGTGAGAAGAAGAGCCGTAAGGCGATGCTGAAGCTCGGCATGAAGCCTGTCACTGGTGTTAGCAGGGTCACCATTAAGAGAACCAAGAACGTAAGCTTGCATTCTCTTTTTCTGCCACTCACTTCAATGACTTGGGATGATAGCACTCAACTGAAAAAAAACTGTTACTTCGTCGACTTTGCAGATACTATTTTTCATCTCGAAGCCAGATGTGTTCAAGAGCCCGAACTCCGACACCTATGTCATATTCGGTGAGGCCAAGATTGAAGACTTGAGCTCCCAGCTGCAGACCCAGGCAGCCCAGCAGTTCAGGATGCCCGACATGTCCTCCATGCTACCGAAATCCGACCCTGCTGCAATCGCTGCTGCGGCGACGCAGGCGGACGAGGAAGAGGAAGAGATCGACGAGACCGGAATCGAGCCTCGGGATATCGATCTGGTCATGACACAAGCGGGAGTTTCGAGGGCCAAGGCTTGCAAGGCCCTCAAGACCCACAGCGGTGACATTGTCAGCGCCATCATGGAACTCACCACTTAAAGAGAGACTCTGAACTATCCAGCAAGCGACTCTGGTTTTTTTTTTTTTTTGGGATCTAGTTTAGAATTGCTCCTCTTGTGACAAGAGTTATCTATTTGTTTCTTCATTTGCGAAGAACTTGGAATCTTTCCGTGAAGTTTTTTTGGGTAGAGACTGGTACCGAGTTATAGACGGCATTATGTGTCCCATCTTTAATATCATCTCTTTGTCAAATTGCATTGGATCAGCCAATGTTTGAGAATTGAGTGGGATGTCTTGGTAATTGAAACAGTATCGATTATCATATGATTGACGGCGGGGCGGGCATGGGTACCTCTCGTCAATTCAATCTGCTCTAAAATTGAAACAATATCGATTATCATATGATTGACGGCTTATGTTAATCGATTAAAAAAATGAGAAACTATTATTATTATTATTATTATTATTATTATTATTCTATTTTTTTATTAAACTAAGATATTTTATATAATTGATGGGACATAGCCACCTAGGATATTTGGTGGATTTTGGGGGATATTCAAGTTTATGAGAGGATTTTAGGAGATATAGGATACTTAAAGAAAGTTGTTAGAAAATTATGATTATAACTCTTCCTCCCTCCCTTTCTTCTTCCTCACGTCACGGCCAAAACCCCTCCTCTTCCTTTTTCTTCTGTGCGGCCGCCGCCATAGCTCCTACACCACCATCCAATTGTTCGATCAATTCAAATCGACAGGCTGGTTAGAAAAATGTTTGTACCAAGACAAGTAGTCTTGGCAAAGAACCAATTATCGCAGTCAAAGCAGCTGACCGCAGACGGCCGAATCGAGCTCCGCGACGACGAAACGTGCTCCTCGGCGCTGGCCGGAAAAATCGACAAGCTATTAGAATCCCACGCCAAGGTCGTCACCAAGCTCGACAACCTGCTGGAGACGCTCACGCGTGATCGGCGCGAGGCGCGAATCGAGAAAAGCATCGAAGCACTCAGGCAGACGCTTGTGGAGATCCTAGGGAGATTAACGACGGGAACCGGCCGGCCGAGCGCGGCCGCCGCTGTCGATGCAACCTCCGATCCTCGGGATATCGATTTGGTCACGTCACAGTCAGAAGACGAAGAGGAGGACGAGGAGGAGGACGACGACGACGACGAAGACGGATCTCCAGGCTCGTTACTCAACTACTGATGTTTCGAGCTAAAGCTATAACGCAGTCAAAATCGCGCATTTTAAATTTAAAAAACAAAGTTAAAAGCTTACAATGTTACGCATCTAGGTCACCAAAGAGTTACTTCGTAGAATCGCGCGCGTTTTTGACTGCATTGCAAACCGTAATGAATTGCGGTGTGGACTTACTTGCAGGTGCTAGCGGGAGCTCTGAGCAGAGCAGAAGCGAGAAGCAGAGCCGCAAGGCGATGCTGAAGCTCGGCATGGAGCCTATTACTGGTGTTTGCAGGGTCACCTTCAAGACAACCAAGAACGTAAGCTGCGTTCGTTTTTTTTCGGAATCTTTTCTTCTGCCTTCTGGTTTCGATTTCCATGAATTGGGGGGTGATGATGATAAGGTTGAATTGAAAAAATTGTTAACTTCGCCAATGTCTCGCAGATACTATTTTTCATCTCGAAGCCAGATGTGTTCAAGAGCCCCAGCTCGGATACATATGTCATATTCGGCGAGGCCAAGATCGAAAACTTGAGCTACCAGCTGCAGAGATTATCCTACCCTGCTGCAGTTGCTACTGCGGTGGATGGTGACGATGATGAAGAAGATGACGAGGATGAGGATGCCGAAGAGGTCGACGAGATCGGAATCGATCCTCGAGATATCGATCTGATCATGACACAGGTGGGAGTTCCAAGGGCTATGGCCTGCAAGGCTCTCAAGACCCACAGGGGCGACATTGTCAGCGCCATCATGGAACTCACCACTTAGAGACTGCACTATTCACTATTCAGCAAGCAAGTGACTGCTGCTTTTTTTTTTTTAATATTTCTCCCGCTGTAGTTTAGTATTGCTCCTCTTGGGACACCAGGTAACTTGTATGAGCGACTTTCGTTTCAAGGGGGCGTGTTAGTATATGGTATAAGATCTATAATTCAACCTCTTTCAGTAACTCGAGTTTATTGGTACGAACTGGTTCTTGACATTACGTGCTTTTGTATCATCTATCTCTGCCACCATGTTGCCTTGATCAGCATTCATTTGAACTGCCCTCTTGTTCAGTTAATTATCGAAGGACTTGAACGAATACTAGGTTCTGTAATGCATCTAGGCTAAAACTGATGAATGAATGAGTTCAAGGTTTAAACACCATTGCACTAAACACAATCTCCCTGTGTAGGCAGGTTTGATGAGGCTACTAAGGATACTGAAGTTCTGCCATCTCTTTTTCCCCCATGGAACGTCGTAGAGCCAAGCCCTCCACTCTATTATCAATATGTTCGCGAGCAATCATCGATGGAACCGACACCACGAGAACTCCAACATTGGAGTCAACAATCAACTTACTGTAGTCCGATAGTTACGAGCTCGATCGGTGCTCCCCTTTGCATATGCCTTCCAGCCTGAACTTGGTAACATTGATCACCTCGAAGACAGATCATAAACCAGCCTATTCATATGACATGAGATAACAAAGTATGTCCGTAACATTCTGATTATGATGAAAATTTACAAAAAAATTGATATGGCTTCGCCCGGGTTCGAACCGGAGACCTTCAGTGTGTTAGACTGACGTGATAACCAACTACACCACGAAACCATTCATGCATAAATAATGAAACATCTTACACCAATACTAAGAAACCTGAAAAATCAAGATATTATAAGTACGATTGAAGACACATATATATGCCTAAAATGGTTACACAGAATAAAATCAATCTATATAGTAATTAACTAGCTTTGTACCCGCACGTTGTGCGGGTGAGTTACATTTTTTTTTATCAATTCATCAATTTTAGTTTAGTATTTTAAATATTTTTGTGTCATTCTATAATTTTTGTAATAGCAGTATTCAAAATTGTATGAAGGTATAAGTGTTTTCCAACATTTATAAGATCTTTTAACTTGTGGTTATAAACTAAACTGTTTATGAGTGGACATAAAAATAATCTCAATTTTTTTAATTTTCAATTCTATGGAATAAGTTGTATTTGGAAGTTTATATTACAATATTTTGCATAGTAGTATCATTAATTTTTTTAGGGTAAATACAATATATTAGCCACAACTATTATGAATCAGGGAATTATAGGTACAACTACGAAAATTAAAATTATTAGTCATAACTATTGTTGCGGGTCAAGATATGGCTAACTATACATTACTGTTATTGAATTTTTTACGGAGAAGGCCACGTCATCGGCCACGACAGTGGCCACATCGGAATGCTTTTAATTTATAACTTTAAAACAGAAAAGTTTAGTCAGTATTACTAAGGAAATTGTTAACAAATAGTTAACGTTTGGATAATAATTTGAATTTATATAGTTGTGACTATAATTCTCCGCTTCATAATAATTGTAGTTAATATATTGTATTTACCCATTTTTTTAACATGATAGTTGACATTGCTTTCAAAATGATAATAAAGAGCTTTTGTTTCTCAGCAAAAGACAATGAATTAGAGGTTATAATGTTAAATTCAGTGGTAAGATATTTGTACTAAAATCATTCTTTGATTATAGTTTAGTCCAAAAATTGTGAAATCGTATAGGAGACTGTACTGAAAAAGTTAGTGGCCAGATTCTTTATGATGAAATCGTGGTTTAACTGTAATTCAACTATTAATATCACTATATATCACCTATCGTTTTGGTATGTAATACTGGTATTTTACGGTTGAACCACCAGCATAGTACAGTTTCACAAACGATGGTTAAGTCGTTTCCTACTGCTTAAACTACCTACCATCTCGAGCTCGGTATCTCATATTTTCAGTTTGACCAGCCTATACGGTAGGAATTTTTTAACATTGATAAAGTAAAGGAAAACTAACTATCTGGTTGAAAGAGAATAGAATCCTAATTCTACCTCGAACCCAATTGCCGTATGAAACATATTCAAAATAACTAAGAATAACCCAAAAAAAAAAAAAACAACGCGGAAAAAGTTAAAAAAGGAAAAAACTCCCTAAAAAAATGGTAAGTGGTATAAAACATATAGAAAATAAAAATAAAATAGCGAAAGTTGCGGAGGAAGCTCCATGACTGACGTGGAGGGGGTCATTTTATTAAACCCCTTTAATATATTTAAAGATGTTAATAATACATTGAAATCCATGGAAGACCGTTATGTGTTTTAATAGGTTATGCATTTTATTTGTAATTACTTGTATGATGAGTGCCATTAAGTTATCAATTGAAACAAGCATAGAAATCCCCAAAGATTCTTCCCCAAAAAAATTGTTTATCATAAACACCAGATACGTGAATCTCAGACAAAGCAAGAAAGAGTTCATTGGTTTGTTTGGCGAGTGACATTACATTGCAACTAGTGAAAAAGAATGAACGAACCAACCCAATAGACAATGAAGAGCCAAAAATTGGCTGATTTGTTAATCTATTGATTAACCTTCATTACTGCTTCAATGTTTGTGAGAGTGGCTAGATGGGTGACCACAACCACGGGAATCAAGTCGTAAGATAGTATGTACCTTGAACTCGGCAACTCTAGTTCCTTCTTCGATTTGCACGATCTTAAATGCATGTGAAGGATGATTAGCTGGAAAATCCAAGTTCTTGAACCTCTTGTCCATCAACCAACAACCAAACATCTGAATTATGTTTCCTCGCCTGATAATTCCTTCAATTTGCATGATCTTAAATGCATGTGAAGGATGATTAGCTAGAAAATCCAAAATCTTGAAGCTCTAGTACATCAACCAACAACCAAACATCTAAAATATGTTTCCTCGCCTAATAATCATCTCCATTAACGAACAATACTGACTTTTGGGGGTTACAAATATGAGCTACAAAACTACGTTACAAAAGCATTAACTGGTAAACACCTTTTCATTTCAATACTAACTATGGTCGTTTTCAGTATTTGGTATAACCATATTGTTTCTTCCAATACAACAATATGCTTGGTTGCCTTGGCATTTAATTAGATTTTGAGTTTCTCTGACTAAGCTAATTGTTGCGTTGTGAATTTATCAATAAACACATTTGTTTTGGCATTTTATGTCTTATGTTTGTGTAGACCCATCAAATTAACTTCTTATATAATCAAACTAGCTAGCATATATATATCTGACCTCACTAGACATAAAACTTTGAACGTGACCAAATATGCAGTCGAAAGAATTAAATGAAAAGGGAAAAAGTTGAAGAGAAATTAAAATTTGATTTTCCTTTTATGTTGACAACACAAATAATTAATTCAAATTCAATCGACTTCAATTCAATGTCTTACCAGTTCTTGAGAAAAATTGTAGGCATAGCAGTAAAATGAAGATTTGTATGGCTACCACAAGGGTTATATAAGTGAGCAAAACACAATCTTCATGGCAAAAGTCACGCATAGGACTTTTCAATTTTCATGAAACATCTATGAAAGAGAAAGCAGTTTTACATAAGGAAACATGCTAAATGCAGGAAAATATGAAAAGGAACAAAAAAATGGCTTTGTTCGAGTTTGAATCGAAGACCTTCAGTGTGTTAAATTGATGTGATAACAAACTATACCACGAAATCATTGATGGACCGACACAATGCAACATCTTAATACATAACTTGCATTTCATCAAAAATTAAAGATGATAAGTACAATTAAGGCTCACACATGACAAAAACGGTTTACAATCAATGGATGGATGAATAGATGTAGTCTTAATTACTGGTATGATCATTACCACCGTCATTATATGTATATACTAATCTAAATCAATTCAGCAAGAGGGCGCGATTTAGAGCCCAACTCTGAGAGATTGGAGCCGACGGAGCCACCACGGATCATTCCCTTTCCGGGACCTCGATGCAATCGGCACCTAAACGAACCGACGTGAGTCGTCGGAGAGCAAAGGCAATTCCACTTCCCCGGCGTTGCTGTTTTCATGTTCGTCGTCAAAGTTTGTTGCAACTTATGGGGCGACTCCGACGAGTAGGTGTCCGGCGAATGGTTGCCGGCCGTATGCTTGAATCCTTCGATGCTGAACTCTGTTGCCATTGATATCTTTGGAGGCATTTGGATGTCCTTGACGTTATTGACTCTCGAGAACTTCTCTTCCATTACGCTTTTCTCCATCGTTCATTATTTCACATAGATTTCAACAAGAGAGTTGTTATGTTCCAAAAATGGGGAATTAGAAAAGCGATCAGTTTCACCATTATTTTTAGTTTAAAACGATAGGCATCAGTTTTTCCTAATAATAACTATTTGAATATGTGGCTCTACTTATCTAACAATCTAGTGCCACGAATTTTCAATATGTGTTTTCGAAAGTGGAGAAAAATCCGATTAGTAAGCTACTTCAAAGACAAATATTATGCACTTCAAAAGCCAATATACTAGCTAGATAGTTTGTGTATGGACTAATGTTATTCGATTGTAATCTCGCTCATTAGTTGTTAAATCGATTTGATGACATTTTTATAAATAACGTGTGCACTTTGAAGATAATTCTAGTGAAACCAAATCCAAAGGATTCTCAACTCTAGTAGGGGGAAATACTTTTTGTAAGCGATTTTTTTGTTGTGTTCCTGCCATGTAATCTATAGACCTCTTTAGATAAACATTATCTAATATAACCATTACATTCTTTTTGACCAAATTTACTATGAACTCTCCATTCATGTGGCTGGAGCATCCGTACGACAACTCGATTATGTCATCGTTCTCCATGGAGTGGATAACTTCCTGTGAGAGTTTGGCTTTCTACCTTCTGCCACCTACACCCTAGACTGCTACCAGCCCTTGGCTACCACCGACAAAATTCTCACGAGTCGCGAGTATTCAGTGATTATTGTAAAAAAAAGATGTTACACTTCTTCCGTTATCTAACTTTGTTTACTAACAACTTATACCCTTTCGTCCTTTTATCTAAGATCGAGTGTAGTATCTCTTCTTTACAAACATCTTTGAAAAAGTTAAAACAGTACCAAATTTTTCCACACCTTATTGTTGTGGACTACAAAGTGTGAAATGTTGCCTCTTCCATGACACATGGATGATAACCTCATCATCAATCACCAACTTATAGCAATATAGCCTATGTTATCAGACTAACCATGCTATGGTTCGACCCATTGCCCAAGCCGGCCGGTATTACCGTGTATTGTATTGCCAATTGAACACTGCATCAAACCACCTGACCTAGAATTTTCATAATCTTTGTGTACCGTACCGATCTCGACGGTGATAGACAGTTTTTATGGTACGATCAACCATAAGGTACGATTTAGCAATCCTTGAAATATATTGATCTTTCCTCCTTGTCTTTGTGAGAATACAAAGCATTAAAAACGACCACGCAAGAGGCAATGCTACTATATACACATGATGCTACTATATACACACAGATTACCACGTGATAAACCTTGAGTCAATAAGGGAAATATCAAATACGAATTGATAAGCGAATCTAACATGTTCAATGTGTTCATTTCAACCTGCAAAATCACTGGGCCAGATTTAAAAAAAAAAATACCCATTTCCCCTTTTCCCCCTTTGCTCACAGCCCAACCAAGATCCTGAGTCCTGAGCCATTTTCTTTTTCCCTGCATACACAAAATCACAACCTTTACGACTGCACCCAGCAAAGTAGAAATAACTGCCACTCTTGGTAAATGGCAAATATCACATGCTACCATCTCCATTCACTAACCATGTATATATAAGCAGAAACACAGAAACTAATACCTCACTCCCATCTCTTTCCAACACACGAAACCACTTGCGACGAACCAGACGAGAATGGGCTCTGCTGCGGCGGCTGCTGCAGCTTTCCGTTTTCTGCTGCTCCCTCTCGCCGTCGTATCTCGTGAGTACTCGCTTCGCTTATTCGTCAAATAACTGCAGTGCGTTTTATTTCTTACCCCGTAGCTGGTTTCCTGCAATATTCACTGTCGTCTGCTTCTCGTTTATTGTTGCAGCGCATATCGCATTTCTAACCACGTAGCTGGTTTCCTGCAATATTCACTGTGTCTGCTTCTCGTTTGTTGTTGCAGCGTATATCGCATTTCGTACCACGTGGCTGGTTTCCTGCAATACTCACTGTGTCTGATTCTCGTTTGTTGTTGCAGCGTATATCGCTCTGGTAAGAGGGGCAGACATTCCTGCCATAGGCATCAACTATGGCCAGCTGGGGGACGACTTGCCATCTCCTTACAGATCGATCGAGCTCATCAAATCAATGCAGGTAACCAGCGTGAAGCTCTACGACCCAAACCCAGAAGTCATGAGGCTCTTAGCTGGGAGCAAGATCTACGTAACGGTCATGGTCCCAAACCAAGAGATCGTCAACATCAACACTAACCATAGCTTGGCAGTCAGATGGGTGCAGGATAACGTCCTGGCCTACTACCCGCAAACAATGATCCGGCTCATCATGGTTGGCAACGAGATTCTCAGCCATAACGCTTCAGCAGAGGATATGCAGATTTGGAATCACCTTGTCCCAGCAATGTACAAGATCAAGAACATCCTCCGAGCAAACAACATCCAGAACATCAAAGTAGGGACGCCATTAGCCATGGACATCTTGCAAACCACATCCCCACCTTCCAACGCCACATTTAGACGCGACGTCGCCCTAACAGTGATGCCTCAGCTGCTCAGATTTTTGAATAGCACTAAATCCTACTTCTTCATAGATGCTTATCCTTACTTCCCTTGGTCTGCAAACCCCACAAATGCATCCCTTGATTATGCACTGTTCAAATCACAAAGAAACTACACCGACCCTGGAAGTGGGTTGGTTTACAGTAACTTCTTAGATGAGATGCTTGACTCGGTCATCTTTGCCATGACCAAGCTCGGGTATCCGGATATCCGCCTCTTCATATCAGAAACCGGATGGCCACACGGAGGAGATATAGATCAACCGGGTGCTAACATCTATAATGCAGCTATATACAACCGGAATTTGGTTAGAAGGATGACTGCCAAGCCACCGATTGGTACGCCAGCTAGGCCGGGAGTGGTTATACCAACGTTCATCTTCTCACTGTATGATGAAAACCAGAAGGATGGGCCTGGAACAGAAAGGCACTGGGGCTTGCTGCATTCTGACGGGAGGCCCGTATTTGACATAGACCTGACTGGAAGTAGAGCAGATTCAGAGTACAGGGCGTTACCTGAAGGGCATAATAATGAGGCCTACAAGGGGAAGATATGGTGTATTGCTGCGAGAGGAGCTGACATGAGAGGGCTGGGAAGGGAACTGAGGTATGCCTGCAACCAAGGGAATGGGACCTGTGACGCACTGGCGCCTGGGAAGGAATGCTATGAACCAGTCTCACTGATTTGGCATGCAAGTTATGCATTCAGCAGTTACTGGAAGCAATTTAGGAGCCAAGGTGCTACATGTTACTTCAATGGACTTGCTGTGCAGACCACACGGAATCCTGGTGAGAAGAAACATTTTAATGGCTAATAAGCATGCATGCATTGCTTTTAAGGAGTTGGGATAAAACTTCACAGCACATACTTACAATTGCCTTCATTACGCAGGTAGTGAATCTTGCAAGTTTCCCAGCGTGACGCTTTAAAGACTACCATATCAGTGGAGAGGAGCTGAAATGAAGCAGCACGACTAGAAGAGGCTCCACACTCACCAAAAGGGCAGCCATCAATATTCCCTCATCTCATCTTCTTCACTATCATTTGTGTACTTAGTTTTACAAAAAGGAATTGTAGGTGCATCCTTACCTATGACCAAGGAAATAAGACACAAGAAATTGTCTGACAGACGGATAAGCTCATCTCTCCACAATGTAAAACATTTATACTGCCCCTCCAATTGACTTCTGTTTTGACACTGCTTGTTCTAACCAAAAATGAAGAACTTCCCAATCCTTGACCAAATGCTGGTATGAAACCTATATTATGGATATATATTAAGATATCTGCCACCATTCATTGGCCAAATGCAGACATGTATAATATACAGCTCCACTGTATCTCCACTCAGGCCTTAATATTAAACAATGATAAATTGTCTTCAGATACACTACCTCCTTACAGTCGCATTAAAATCGACAAACACTGCAAAACATTCCCTTGCTATCAAAGTTAGCAAACTGTAGAGAAAACAGTAGAGCATGCAGATTTTTCAACCCTTAGCTTCTTCAATAGCTGAAAAGATAATTGGGCATTTGTTATTCAGACTGCTCTAAGTAATAAAGTCTCAATTCCAAGCAGCCAGACACCAACATAACCATGCACAGACTGTTATTTCACACAACACAGAAGGTAGCAGCAGATTTTGCTCAATTAAATAGACAAGTAGAGCTTAAAACACAATAGTTTTCAGCCACAAAAGCCAATTAGGGAACGAAAGGAAACGAAGGTACCAAAGCCCTTTTCAATTGGAAACGACGAGTCATGATCCCTAGCAAGCAACAGGTTTGCAGAAATGATTTATCGATTTACACCCTGGACAGCATCTGAACCAGTTAAGACACAGCTCTTATAAATAAGTACGAACGAACATCTTAGTGAGGGTCCTAGTCTCCAAGGCAACAAAAACATACTGAACCTACCTCTTTCACTATTATAATACAATTGCAAACTAAAGTTCACTAATAGTTCATGTCAATTCTAAGATCAGACTGTGACTCTGTGAGGAGAATCACCTACAACGATAAAGCAAATAAGAAAAAAATTCTCGATTACTTAAGCATAGAGGATGGGTGTCCACACAAGCATCATAATACCAAGAACAACAAAACTCTCCTCTGATTTGTTGACTAGAAAGTTTCAAACCAGCGGCAGCCAGAATGACAAGCCCCTCTTTACATTCCAGAAACTCTCAAGATGTGACAACAAAGCTGAAGTTTCAACTCAAAGCAGCATAGCCTATAATTAGTGGAGCAGCAACAATTCAAGCTCATGCTTCTTAGGCCATTCATTCGAGTACCAGTATATGATATGGTACCCCCAAAATTGCAAAAAGTTGATAGTTTCATTCATTTCAGATCAATAGCCATTAAAAAGCATAACACTCAAAAAAGGAACTACAGAAAGGGAAAACGTCTAGCCTCTGAGTACTAGTTAGCAACCCGCATACCGTTACACCTAGCGCTTAATATTGAGCATGGACTTGGCCTCACTCTGCTCCTCCATCAACGTATCACTGGCATATTTACTCAAGAGATCCTTCTTCTTCTTCTCCAGCACCATCTTCTCAATCTCCTTTTCATCAGGCAGCGGCACATGAACCACAAACTCTTTCTGCTTATCCATCTTCTCCCTCTCTTCCTTCTCTTTCAACCTTTCCTCCTCCACCACATCTTCCTCTTCTTCAAACAAGACCTCCTGAGCTGCCGCCCCAACTCCAACGCTCACAACCTCCGTCGCTCCTCTCCTCGCCTCCTTCCTAATCTCCTCCATCCTCCGCCACTCTTCAACCGCCCTCAACCTCATCTTCTCTTCAGCCGGCTTCTCTACTTTCTTCAGAACCCCATCTTCCTCATCTCTATACCCGTAGTAACTCGAGTCAATTCTCTTGTAGATATCGTACCTCGTCCGCCGCTTCCTGAGCTCCGGCGGCTTCTCAAACAGCTCCTTCACTCCGGGAAGCTTCTTCGCCGCGCCGAAGTACCGGTACCCAGGGCCACGACCGCTGGGATTGGGGACGTCTACAATGTTCCCGTCCAAGTCGGTCATTTTGGCCGAGTGTTTGGCATAATTAGCGCCGCCGAGATCGACGATACGCCGCTCCCAGTGCGACTTCTCCCGTATGAGCTTGTTGATCTCGTCGTTCAGGTCCCGCAGCAGATGCTCGCCGAGGCCTTCGTTCTGGATCTCGGCGACCTTCCGGCCGATTTCGCGCATGATCTGCTGCCGCCACTTGTCGGCTTCGGCGAGGTCCCGGCATTCGGAGGCGAGGAACGGGCGGCGCTCCTTGGGCTTCTTCTTCTCTTGCTCTTTTAGGGTTATGAAACGATTCAGCATGGACTGCGCTTTCTCTTCGTTACGAGCCATGGTTGCTTGAGCTTCGAAGATTCAACGCCCTACTTCCGATGTCAAATGGCCAACAGATTCCGATCAAGTTTCAACTGCCGGTAGACGGAAGATAACGTAAACCTAATCGAGACGAGAGAGGAGCAAAAGTGACTAAGCTTGTTACAGCAATGGCGCTGCTAGAGCTAGACCGGTACTATTGTCCCTATTTCTCCGCATCCGCAGTAAAGACCGACATCGAAAAGGGTTGGGCTTGGGCTTGGGCTTTGTATTATATTCAATATCCTCTCTTCTGCGGCCCACGGGGTATCAATAGATATTTATGGATTAAGAGTTGGTTTGCTTGTTGAATTTGAAAATGAGAATTTTGAGTTTTGAAAATTTTTGAATTTATGATGAATTTGTTGCATTTTGTGTTTGAAAGATAACATTGTTTGTATAGTGGATTTTTTTTAACCATGGATTTAGTGGATTTGGTATTTGGGTCTCAAAATTTTGCCTTGCATAACCAAATACCAAATAAAATGTTGTATTTACAAATACGTGGGATCCATAGATTTGCATACCAATGGCTTTGTCCAAAAACATGATTGTTAGTATTTGGAGACCAAATACAACATCCAAATCTCATTAGCAAACAACACCTAAATTTAGGGATGTGCAAGCATACCGAACTTATGAGAACTGCCGTCTAATATGAAAAATATTATAGGATCAAAGACCGGATCAACATTGTTTCCGGTTTGCTTTGGTCCAATATAAATATCAATTCGATTAATTTTATCAGTATTTATAAATTTCATGGGGATCAAGAACCGGACCACGTTATATTCTATTTGCTATAATCTGATCCAAGCATTCGGTTCGATCAGGTGCAATATGGTATAGACCGACCTATTGCACACCTAAGTTGCATCATTATCACTCACTTTAGAATTTATTTTATTTTTTGTTATCACTATTTTTTAAAAAAAATAGAACGTAGTCTAGCAATAATCAGATCTATCTTTAGAGAAATGACATAAATGTTTCAAGTTCCAACGTTTTTCCAATTCGTTGGTGTTGCTCCTTCGGTAGCACATCTCTCGTCCATTAAACACTCGGAGTATGGCAATGCCTGCAGGATTCAGCATCACCAAAGTGGCTACTGCAAGTAAGGATTCTTCGTCATAAAAAAGATTGGACTTACAATCACAAACGTTACTTAATCAATAGTCATTGTTCGTCCAACTCCATTACTTTGTACCACATGATAGACAATTTAATCGTTAACCATCGATTGATATATGTGACAGTTACAGAACAGCTAAAAATATGGTAATACCTCACCATTATTAGTTTAGTACCCTGTTTAAGAATTCTCCAAAACTAATCTGAGATTTTATTTCTGAATCATAAACCAAATAGTACATATTAAGAATGCATATCCTTGCAGAATCACATACATTTCCACAGTATATAGCACATGTATTGTTACAATCCTAGTATTCTATAAATTATTGGCCAACCCCTAATGGGTTGGTTCCTTTCTTCAATATTTCCAGTAGATTTGAGTTGTCCAACCCATCGAACCATTCAATAAGAACACAATTTTTACTTGTAGAGATCAGCAATCTGTTGTTTGTACTTAGCTGCCACTTTGTCCCTTCGGATTTTCATGGTTGGAGTCATCATACCATTGTCAATCTGCAAACAAATGCGAAACCAAAGCCTCCCAGTCAGGATATGATACCAGAGCTGCCCAGTCTGACTTGCGTCGCGATTGAATTACAGCATGAATGGGGAGAAGAAAAGACTAGTGATTTTGTACCGTGAAAGGCTCGTCAACCACGAGAATCGGGCCTATCTGAAATGAACAGGCTGCCGTCCTGCATTATATTGTAAAGGTTGTTAGATGGATAACATGCATATAACCCCAACATTGTGCAAGCAAGTCAAGCATCACAATCTAGCTGCTCGCTCTGGAAAGTAGGGGATGTGTTCTGGTTATGTTCCTTATCACACAGAACTGATTTTGGTCCAATTCTGGATGGTCTAAACCGCATCGGTTGCCCACCCCTACCACCATGAAACCCAAACTGCACCAAAAACTGAATAACTTCCCCTTTGGGTCAAACCGAACCCATTTTACTGGCGGTGTGATTCACAATGCAGAGTATGGGGGTGACTTGTGGTTCGGTGCAGTTTGAACCGAAACCAACCGCATATGCCCACTCCTAGATGCAATTTCTTTGAGTTGCAGTATTTGTACCGGAATAACAAAAACCTCCTGACTCTCTCATAATTCATGACAACAAAGGTAAGAACAAGTACCTAGAGCGCAGCTCATCATACAGCAACCTGTTCACTTGATCCTGACTGATTGCAGTTGCATGATCATCCACAATGGAGGCCTTTTTAGCAGCCAACAACACCTCTTCTTCGTTTGGAACAACTAAAGCTCCTAAACGGCGCTGATCCTGCATAATTCAATTGTTTCTCATCTAAACTAAACATCAACTCAGGCAACATTGGAAGCTGTTCATCCATTCAAAAACCATTTTCCATGTATAGGGCATGTAAGGATTGAACCGTACCTGACCGATAACAACAATTTGCTGGATAAGATTGCTCTTCATGGCTGCTTCTTCAAGCTCTAAGGGCTCTACATTTTCACCTATGTTTCATTCGAGAGTTTGGCTAGTTATTAGTAATGATGCATTTCCACAGAATCAGCAGGTGTAAAAGGTAAAAGACAATTCTAACAAAGCAAACAACTATGAGTAAAATCAGAGTTCGAATAAGACTATATATAGTTGAATTTTCAGAAAGCCGCATATGTGTAGGTACCAAATATATGCGGCTTAACTGCAGAAAAGTTCAGGCTAACATAAATGAACTATCAGAATTTTCATGAAATTGAGTTTCATTGGTGAAGACTAAGAGAAAGAACAAAAATAAATAGCATAAGAGCTCAATAAACTCGAGTAACATAAACATCCAATAACCTCTCGAGCTTCCAAGTTCCACCTAATCAACAATATGCTAGCAGAAGGTCTCATGGTTCAGGTAGATGTAATCGTTAAACCCACTGTAACTAAGATTCAACTGAAAAAGAAAATGCAGGCGCAGAAGTGCACTAAGAAAACAAGTTCAACTGATAGACCCAGGACTAAGATACCATTCGGTATTTCATTTCATTTCATTGCATTACAATAAATCACGTTGTATCAAACCTGTTGAAAGAACAATAGTATCTTTGGCTCGCCCTTCAAGGACAATAATGCCTCCACAGTTTCTGCTCCGCCCTATCGAATGATGAGGGGCAATCCAACCTATATCACCAGTATTTAGCCAACCATCCTTGTCCAGGACCTGCTCTGTGGCCCACGGATTCTGGTTCCACATAAGGAAAATATGATAGCGCCAAGATGAGCATTAGACTGTCTTGACAATGTACATAGTAGTTAAAGTATCAAAAATTATGAGCACAAACTGAAATAAGCTGATCAAGGAGCAAAAGCAGATCCTTATATGGATAGCTAACAGATGCTTGCGTGTAGGCAATTGTATTTTTATACGCACATATTGTTAGAAACATTGGGGATTTTTGGGTGTTATTAGGGATTTGGTTAATTAGGGATCGTGGCCCTATTTGTCGTTTTAATTAAGTTTGAGATTGTGGGGTTCTTTTGGGGATTTTAGGCATTATTGACCTATTCGGGTTAGGGATTATTCTTTGGGTAGCAAAGGGTAATTAGTTCGGGTTTATATTCTGTAAACCGGGATTATTTTCATTAAGCAGTGATTATTCAGAAAACCCTAAAACCATCTCTCCTCTCTTCCACTATTCCCACATCCGACCCCCTTCCCCTCTCAAGAGCTACGGCTCTTCTCTCTTCCCTCTACTGCCCAACTCTTTTCCCTAACCCTCTGCTTCTTCTATTCTTCTACTTCATCCATTCTTGTCCCAAACCAATCTCCCAATTCGGATTATTGATATCATTCTGAAGCCCTAGATATCCACAGTTCTTACACATATACATATTGAATATGATTTCTCTGTCAGTGAAACATGGATCCCCATCAAACAAAATGTGTCACTAGTTCTGATGAGAGGGTACTGAAACACAAATGCTATGAGAACCAACGAGGATCCAATAGACTAATAAATGCGCATGTGAAACCTTCATCATGGAGCCAACCCCAGTTAGTTAAAATGTCACACATTTATTAAGATAGCTTAGATTGTGTGATCATTAGAGGAATAAATTCAATATTTTCTACACTCTTTCCCAGATGATTCAGATAATGGAGAAATAAGGGTACATGAAAGGACATAAGTATCTAAAAGGGTACTTGATACAAGAGAATCAAAGTACCTTGTAGTAACCTTTCATCACTTGTGGCCCCCTGACCTTCACAACCCCCTTGGTTCCGGGTGGAAGCGTTTCATTAGTCTCAGGTTCTACTATCTTGAACTCTGTGTGACGAATCGGATGTCCAATTGAGCCGAGAACCTTCAAAGTTAAATGTATGTCAACTGAACAAAAGGACATGATGAGGCAAACAAAACCAGGCTTAGAAGGCTACCAGATAGGGCTTAATAACCTATTCAAGTAGTTGGTGATAAATGGAGTTCATAGAATGTGCGTGCAGTAAACGAGTTGATTCCACATACAGCTACGACAAATTAAAGGGATTCTGAATGTGTATGAATTACACGGAGGGAAAAAAGTTCGATGCTGGAGGTTTAAGTTGCCCTATTGGCAGAAAGTGGCTAATGTTTTAAGTCATAAAGTGTGATAGGTGATTCACCCATACAAGGAAAACTAGTGCTTCTTAGTAGAGAAAAAGACTTGGCATTCAAATATTCCTTAAAGCAGGTGGAGCCGGCATATTGTCTGCAGCGGCCTCATTTTTTATAGTCTTTCATGAATACCTATTAGAGAGGCAGTAGCATCAAAGTGTAGTTTATGGCCACTCTTAAGAAGATCTACTATACAGTTGAAACTATAGCTAATAAAGGAACATTTTTCAATTTGGCTAGATGTAATTTCAAAAGAAGCGCTAATGCATAAAATGTTGTCTCACATTAAGGTTAAGTCGTCGAGCAGCTGTAACTGGAGCTGTCTCTGTCATCCCGTAACCATTCTGTACATTTATCCCAATTGCCTGCATATATTCCAAACAATGATCATTAAGAAAAAGACAAATGTGATCTGAAGACACTGGAGAAAAACACAAAAGGAACTCACCTCAAAAAATCTGTCAACATAGGAAGGTAAACTTCCACCTCCACTAATGCCAGCCTGCAAGTTACAGGAAGCATTGGCAGTTAATTTCTGTGCAAACCAAAAAAAATGAATAAATGGAAAAAGAAAAGAGGGAGAATACAGAGCAGGCACTCTAAACCCTCCGTCTATGAGCAATGGGTGTAAATAAATAGCTTCCATGTACGTTTCTGGAATGCTAGATTCCATGTTCATTAGCACAAGGATATCTATCCTAAACACTATTTTCACTGGAGTAAAGATCCAGTAGAAATTACTTGCTCTTTCTACCCAAAAGAACAGAAATTACTTGCTCTGAAGATATAAGACCACACAACATATATTCCTCCACATTTCCCTTTTTTTCCCTTGAAAGAATAACTTCATATCCACCTTATCCCCACAAACTATCCCATCCGCACACAATGATCTTGTAGTAGAGAGGTTGTTGACTAAGCAAGCAATTAAGAGAAGAAAGAAGAAGCATTCAACATTTCCAGTCTACTTGTCAGTAAGGAAGCATCATCTCACACTCCACGACGGACTGCAAGATGGGTTGATGCTACTCTCGAAGGCCCAAGTGCCGACTAATCTATTTCATCAAAGAAATAGTCCATTCATGATTTTAAGAGAACTGATTACATACCAAAGATCACAGGCAGACAACGGTCTAACGGACACTATTCTTTTAACAAATAATCCAATAGACAGGGACATACCTTGCTTATTCCGATCGCAGAGCGGATCTTCCGGTAGACAAGCACCTTAGCCAGCATATGGACTGGCAGCAATATCGCAGCAATCACTCTTGCCCATAGCCAGTCAAACATGGCAGTTAGATATGACGGCTGCTGCTGCTCTTTTGACGTTAGATACATACCCTGCATATAGCATTGAACTAGTAAGGACAACTAAGTTTAAGACCTCGGCAATATAATCAGAAGGCTGTCTGAAACCTGACATTACAGTTCAATCAAGGCAGAATAATAACAAGGTTGATATAATAATGTCTGGAAAGTTTATAATCGTCAAGTAGTGGAATAAGATCCCACTGATGTCCTATTGACAGAATGGTTCCTCGGTGTATGTATATACTATATAATAGTGGGCGTGGAAAATGTAAGGCAGAAAAAGATATTAACAGTATTACCCATGCATATGTGAAAGTCCTATGAGTCAACTAAACCGTATAACAAGAATAGAACAAATATAGAAGAACTAATGCCTAAAACTACTATCTTCAGAAACTCAGAGGGGACCTGACGAAGGCCATGGACAATTGGTGGAGTAGGGGAAACTGAAAAAGCAAGTTCTGGACAAGTTCAATTTCAATGTAATTCCAAAAATTAATGAATCATACATATTTTAATATTCTAAACTTATGAAACAGGATGCCGGGCAATATTCGCTTAAATCCTACACTAGCCCTTGATATTCTTTTTTGAACGTTCTAACCCTTCATCTGGATCATCGATTTGATGAAATAAACAGAGAACCAACCTATCATGATCCACAGATCACATTATTCACGAAAAAACTTATGTATATTAATTATTAAGTGTCCATGAAAGTCCACGCAAAAGACTAAGAAATAGAATTTGAAAGAGCACAGCTCTCTATCCCATACTTTATAGATTCTCTTCATCTCCATGTAAGTTAAGCTGACCCTTATGAGAAACCGTGCAAGAGCCTTACGAAGCATTGAGCTCGAAGAAATCTGTTTCTGAATCCCACTGCACAAACAGTTTAAAATATACAGTAAAATCCCTCCCAGACGAAGTAAATAGTATAGAGAGTGATTGGAGAAGCCTAGCCAGTAAAAAGTAATCAATCTTTCATCTACTAGGCTTCCTTACTTTTTATCTGCACTCAGTACGGCTACTCAATGCATCAAATGGTTCAGGGTTGCATTGAATGTCTAGCAGTACTGAATATAAACTCAGTGTTTCTTATAGTTATAGGCTTTATTTCCTAATTTAACTTAACAAGAGCTTTATGGCACAAATTTCCCATGGTTCCATTTCTGTTACTCATGGCTTCATCCAGACTTTGAAATACATGTTACCATTAGCTTCGCGATCTAAGAAAAACACTAGACGGTTAATAGGCTCCCAAAATACTGATTGCATCAGTTGCAGTTCCATGGACAATAAAGGTTAGCTCTATGGTCTTGATTGTGGGTGTCTGTTTATTCTGTAAAATGAATCAATCTATAAATATTAACAAACCACGCACGTGTGGGAGTCCACTTTATGAAAAAGGGCAGAATATAATTGAATTCTAGGCACTATATCAGGTCAATTGTCAGACATAATAAAAATGAAACAAAGAACTGCAAGAATAATAATAAGTAAATATGCAAACTGATCAAATAGGTATAAACTTCATCTTTATATATTTCTATGGGCATGAAACAAACCTGTAAAGCGTCTCAAATACTAAAGGAACAGAGATTATGTAATGGGGTTGGTAATGCCGCAGATCATCCTACCAATAAGATCATGCAATGAAAGCATATTAGTTATTTATATTTAAGTAAAAGGAAGCACGGATCTCCGTCAGATTACAGTATCCCTCCAAAAAAGATCTTGTGAACGGCTAATTACCTTTAAGTTTCTCACAGTTGTGTATACTTGCTCAACACCACATGTAAAAATGAAGTACTCACAAGCTCGTTCGTATGCATGCCACGATGGAAGCATGCTTACAAATCTATCCCCAGGTATAGCAGGTACAATGTCCCACAAATTATTTATCTGGAAAACATAAGATACTGACAACTGTTCAGGGCCTCAAAAATGGTTTAACATTTTGTGCCTTTCATGATGCAATCGGGCAGGACTAAAAGATATATATTGTAGGGGCCACAAGCCCACAACTCGAGAGAAGTAAGCAACAAGAACACCACATTTGACAAGGCAAAAAACTAATTGATTGGGCACCAAGTGCATTCCTAAACACACAAAGGGACACCTGAGTGAGTTTGTAGGAAAACTTAATTCAAGGAAATCAAAGAAGTTAGTGGAATTTAGAGAAAGCAGTGAAACCTTTTGGAACTAATGTATTTGCATACGGTTCACATTCTCCAGCTCTGGATGCCTTTTACAATAAGCCTGAGCCACCAAGGTCCAGAATTTTAACCTCACTCATACAATTTTTGACTTCTGCATAGGCTTAGGATTTCTTACAAACATGGGACAGTAATAGATCCAATCTTAAAATTTGGAGGGATGCATTATACCATGTCCAAAGACTAGTCCCAACAATTGTACAATTCATAATTAGAGAAGGTCAATAGAAAGTTGGTTACCAATGTCATGAGTTCATATCAATGCAAGTGCTACACCTAAACTAGTAATTATGGTGTCTTTAAGATTATGATTCTGAGCATTGAAGGTTAAGCCTCACTGTCATCAAAAGATCATTCCACTATATCTCGAGATCATGGATCCAAAACAGAGAAACATCCCCCACTAGTCAGACAAATTGGGATATTTCAACAGTAACAAGTGTAAAATTAATAAAATATGAATAAAATGTAAGAGTAAGCATCATATCAGATGAGTATAGACGTAAAAGTTTATGTTGACCAAGATGGAAAACTCCAACTGACCATAATATAGAAAATACAACTATTCTATATATGCATCCAACTTTTCCCCTAGCAATATACCTTTCATTTGTTTTGAATAAAATGCATCAAATGTAAGACATGTATGTAGTATATTTGGCTGATTATGCACTGTATCCCAGTTAAACAATGATGAAACAACAGGATTGCAACAATAAACAAACCTGGTGTAATAGATTTTTATGTGTAAGCATAACACCTTTTGGATTTCCAGTAGTTCCACTCGTATACATAAGCGTAGCTATATCATCAGAGCTAATGGTTTCAAATAGATGCATAGACCCTGCAACCCAGTTGTTGGAGAATTTAGTGCCGCACTTGTTTTAAGCAGAAATGTAGAACACCCAGAGTAACCATTACTGATCTGTCGTTAGGAGGAAAAGGATTCACATATTCAATTGAAGGATTCATAAGCAGCTTACAATTAGTCCTAAGACATCTTAATTTTATACATAAGCTAATATATGAAAACGTTACAGTTTCACCAGAATGGTCCGTATTTCACTCACTAGCAGTTCAATCCATCATATTTTACCATCTTGTCCCCTCACTCTGCTGTTACTCTACATACACATCAGGAACACATTGATACTAGTGATACTTACTTGAATCAGGGGCACCAGAAAATGCTCGGTAGCTTTCTTGTCCCAAATCAATTATTTCTTGGTAACTAAAAACAGGTAACTCCTCTATTCCTGAAACATTCAGGCTTGATTTCTCGCCCCACAGCAGAATGACAAATCTGAGAGTTGCCTTGGAATGGAATGTTCCAGCAATCCGATTGAATAATTCAGGGTTATCCACTGCAAGTGCAATACTGCAGTAAATGTAAGAGCATCAACTCGTTTTGTTATCATCATATCATAGAAGGAAATGATAAAAGAAAACACCACATGGTTAATACTCTAAGATAAAGATTGCAGCCCCAATGAGAACCAGTTTGGGTAAAAATCTGGCTAACACAAGTACAAGTGAGAGTAAAATTTTACCATGTTAACAAATAAAAAAAATTACATATCTACTAAGCGTTGCGGTATCTTCAGTGGACTAAAGAGTAGAGCGGATGAATATCCAAAGTTTACTTGTCATAGGATTTCAACTGAATAGGCTAAAGTATCTTATTCCTTGTTATTCAAGAGGGTATTATCAACTTCAATCTATAGCTTGGTTGTAACTAGGATAATTTTGCATTCATACTTTCACTAAATGAATCTTAAACTCATTTACCAGGTCAATGGTTATATGATATTTATTGGTAGCGGTACCAAGTTAGTCTGCAGCATAAAGGTTGCGAGATGCTTTTCTTAGGAGCCTATGAAATCTGAATCTAGAAATGGAAATGATAGTGGTCAATAAGAATTCGTGACTGTGGTTGCATTAGCTTAATGCTACCCAACCAAATTAAATCATTCAAATGGTTTTGCCCTGTCGGAATGATCAGTTATTAATTGGAGTTGGGAGCAGACAAGATCAAATAAAGAGTGGGGACAAAATGTTGGCCCAGAGCAACTTTCATGGCAACAAGCGGTTCATCATAATTCCCATACCATCAATCATCCAAGCAAATAGTTGAGCAACTAAAGCTCAAAAGATTGATATCATCATAAGATGGCTTTTCTCAAGCTCAGATCTTCTTTTCTGTCATTCGTTTTTCGAATTTAAGAGTCCTAGAGCATGTGAAATAGTTTCTTCCTGTCCAGAAACTTCGTACCGATTCTCATAAGCCTAACCCTATCATGTCAAAACTTAGCATTCCAAGCCTGTGACTTCAAGCCAGAACAGAATATATGAGACACAGAGTAAAAGCCTCTGCCTCCATAAAGGAAAATTGTGAACAGTAACTTACAAGTTACAACTCATACAAAGCTCAGGAGCTAATTTTAGCATCGAAGCAGATATAGCATGGAAATACATTCCAACCTGTCAGAGTGGTTGTATATTTGCAGTAGCTCCTCACTAGTCGATCTTGACCCCCTCACGACATTAATTGCTCCCATGGCCATTGTGCCTGGGTAGAAAGTTCACACCACACTAATTAAGCTTCAATACCCTGAATGCAGGATCATCAAGTCAACCAATGAAAAGTATCAGTACACAATGAGTCCTGATACTTAATTCCCTAATCATGGTAAGATTTTCAAAATGTCAGGGTCTTATTTTTTAGCTGATAAATCCACATCTGAACAGCAATCTAGTCTCTTGTTGTCTTTTTTCACCGGTGCCCTATTAGCCTTTCTAGTTGACTAAAATGTAAATATTCTGCAATTTGCATCCTAAGTAACACTCAGAAATAAGTGAACTAAATGAATATCGAACTAGTATCATCAACATTCCCAATTGCAATTCTCACCCAGAGTACACAAATGAATAATGGTTTACGTTTCTCTTAATATTTTTCAATAACAATTACCTCTACATGGCAAGATAACCAGCATAATTCATCTTGAGAGAGACAATAGAGCAAACTGCAAAGTATAAGAAGAGTTCACCATACCTTGGTCCGCAACAAGCCACCTGCATGAATTATCAGCAAAAAGTGCGAGCTTCTCACGAGGCATTACTCCGACAATCCTCAGTCCTTCCGCGAAATATAAAATCTCTTGCTCCAGCTGCAATTTTGGAGAGAAGGGTAAAGCTTGACAACAAAATCCAAATGTAAATGAACACTTGAGAAACAAATATTTTGGTTTGTAGTCACACAACAATATCTGCACTGCAAATTTTCAGCTTTAGTGTGTTCCAACAAACTTCATAACTTATCTCAAACATCACACAGCAGATTTCTATCCTGTCTTTCTATAAGAATCCAGATCATCAACTCAAATACGATCTTCTGTACCATCCTGGAATTTGTACCATACCAAGTCTAAAGCACCTGCCGATGTTTGAAGCCCTAGTAAAACTCCCATTAAGGAAAACAAAGATGCTGAAAAATCAAGCTCATTCACCGAGATAGGTTATTATTTATGGTTGTACTCAAGTCTCAAGCACGCATTCTCCTAGAAGGAAAAAATACGATGAGAATTTACTAGAAAGAGTCACTAACAAAAACTGACTTGGCAGAAAAGGTCAGGGCTCCCTACTCTAAGAAAAGGTCATATCTTTCTACACCATACACCAAGAAACGAGTTGATACTTTTAAGGCTTATCCTTTAGCATTTACAAGGGAAAATTCAGCAATGTTGCAAAAGCCACATGATGTACCTCGGACACTAAGTAGAACCACCCACACATGAAAAATATTTGGAGTGAACTTGGTTATCATAAATGGAAACCAAAATGAAAAACTAAAGTTGAAATCTACAAATCCTGTGAAAAGAAAAACATAGTCATCACATGGTAACATCTGACCTCCTTATAAGTCATATTTCTCGGTGGCTGATGGTATGGGTCTACCAGGGCGATACTATCTCCGTATTTCTCCGCACACGACCTCCAAATGTCGGGGACAACTCTCCATTCATTAGACTCCAACCCCGATCCTGATAGCAGCGTCCTTTCCAGAAATGGTGAACATCTCCTAATCTTCGTTTCTTCTTTCTGCAAAATGTCATTAAAGAGGGGAAAATGCAACTCATTAAAATTCCACCTGAAAGGAATTGGAATGAATGACTACACCACTTTTGAGCTACATCAAGGAGGCTCAAGCCTTTCCATGAATGGTATGGAATGCATGGAATTGAAAACTAGAGCTACATCAATGCTGCCAAACCAAAACTTCCATTGCCATGTTAGGTCAGACAATCTATACTGCTCATAAAGTTGGCAAAAACATTCTCCCAATTCAAATACTTGCCTCAATTGGGCTCTACTTAAATACCCTGTGCAGTCCTGCGTTGACTTGCACGGGAATTTAAAGGTCAAAACAACCAGTGAACTTCACGAAGCAACAGTCTGAAATCCAACTAAAAATACCTTCGATTCGCAGCGAACCGCAACTCGACGGAGCGAAAGAGACCCAGAAGGGGATAGGAACTGCAGCAGCCGGGAACTGCGATCCCATGAGCCCAAAGCAACGGCTGAACCCTGAGAATTCGTTAATAGCCCCAGCGTACGGCCGAGGGACGACGACGAATAGGAAGCGGAATTAGACAGAAGCTTGGAAGGACAGGCCATTACGACATCCATTGGAGCTCAAGGGCACGAACGGAACGAACAACACACCAGGAATAAGCTGACAGTTGCGGGCGCTGAAAGAGATGAAAGGGGAAAGAGCGAGGAAAGCGAGAGAACGGAGCCCAAGGAAGGACGATAAGATTGTTTGTCGAAAGCGGGAACTCGATATCTTTAAAAAAAAATTGAGAGTCAGTGACTTGACGACTTCGTCGTCTCCGCCTGCGGGTTCATAGATTCCCCGACCGGAGATTCGTTCGGCTGACTGTGCGAACCGTAACGGGAGGTCGCACGGGTAGGTGGCTCGGTTGGCAATACGCCAATACCCTACAGCGCAGGACCATTTGCAATTAAAATTGGGGGGAAATGGAGGTATAAAAAATATTCCTCCGGTGAATGGTAGTGGTAAAAAGTTATCTATAGCACTTCTATTCTGCTATAAAGTATTGGTGCTTCAATATACAATTTAAAGTTGTACCATAATGTTATAGGTATAAGTTCAGGTTGTATCATAAAGAAATTTGTACTATTATGTTATGGTACAACTTTACAACTTTAAGTTGTACCATCACATAAAGGTACAAGTTCTAGTTACACCATGAAAGAATTTGTACAAAAAGTACAGGTACAATCTGAAGTTGTACCATAATGTTAAAGGTACAATTTCAAGTTGTATCATAAAGGCAAAACCTTATAGCACCAATGCTATATAGCATTGTAAAATTCCTCATCTCATGATGGCGCAGGCCGCAGTACAATGATGGTAATAATAGGTGAGCCGCACAAGAGGCTAAAATACCTAATCACCTATATAAATGTGACTAGCCATTTCGATTTGACACATTTTATCTGACCTGTTTAACTTGTTTTGGGCGGGTATGACCTACTTTGTAGGCGGAGCGGACATGGATACTCTTATCGACCCGACCTGTCCTGACCCACCTCATTCTCGACCCGTTTTTGTCTAAATTACATGTAATATTAGTCAGATTACTTAGGACTTTCCTTTTATTGCATCATATTTTAGCTATAACAAAGCTGTAAATTAGTGAAAACATCAATTTCTCCAATAATTTAAACTACATCTATCATAATATGGTTTGTTTCTTGATCTTATAATAAAATTAACGAATATTTCTAATGTTTCCATATAAATTGCATACCCATTGGATAGAACCTGCCCTGACCCGTGACCCATAATAAATTACCCGACCTCCCACGGGGCGGGTATGAGTATCATAATCCCTGCCCCGGACCTGCCCCATTGTCATTCCTAGCTACAACGTCTCAAGGAAAGGTGAGTATATAAGTGTGGTCAGCTACGTTTGAATCAAATTGTAACATCTTTCGATTACTTCTGTTTGAGCCCGGATACTTTGGAGCTCAGCTTCACACCAAACTTATCCTCGCTCTATGTGTCCAAGGCGCTTAACCTGCACACGCGCACATGGAGGAGGGCGCCCGGGCCCGTTAGTCCTCCGACGATCAAGTCAGTTTGAGTCTTAGAGATAGAAGTGGTAAGCTCCAGAGATTTAGTGAGAGAGTCCAACCTCAGTAAATGCTACCCACCGACACTATTTATACTTACCCAACCCTGAATCAGGTTTCCCCTCCTTAGCTCCACGTCAGCATCGCATTTAATACTCCGTACCATTATCAGGCTGGGCGCCCCGACCAACTTGTCAGGCCTCTGACAAGTACGAGGCGCCCAGACCGTACTCTTTTGAGGTCTTCTTCGCCTCATCTCCTAGCTTCCTATACCATCCTGAGTTGGGCCTTGTGGACCAAACCGCGGACCGGGGCTCATGATGTACTTTCTCTTTCCTTATTGGGCCGCCTTGGGCCCATCTTTGCAACACCCCCAACAACTTCAATTAGGAAAAGTCTCATAGAGCCAAATAGTTTTTTGATTTCCTAATCCATTGATGAAAACTAATCCTAAGCCAACCAGGATTTTAAATTAAACATGAGCGCTTTTATGATCCTACTAAGAACATGGATTCCATGTCCAAACAATGGAAATCCCCTTCCCTATGTCACATAAGGCATAGTATCCAAATCCTCAAAAGAAACCTAGTCCAACAAAGATTGCTAGTTATATGAATTCCACTATTATAGCGGTTCATCCCAACATTAATTTTGTATTAAATCCGTTTAACATATATTCAACAGTTAAGTTCAATAGTAAAAATCGATTGCGACTTGTTATTTTCATCCTCTTCTCACTCTAAATTCTCGCTTCGCCGATAACATATCATTCTCAATAATGTGCATCGCCCCTTTATCATGTAGCTAGTAAATGGGTCACCCACCATGGTGAAAATCATATCAAATCAAACACACCATCTCAATCTCCATCTCCATTTCCACCAATTAAAACCAAGAGCATTGAAGAATCAAGAAAGTGACCAATATTATAAATAAAGCTTCCTTTCCAACCAACCTCTTTATCATTCTGTCATACCACTAATTGTTTAGTACTAAGGTAGGTGGATGGATTGGGACTTGAGAGTACTAAGGTAGTAATGCTTTGCAATAATAAATGGCATGTGGGATGAGACTTGAGAATAGTGCAATGGTCCAAACATTAAGGGCATGAACCAGCCAATTTGTTGCAGGACAGTAAACATGTCAATTCCAGGCATGTAAAATCCTCAACTCCGGCGAAAATAGTTACAACTATACAAGTTCAAGCCACTATTTTGCAACAAAATTGTTCCCGCTTAGTGTAAGAAATTGATACATCAAAACGGAAGACCATACCTCGTCTAATTCTATGCACCATATGCCACCATCTTGGATGATATTAAGTTGCATAGAAGCGCTTGCTGCAAATTCATCAGCAGATGATGATACAGCTGACGACTTACGAAGCCAAGTATGTTAAGATTTTAAGCCACGCTTCACAGAGAGCTTCCAAACTTCTCGGACATTCGAAGAGTCATCAGCAACTTCAGCAACTAGGCTTGCATCCATAACACCTGCGACACACATCAGCAAGCATGTCACTCAGTCTTGCTTGCGTGGAGAAGAAACACCAAATGATATCAGAGTTTCAGTAGAATGATGATCCCCCAAGAGCCAGCTCACCGTCTTTCTTCACCATAGACAGAAACTGGCGGGTTCCTCCACCAACTCCAAAATAGTGCTTTTTGGCTGCCATGTATGTAACTCCACCAGGACGTTTCATGCACTGCAGTTCGAAATCGACGAGACAAGCAATCAGTAGTTATGCAACAGAATGTGACAGTTTAATCAACAATCGAATAAGTTGCACCACACCTTCTTTATGAGTTTGTAGAGACTTTGTTGGGCGGAGATCGCATAAATTGTCTCAGCCATTAGTATTATATTGTACTCGTAAACTAGATTCTTCCCTGAGTTACTGTCTGTGTCCTTTACATCGTTGTGTTCGTGAGGAAGACACTGATGGACTTGGCTCCAGTCACCAGCAAAGTATCTTACTTCGGTTTCAAAAATGGGGGTGGTGTCCTTGGAAGCTGTAGATTGTGAAGTTTGTGTAAGATTGGCATTTACATTTGGAATAGTGAGACACCGCAGGACCTCGGCATTGAAATCTTGAAAGTGGACAGCTGTTGCACCCTGATGCAGTAGGGCCCAAATAAATTACTAGGGGTGTGAAGTTCTACACAGTACACGCCATTAGAACTTGAAGAATGAAGTAGACGTGTTTACCTCTAGGCAGGCAAAAATCCCAGGAAGTCCATGGCCGCACCCAAGCTGAGAATCATGAAGGATACAAGACAAAACCAAGATGAATCATGAAAATAAGGACATGAAAACACCTTCCTTTTAATTGTGTTATTGCTATTGTTTCACCAGTCAGACAATGTACAAGCACAAACGATGGACCATGACAAACCAAGATGCATGCTGCAAGCATATTTGTGGTGTTACAATCCCAACCTTTGGATGCATGGGTTGCAAATGACAAAATACTAATGCTGACATCATATAGTCACCTATTAAAGTGTACGTTCAGCGTGCATGCCAGTCGCTAGACCTTTCTTTGCAAGTCTAGTCACTGTTGAAAGACCTGACATCAAAATCAGTAGGTCTTTTTTAATCTCCTGCCAAACAATCTTTCTTCAACCGATACAAAATGAAACCTAAGACGTTACATGTTCTTTGCAGGTCCGAGCTTCTACAATAGGACCCTTCTCACATTCACAGAACCATCTCTTACAATCGACTAAATGAGGCTCTGAGACCTACTGGCTGCTCAACTCTAGTGTCCAACCAGAGTCACTAACTGGTAAATCCCTTCTCTGGTCCTGAATTTCAAAACATTCTAGTTCTAAAATGAAAATTGGCTGGTCAATCAACAACAATGGAACCAGTCAGATCAATACAGAAGTCCCCAATAGAGTATCAGCGAATGTTGAAAGAATTTCAAACAGGAAAAATCCAGAATAAACACACCTCTAGAACTTTCTTCCCTTTTAGTGATAATTCGCCCTTATGAATCTCGGACCGAAGGGCTTTGACAAGGTCCAGCGAACCCTCCCAAAGTTTCAGTCCCCCTAGTTTACCAATGCAGAAACAAATGCAAGTTTGTCAATGGTAGTTTAGCAGCAAAATGTCAACAAACAAATCTAACCAAGTCCGTAACATATATGTGATGGGAAGAGCTTGTAACCTTCATATACACCAGGGACCAAATCAGAATCAGGAACTCCCAAAACCTCTTCTGTACTCACCCGAGCCTAGTGAAACAACAACGAAATTGATGCACATAATCCAGTTCAATTGATTCAAATTTACAATCTTTCACTCTCACTGATACATTCTTCCATTTCCTTCCTCATTCCTCTTCAAGACAAAAACAAAGAGAGTAAAGTTTTAAAAAAGAAAACGAACACGCACCTTGAGCAAAGTGAGGCCATCCAAGTTCACAGCCTCCAGCAAGCATTTCACAGTTGAGGAAACCTTTGAAACACAAATGGGTGACCAAGTGTTTTCAACAGATTAATACGCGCGACCAGTGAAGGGAAACGCGCTCACGGTAAGAGAGATTGGAAAGTAAAGAGACAACAAATACCTCAGAAGCAAGAACTTCAACTGGCGGAGGTGCGGGACGAGAAGGGGGCTCAGATGAAGAATTGTCGGAAAACCCAGTCCCTCCCAAGAATAATTTGAACTCCGAGTTTACAAACGCCATTTTCTTCTCCCAGAAATATTTAGCTCAAACTTCTATGGGTTCTCCCGCCGAATAAAAACCCTGAACCAGGGCTTAATTGTTTACGTATTGTCCTTAAGTTCTTCTTTCCTTGTTTTTTCGAAAAAATAAGACTTGTACGGCTGGAGTTCAGTTCGGTTAACAAACCGAACTGGTCGGTTATTCACGAATTAGCCCATTTCAGCAACCAAAACCGACACTGATGTGGTTTTCTGGTACTCGAGAATCGAATGCTATAATTGGATCAAAATATCTATTCCGAATCAAATAACATGAATTTCTACCACTCCAGATCAAGGCATTAACGATGATAATGAAGAACAACAACGACATTAATTGATCGGTGCAACAATTGATGATTACTCGGGATCGGACCAAAATTTATAAATCTATAACCAGACTAACTAGGCAAAAACAAAAACAACAACGTTATTGAGGTCAGTCATTGTTGTCGACGATAAATGCGTTGACAATACACCGAAAAATGTATGAAAAAACGAGGTAACAATTGCTAAGATCGATGGATCAAATCCGGGCGTGTTTGCACTCGGGAGGCGGGCCTTGCGGGAACCGGTTGAAGTCGGTGCAGTAGTCATAGATCATGAAGTGCATCTGGGCCCACCTCAGCCTCTTCCTGGCGTAGGGGCCCAAGTCATCGCGGCCCAATTGCCTGAAGGACCCGCTCCCGTTGTGCGTGAAGTTCTTGTACTGGTGGGCCGCCAGGTTGCGGAAGTAGGCCGTGAACGGGGCCATGGTCCAGTCGGTCTTCACGAGCCCACCTCTCGTGGCCCAATCCTCGGCGTCCCACAGGCTGCTGTACAGCTTCATGGGCTGCTTCCTTGGGTAGGGTATCCCGTACTTCACCAGGTTCTTGAACACCCTGATTGGAATTTCGTCCACCATGAAGCTGCATGGATCATTAGATTAAGAAATTATGATTGATTATTATTATGCTAATTAAGAGAAGAAACGAACATTTATCTTGGTGGGGTAATTACATGATGTGTTGGGGCTTCCAGATGATGGTGTAGGTGTGGAAGTTTCTGGTAGGGTCGAACCAGAGGTAGAACTGCATCTCCCTGCTGCCCTGTCCGTGCGTGTACACGTTTGTGTGGAGTATATAGGGTTGTCCGCTCACGTTGCCCAGAAACTCGAAGTCGATTTCGTCGTGGACGGGGCCTTGCGACGACATCTTTCGTTTTGATACAATGTTAAATTAGTTAATCATTCGCATTACGGTTATAAAATCGTTAAGTAGAGTGATTACGTAAGATGGATGGAGCCAACACGAGACATACGTAGTAAGCGACGACGGTGCCAGCGGAGTTCCCGGGGACGAGCTTGATCTGGGTGTCGATTCTGGCGTACATGTAGTCGAGTTTGGACTGGAACCCCGAGCCGGAGTCCCTGTCAAGAGAAAGAGAGATCATGTTGCCTCCGTCGAGGATCTTGCCACGGCCGCCGCCCCACGTGATGTCTACGTCCTGAAAGAAATTCTGTGACGCAATAGCCTGCTGGGGCCCTGCAATCAACATGATCATCATTACTCCAATCGCCACCATCCCAAATGCTTCGTGATGGTGGCCACGATATGGTGACTTTAACCACCGGTAACAAAGTAGGGAGCCCATTATCAAATATTGATAAATTCGATATTGATGTATGAACGACAAAGAGCGACGGGAGCTAATGATGAAGGTTATTTGTGTGGTAACTTTAGTGATTGTGGAATCGATTGATTGAGGAATGGATATGTAGTCGATGTTGGGATGGAGCATATATACCCAAGGTTATGGTAAATGGTAAAAAATGTACATGGGAGACTGATTTTTACAGAGGTTGATTGGGTCAATAGGGTGATGGGAGACTGCAATAGAAATGGAGGAAATGGGATTGAATTGGCGTGGAAGGTGGACGATTCACTGGTTGACCCTCCCTGCCATCAGATCCGATTCTCATGGAGTCTCTTTTCACCCCCAAGTTGCTGTAAACACGGTGATCTCGCCACATGAGACTATTTTTCTCCTCTTTTTACAAACCGATTAGCACGTTGATGGAGGCGCGACAATGTCTAAGACACATGCATGTTGAAGCGTTTTACTTTTACAACAATGTCATTGCGTGCATCTAACAATTGAGATGGCGGATGGGATCATATGATCCGACGACATCAACACCATAACCACAGTTAAATAAGAGGAAAACTTGCTATGAACTTTTAGCATGTTCATGAAGCAAATGACTGTTCCTAATCAAGGCTTTAACAAACCATTACACAAACTATATATGCTGGGTGTCGAAACTCAGAACGTCTGATCTAGCAACTTGCAGCTTTCACTCCTGTTCCTCGGCGGTAGGATTAGTCGAGACATCAAACCCAGGTGGGATGAAGACTACATCGTTCCACGTTGAACCCGAATTCTCCTAAAACAAAATCGAAAGTTTATCTTACTTTACCTTCTCCTCCCTAAACTCGAAACCTTGCGTTAAATGCAAGGAAAAGGGTGCATCATGCACCCCATGAAGCCAAGCTCAACCTTGGATTCACCCCTCATACAGGAAACATTATCAACCAGTTTTTATCCAAAGAAGGGTTAAGGAGGTTTACCTTCATGGACTTGATTACTTCTTCAAAAACAGCCACCTACAGAAAGAAAAAAGTAGGTTAGACAGATGAAACTTGAAACCAACAGGCAACAGGGAATATCAAAATCTATAAACCTGAATATCCCCATCCCTGAAGAGAGGGTTCAGTTTCTTCTGTTCACGTGAAGCTCGGTAGAGAGACTTTTCCAAGTCCTCCTACAATTACCAAGGGAAAAGAGTTACTTTCCTTTCTAAAGAAACTAGTGCATGTAGGGAAGGCTGTTACCTCCTTAACTGACCTTTCTAAAGAATACAGGGCGATAGCTCTTGGTTTGGCTTCTTAACACCAGGCTTCTTGACTGAAATAACAAGAATGTGAAAAGACTATGAGAAAGAAGAAGAATGGAAATAGAACAAAAAGGCTGCGCTGCCCAACTGAGTAAAACAGGGAATTTGGTCATTGAACATATATATTGCATGACACAAATAAGGGGTCGTTTGGATGTGGAAATGTAATGCAGTAATTGGACCCAATTACCATATAATGCAGTAATTGGGTTAAAAACCCATGTTTGGGAGAGCAAAAATGGTATGGAAATTGGCTTCAATTACCACATTCATGGTAATTGAGAATACTACACCTCCCCCAAGTAATTTGACATTACCACGTTTTCTTACTTCTTTTTCCAAATTCCACACCATCAATTCCTACAAAACTAAACCCTATCCAAACATGAATTTTTTTTTAATTTCCACAAGTCAATTCCTTGGTTTTGTACAACATGGAAATTCAGACAAATTTCAACGTTTTAGAATTTCCACATTGGTTCTTTGAACTCAAAATAAGGATTATGAGGATTCATCTATCCATTATCGCTAGCAAGTAGCAAGTGTAATCATTAAGCTCAGCATGTGTTACAACTGGCAGCAGAAAACAGAAAGAACCAGAAAGCACAACCCATTGTGAAATGCCTAAATGTGTACTAAACCTGGAAAACTGGAACCCCAGGGAAACCTCCATCAGAGAGTCCAGCCTTTTCCTGCTCCTGCATGTGAATGACTGAAAGTAAGCAACTTTGTTGATGGATCGAGATAATCATAGCATGAAGAAGTACGAGTGATGACATTACATTAGGTATAGGAAATTACATCCTCCAAACAATGAGCCTTATGAATAACACTAACTTAGTTTTGCATTATTTGAATTATGATGAAATCATGCATGCTGCTTCTAGAAAACAGAGGCGCCAAGTTTAACAGGCAATCATGGACAAGAGCAACTTCCAAAAGTGGTTCATATTCAGGGAAGCACCATTATCATATAGCAACATAATGGATTTGTTAGTTTTCATGAGTGGGGAAACAGACCAAGATGCATATCCTAATCATTGAATATCCCGAAAACAATCAGACGATGTAGTAGATGTAAGATTAATACTCGATTGCAGCAGTAGGGCCTCTGTACTCACTTATTAGACCATGATCATTGGTCCATGCCTCTGATTACCAGGTGCAATGTGAAGCAAGAGCTCTAACTATAGAAATAACGAGGATTGACATGTCCCGCCTATAGAGCTTGTTCCACACTATGCTTAGATACACGAGTTAGTGCAAATCAGCGAGGATCCGATGTCCATTCAGCTGAGATTACTCAATTCTTATTACCTACACCGTCTAATTCCTTCAACAAATACAACGATCAAACACCTTACTCTGAGTTATGCAGAGTCGAATAAAGCTCCTCAGCTTGAACCACATAGTCACTCACACCGATCATGAATCATTATGCACATAAACATAGCAATGGAATAACTAACACCAACCTCGGGATCACAACAAACACCAAACCAGCATTTCAAAACTGCAACTTATCAGCAGTGAGGTTTTAGTCTTTAACTTGAACCAGTAACACACTTACTGTAAGAGCATTCTTCACTTGGGCAGACTCCGGTATCAATCTGAACGAAACTCCATCGACCTTGAGTTGAAAAACCTGCCCAGAAGCCACGATATCAACACCAAAATTGAACAAGGGAAAAAGGGTATCAAAGCCTAAAGAAGAGAATCAGAAAAAAAGAGAGACTAACCTTGTTCAAAGCAACGGCAACAACCTTAGACCCATCCTTACGCATCTCAGGGTCCATGCTCTTCATCTGGTGAAGGAGCGCATCTGCATCCTCCTTCTTGAAGCACATCAATCCAAGCGACTTCCCCGTTGAAACTCCAGAGACCAGAACGAATTCATCGCGGGAGTTGCACAAGGCGTAGACGGGGACGCCAGCCAAGCGCTCCTCGATGGCCTGAGGAGTCAAGGGCGGAGTAGCAGCTGCAGGCGTGGAATTGGATAGGAGAACCGGGTCGGACGGAATCCGAGCCCAGAGAGGGTTTCTGGAAGACGAAGGAGGGATTTGGTTGAAGCGAGAAACGGCAGCATCAATTGCTAGTTTGGAGTGGTTCTGCAAGTGGGAAAGGGAGGCTTGGAGGTGGGTTTGGAAGGAAGAATGGGAGTTCGGATTGAGGAGAGGGAGCTGAGCGAAGTTTTGAAGGAAGGCAGAACAATTGTGTTGGAGATTCGTGAAGGCCTGCCGGAGGACGAGCTCCGTCGGGTTCCGCCGGCGGTCGGAGGAAGAGCTCATTTCGTCGGAGAGGTAGGGAAAAAGATAGTCAGAGGGGAAGAAGAAGACTCTCTTCTACGAGCTGTCGAGCTAGCTGGGGTTTAGGGCTTTTAGAGATTTAGCGCCCACAGGAAACGGGAGATAGGATGGAGAAATAGACGGAAGGAGTGCTTTGCTAAAGGATAACAGTATAGGGATCAAAATGTAATTTTGACAATGGAGAGCGCGAGAGAGAGGCCGGGCTCCGGGTAGACGCCGGCGGCCGCCGATACCGTTGGATCCGTACGGTCTCGGGAATCCCAACGGGTAGAGACAGTAAAAAGGAGAAAAAACAGTCAGGGAAGAGAGAAAGACCCGTTTCCCCGTTTTCTTCCTTCCTTGAAGTCCTTCTCCATTTCTTTTGCCGTAGACTTGTTTTCTTGCTCTTTGATACGTGTGAAAAGTCTCGCCTTTTTTGGGTTTTGTGATACCTCTCCCCAAATCTTTGTTAACCAATTTCTCTCTCTGTCCCCCATTTTTCTCCTCCTCCCGGACCTCAGTCAGTCGATCAACCCGGACTCTCTTCTCTCGCTCTTTCTCTCTAGCTATCTTGGGGTTTTCGTTTAAAAGAGATGGAGAGTGGAAGCCGAGCAGATCACGGAAGCAATGTCACTCCTGCTGCAGCACCAGGTTCGTTTTCCGCCATGGATTTGGTGCTTTCCCCATCTTTTCTTTCCCCTTTTCTTAATTTCTGGGCCGCCGCAGTTTGCCTCTCTCCCGGCTTTGATTTCTTTCTCGCGACCCTTTTCCGCCCTTTTTCCTTTTCGTCTTACTTCCAAAAAGTTTGAACCCTTCTCGATCGCGCATTGCCTCTACTGCTTGGTTGATTACCATCTCGTTTCTTTTGCTGTTTATCCTTGCCGTGCGCTGTGGGTTTTGTGAAATATAGGGTTTTCTGTTTCCTGGTTTCTGACCGTGGTGTGAATTTGCGTGGATAACAGGGCACGAGAGCCATGGAGGAGTCCACGTCTGTCAAAAATGTGGGTGGCCGTTTCCCAACCCACATCCGAACGCAAGGCACCGGCGTGCTCACAGGAAGATATGTGGAACACTTCCAGGCTACAGCCTTCTCCCACAGCTTCAGACTGGCCATTCCCCTGTTTCTGATGATGATGATCAGCACTCTGATGGGGATCTCAAGACCCCTAGTGAGCAAACCCTTTTCTCCCTCCCCCTGATTCCATTCCACCTCTTCTTCTCTTTCTATATGCTTGTATAATTATTGTGATCTCTGCTAGTCTTGTAAGCAATGTGTCAGGGGAACATACATTTCCGAAGCCAGCACTGTTTTTGGCCATGTTAGTTTTGAGTTTTGCCCTTCGTACCCAAAGCTACTGCTTACTTGTATCTGCTTTAAGCTGATAAAAGACTGCATTACCTTCCGTTGCTTGTTTGAAGCACAGGGTTTGTGTTACTTAATGATGGTGCTCTGTGTGTGTTCATTGTCCAAGGTCCGAAAGTTTTGGCGAGAAGTCAATTCGAGATGAGCAGTGGCGGAACAGGGGGGAGATCGAATAGATCAGAAGATGATGTTTTCTCGGATGCTGTTGATGATTTTGTTGATACTGGATCCGCTGTGGGGTTCCAACAGCGGTTGGAGGAGGGCTTTAAAGGAACTATCAACAAAAAAGATACAGCAACTGTTGAATCCCCTGAGGCAGCAATTGGTAGTGGTAAGGTTTAACTGAACTTCTTTGAAGGTTACATCAGCTCCTTAAATGTACTGTTCATTACATCTGTGATAAAGAAAAAAACAGCCCTATTCTGCATGCTGGGATGACAACATTTTGTCTTTCTCATATGACAAGTTTGTGCCGAAGTAGTTATTTTGAGATTGATTTCCTAATACCCGTGGACTAATTTAGTGCTCTACAGTTGACGAATTCTTATATGCTCTTTGGTTTTTCGTTTACTACGATCACGTACTGTAACTTGCTGCTCTTGTATTAGGTCCAGGTACTTCAGACAAGAAAACACAAATGCAAATCACAGAGGTTCAGGCAGATAGAGTTGCACCAGCATCTGCAGAATATGTTCCAATTGCTACAACTGACTTGACTGAACGAGAACACGGGGATGAGTCTGCTCATACAGGAGGAGTATTGACGAGTGACTTAAATCCAATGATATCTGGAAATCAGATGAATGATTCTGGAGAGGTGGCGAAGAACAACATTAATGATCTGAACGGGACCTATCAAAAAGGAAATGAACAAGCCACTCCCGAAGTTCAGGTGGCAGATGGTGTTTTGTCTGCTGATAATGCTACTGTCAACTCATCAGAAGGTATGTCTAATATAGAGAAGGCAGTGGCTGTGAGTTCAAGTACTGGACCAAACTTTGGCATCTGTCAACTGGAGGAAGTGCACACTGCAAAGATGGACGAGGTCCCTCAGTTAAAAGAAGAGTGTCATGGAAAGTTAGAAACTAGAAGTTCCTTCGATGATGTGAAATCTACTGATGCTTCTGATGATACTGCGGAGGTTAACGTGGATGCTCCGTTAGCACCTGCATCTGCAATTTCCAGTGAGTCAGTAGAGGGTGTGAATAGTATGGAGGATGAGAATGCACATGTTATTTCAGTCCTTGGTGATATAAAATATGTTGGCAATGCTGAGGCCATGATTGAGGGCTTCAAAGGTGAAGGGAGTAAAATTCTTCAAACTGTCAATTTAGGCTCAGATGGAATAACAAATGAAGCAAAGGACTCTGGCTCTTCAATTGATGATAATTGTTCCAGTAATCCAATTAGGCAATTGGTGGAGGAAACACTTTCAACTGCATCAGAAGTTCAGGTTCTTGGAGATAGCCCTGAAGTGAAAGGTGAAAGCAGTAGGTTGATTGAAAGTTATCCAGGTTCATGTGCAGAGGTCTTATCGGATATGAATCCGCAGGTTCCATCTGCAGATAGAGAAGCTGAACAGCTTAAAAGACCTGCCGATACTACATTGATTGAAGTTTCTCCAGGTTTAAGTGCAGAGGTCTTATCGGATATGAGTCAGCAGGTTTCATCAGCAGATAGAGAAGCTGAACAACTTAAAAGACCTGCGGACACTCATTCTGGTACTTATGAAGTGCCAAATAATGAAGTGTCTGATGTAGGTGACAACAGCAAAATAGCCATTATGGAGCCTCACAAAGAAGACAACCAAGCAGATTCAGAGCCTGATAATATCATTTTTGAGAAAGAAAGACTTCATGGTCAGCTTGATAGGCCTAATGTGAGTGGGGCCGAAAACTCAGCTCCATCAAGCTTGGTGGATCAGGATGACAACCAAGCAACTTCAGAGCCTGATAATATCATCTTTGAGAATATAAGACTTCATGCTCAGCTTGATAGGCCTGATGTGACTGGGGCTGATAATTCAGCTCCATCAAGCTTGGTGGACCAGAATGTTTCAATGAAGATCGAGGAAACTGTTGAACGTGAAATTGAGTATACACAAACAGGTGTCTCTGAACAAGGTATACAAGAAGCCAAAAGCATAGAAAGTAATTTCCTTGAATGTGTGAGTGCTACTGATTGTCAAGAGGACACAATTGACAGAGACCTTGCACCTGCAGCAGAAACTGGGGGCTCACAGTCAGGGTCAGTGATGGAAAAATCTTCAGTTGAATCCAAAGCGATGCTCGAATCTACAGATGTTCACGAATCCAGTGCTATAGCAGACAAATTAGTAAATGCATCAGAGAGACAATTGAAAGAAGAATCTGCTTGCATAAATATGGGTGAAGTGTCTCACACTGAGGCAAACTTAGATAAACTTGAGACCGAGTCTACTCTTGCAGTTGGTGGGACACCCGAATTGGTTAAAAGTGAAGATGCTGAATTTCCACAGAAGTCTTCACAAGACCCTGTAGCAAAGGACAGTGTAACTTCTTCAGATTCTGATTCATTAAATCCTTTAGTAGCTAAAGATGAATGCACCAGAGACTTGGTCGCAGATGCATCTCATGACAAACCCGAACCATACGGTAAAGAAGGTGACTCCTCTACTGAACAGCTTGGTACATCTGCGGCAGATTTTTCGGTCAAATCAAATAGCCAAACTGATAGTCTGGAAACCCACTGGGGTTCTGCTTCAGGTACATTCATGAACACCTACTTATTTTTTGCTGGTTAGAATCCAACCCGAAATGGTTCAATTATTGGTTCTTCTTGTGTTTATTCCCAGGGAGAGATGTGTAGTTTGGTTTATTTGTCATGCATTCACTCAGTTTTCCAAGTGTTTTTATGTGCTAACTCTCCGCCCAACCAGATATGCCAGTCAGCACAGCGAAGACAAATGCTCCACGAGACTCCGACAAGACGGATATGTTTGAGGCCCCATCTTTCATGACCCTTGTCGAGCCAAGAACTGCAGGTGACCAAAAAGCTGCTGGTGCGTCTTCAGAAATCCATTCAGCACAGAACCCGCAACAGTCAAAAGCTCAAGCTGGATGGTTCCCCTCCATTACTAACGTGGTAAACGAGTCACAGGGAAGGAAAAAGAACGAAGAGATCATTGCAAAGGTGACGAATCGGAGCCATACTGGTGGGAAGCAGCACACTCCCTTGAAGAGCCTGCTAGGCGAGGCGAACCAGGAAACGAAATCGAGGTCGTCGCCAACCCATGTCAAGGAAAATGCTGCAGTGGTCGTCAGCAAAGTCAGGGACAATGGGGTCAGGAGTTCTACTACCATTCAGGAGGAAGGTGCTGGGAGGAAAGAGTGGAACTCTCCAGCGAGGTATCCGGCAGAGATCAAGAGGGAGAAGAGGAAAGAGAAGGGAAGGCCTTACTGGGCTCATTTGGTCTGCTGTGCATCTGTCAAATGAGAATAGATAGATGATGCGTCTGATACAGCTATATGTATAGTGAATGTGGCTCTTGGTTCGTAAATAGGCTGCAACTGGAAGTTTGCTGTTTGACAGTTTTAGCACTTTCATATCGTGTCCTGTGTTTGTGTGGTTGGAGATGTGTAGTATAGACTATAGAGGGAAGTGAACTTGTGAAGGTAAACAGCAAGCACATTGAAGCATGAGTAGAGCAATTTGTTATCATGTTGATGCTCCTCCATCACTTCCACATGTTTGATTGCTGATTCATTAGGAACATGTTGTCATATACAAACTATGCAGCAACCTTAAACCCTTAAACATAATACATATATGGGAACTGATGTACTTCATCAGAAATATGAAATAATAATATGCAAGCCATCTAATAAAAATATATACCACCAATATAATTATCTAGCTGTCAGAAACATATTCTTTGAGGGTTTATTTGTCGTTAATTATTATTATTCGGAGCATTTGATATTATGTTGGGTATTTCGAGACTATTGGGGGTTATTCGGTTAGGTTAATTATTGGGATAGTTAGAGGGAATTAGTCGGATTATATATATTGTGTTAGGAGAAGGATAGAGGCAAGCAATAACACAACAATTATTCCCTAAGTCTATTTCTCGCTCAACCCTAGCCGAAACCCCACTCCCTCACCCTAGCCATCGGCCCCCTTATTCCTGGAGACCGACTTCTGCTTCGCCCTCACCTAAATCCCTGTTCTTTCTCATTCAAATCCCCAATTCACATATCAATCTTAAACCCTAAATCGCACACCTAGTTCCGTGTTCTTTCACTAACAATAATTAGAAATAGTGCTACCTAACAACCAATGATATGTGGATAATGAATTGTATATGTCTGTGTGAATTGTTTTAGTCGGTTAGCTATTATCATAAACTAAACAAGTTTTTTAATTTCGGGTTTCGATTCAACATAATGTATACGTTTTTATCTAAATTAGGAACTCAGACGTTGTTGCTTACACTCTACAAGAACAAATATAGTATAAGAATAAATTTGAGTTTTATTTTTTGATGGGTCCAAAATGGAGGAACGCTTGACTCTAGAGTGATTATGTAAAGTAGTAAGTAATATGTGTAATATGTCTGATTGTGTCTAATTGATTAAATTGTTTGATTGATTAGCGGTGTCTGAAATCAAAACTAAATCATATAAACCAAAGAAAGTAAAAAGTTTAACCAAACCAAACTCAATCAATTGTGGAAACCAAGTTAATTATCAAAACCAAATTATCCGAATTCTGGTTTAAAAGTTTTACAACGTTACATGGGCGGTGAAAGCTAAATATTGGATACTCACTGACCTGGTCCGGCCCGCTCGGAAGATTGGGCTGGATCACCTTTTGAGCCGAAACGACCTGTCTCGAGAAAGAAAGAAAACCAGAAATTCCCCAAATTATCCAGACCCTATCTTTCTTTTCGTGCTCTCCGACAACGAACCACGTGGAGTCGTGGATTGTAAGAAAAAGGAAACCCACTTATCCACGTGTTCGTAGAAAGGAGATATGGTTTGGCATCTCGGGACGGGAATGGCCTTCGCGCCTTCTTGTTACCATCCACAGAATCCGAACCCTCCGCTCGCGGTCCATAATCATAAAAGACGGTGAATGGTGGTGGTGATTCTGTAGTGGGAGAAGAGGTTGTGTTGTGGGCAGAAGAGGAATGATCAATTTGTGATCTCGAGATCCGATTGGATTCCGCTGAAGAAGTTCCCGACGAGGATTGATTCATCGGCTGGAGGCGCTCTCTACGGCGCCGGCTGAGAAACCGCTCGATTGGGTCAAAGCCAGCACTCCCGAAGGTAAATTTTTTTAGAAACTCCGTTTTGTATTCGTTCAATTTTTGTTCTACAGGAAGTTGCAGGAGAGATTTCTCCTTAGATCTCCAGTTCTCTCAGTCGTTTCTCTTCCTCTCTCTATCGTATTTGATGGGTTTGAACCCTCAATTCCATATGGGTCCGAACTGGGTAAATGTGGGTTGTATGTGAATGGAAAGGCTAAGAGAAAGGAAGGGGGAATATGTGTAGTTTTCTGCTCAGTGGGGTTTTTTTTTCGTTTCGATTGCCACAAGTTGTCTTTGGTGGCTTGACTTGGGCATTTACTGTGGTGGATCTTCTGTTGGGTTTTGGTTTGCTGAGTTGTTGCATGGCAGTAAGTTTAGAACTTGACGACTTTAAGCAAATTGAAGTGTCCTTTCATTCTGTGGCAAATTATTGTCAGAGTTGCTTGCTGGGCTGCCCTGTTTATGTGAGAATCCGCTTTGGTTAAGTTGGGTTTCTGATTTTTTGTGTTATGGAGTTTGTCTGATTGGTACACTGTGTGAGTTAGGCCCCTTGGCGGAGAATCGATTGGTTGATGACAGGATAGTTGTTGTTTGTTGACAGATCAAGCATTCTGAATTGATGTTAGTTGAATCTGGTTGCTTTCCTGCCTCTAGAATAGTTGTATCAGTGTACATTGGTTTGTCTGAACAAATCAGTGTGTGTCAATGGCGGAAAGGAATTTTGTGGATGCGTACTTTTGTGAGTTTCGATTTGCACTAGTGGGTTGAGAATGCTTGAGAACTTATTTGCCAAACGATCTACTTTATTGGGATTGGGTTAGTTATCACCAGAGTCTAGTTAGGAGTTATCCCTCAAATTTGTGTATTATTCTCGTTAACCAATATCATGAAACTGTGTTGCCACAACTCTGCAATATATTTTAGCTTCCTTTAATTAATGCATACAGGTGTAGTGCTCTCATTTTGGTTCACCATCTGGTTTGGTCTTTAAACGTACCCCTTCTGCCCCTTGCCTTCACACTGCAGAAGTTCAGCAATTCTGCCTCTAGTGTGCCTTTCGAAGCTGCAAACTGGTCTTTCCCAAAATTTCGCTTGCGGAGTAGCAATGTTTGGCTCGAGTCGCATTTCCCCAGCTGCCACTGCAGGTAACTGTGCGCGCTGCAGCACTCCTTACGTCCTTCTTCACCAAAGAAAAACCGTTGCCTCCATCATTTCATCCCATCAAGCGGTATCATCTTCTGCTTTTTGTGTTGGGTTTGTTCCTCTATGGGTGTTATTTTCTGATTAATTTTGAGATTCCTCAGGCTTTAGATTGCTTCCTTCAAGTTCCTTCCTCTTCTCTGCAGTCAAATTTCTTTCCGTTGAAAGGTGTGAAAAATCCTCGGCCGCATCGTCATTGCCTGCGGCTCACCTGTAAAGCATCTGATCCCGGTGACTTCCTTGGGGACGATTCCCTCAGCTTCTTCCCATGGTCCGGTGACAATAACGGTAATGATAAATCCTAATGCATCTCAATTCCACGTCCTAATTCCCCATCACTTTATCATTTCCCAATTGTATGATTCTTGTATATTATTCCTCAATAGAATTACAATTTAATCGTCTCAACCTGTTAATTGGATTAATTGACACGGGCCCGGGTTTCCAGTTGTTTGATAGGAGTTCTCTCATTTCCCGTAGTTTCTTATGGTTGTGGTTGATTAGTGTAATGATGATGGGGTAATTTGTTCCCCTTTGCTTGCAGCCATAGAATGGGTCCAGCAGGAGAAGGTCACATTGTTCACTGCTGATGGGCTCATTCAGATTGGTGGCAACATTGTTCCTCGACGTGCCACCTCTGCTGATGTATGCTGTGTTTGTTATAAAAGCACTGATGATAAGCTCCCTCATTTTAACTTCTTTTCATGGTTCCCCAGTTAGTTCTAGTTTTGCTTATTGGGTGCACATTCTGCGTCTGTTTCCTTTAAATGCCTCTTAAAACTTTGCTGCATGATTGTCTTTCTTGCAAGAGCTTATTCAACAACTTTCTTCTGATGGGTTTGTTTTACAGAAGAAACAAGGGAAACTTAAGACTTCTCAGAGACTCCAACGGTTTCAAGAGAGTAACTACATGGATCCCGATCAGGGATTGTGTTTGGGTGCATTGTTTGACATTGCTGCGACCAATGTAAGTTGTAATTACTACTGTGGCCACAGCTTTCTGAGACGGGTCCTTAAAATATGATGTGGTCATTAGCAGCTCATGTGTTTCCGGTGCTATTCCAGGGGCTCGATATGGGAAGAAGGCTGTGTATACTTGGATTCTGCCGCTCCATTGAAATGCTCAGTGATGTTGTGGAGGACACTGTTTTGGAACATGGTGGAGAGGTAGGGTAATGTTTGTGTAGCTGAAATTTGTCCAACATACTTGTGCAAACCTCGCTTGTTCCCAGTTTATAGGTACAGTTCATGATTCTTCTTACTACTCAGGAACGAAAAACAGCGTTTGATGCTACGTGTTAGGCTTTGCATACATTGCCATGAATCCTGCCCTTTGGTTGTGCTCAATACTTTGTGAATCTACCTTCCCTCTTACAACTGGAAAACAAATAGACCATTTTTTATAAAAATGTGCTGTTTGTCTGCCCTGTGGTTACCCCCAAAAAGCTTAGTTCATCGCTGTATCCATAAACCGCAGACTCTTATCTTCATACATCTGCCTGATTATCAGCTCATGACAATGAGCTCAAAAGGAGGACGACCCTGTAATCTTTTTGCTTCCTTTCAGGTGGTTGCTGCTGAGAAAGCAGTGAAAGGCGGGTTGCATGAGAAGTTGAAGATGACGGTGGCTGTACCATATCTTTGGGGCGTGCCACCGGCTTCCGAGACGCTTCGCCTGGCGGTTAGGAGCGGTGGTGGGATTGTGGAGAAGGTTTATTGGCAGTGGGACTTCCTGTAAATAGAGAAAAGTTGGTTCACCTAAAAAATTGGCCCTGTTTAACCTTTCATTCACTTGTACATATATCATTGTCACAAATATACTATACTACTGTATATAATCTGTAACAGTTGGAAGGAACTGTTAATAATTCGACGTTGATGTCCCAATCCAATTCATTGTTTTGGAACTTGTGAATTAAACCAAAATTGATAGTCTTTCTCGAACCTTGCTTTGCCTTGAGCCCCAAGTTACTGGAGTTTCTAATCCCATCTGGTTTTGGGCCCTGCCTTGAGATTTTTATCTTTTGGGCCTGGTGATTCTGGGCTGGGCTTCCGAAGCTTCAGAAGAAGAAGCAGAAAAGAACTGCTGCTAAAACCGAACTGCTATCTTTCTCCTTCGCCGGCGAACGGCAACTGGGTTTACCGTAGAAGTGGTGGTAGATTATTGACCGTTTCCCGCGCTGTCGACGACGATACCCTCGTTCCGGCGCCTCAGTATTTCTTCCTCAGCTATGGAGTTCGTTAACCCAGAAGGACTCCGTCTGGACGGTCGCCGTCCGATGGAAGTATGTTGCTTTCAGTCTCAGTTTCCTCCTTTTAGATTATCTGGGTTTGTTTAAACCGAATTTTCATTCCGTGTGTCTCAGTTTAATATGAAACTCCCTGTCTGTGTCTCAGATGAGGCAGCTTCGAGCCGAGATTGGCGCGGTTGCCAGAGCTGACGGGTATCTTCAAAACCCTAATGCATTTTTTTTATTTCTTCGATTTTAGTATGAATTAACAAGTTAAAATCCCGAACACTTGCAGTTCTGCTGTTTTTGAAATGGGCAACACCAAAGTAATTGCTGCTGTCTATGGTCCTAGAGAGGTAATGTATTGTTCTTTGTTTGAGCTCCAAGGGTGCTAATTTCTTTTTGGAATTACTTCAAGTTACAGCTTTTACTGCTTATCTGAGACTGCCTGGTTCTAATTGTTCAGGTCCAGAACAAGAGCCAACTGAGTAACGACCAGGCATTGGTATTGTTGATCTTGACATTTTTATGTTGAGTTGCCTTGCTCTTAGATCAGCCCCTTACTGACTTTTTGCTTATGTAAACCGCAGGTGAGGTGTGAGTACACCATGGCCAATTTCAGCACCGGTGACCGCAAGCGTAAACCAAAGGGCGATAGGTAATCAGTATGCTTCCAGATGGTTTCGATATGCTAGATGATGCAACCTGTTTCTGCCTTTCTCTGAGTTTTTTAGTTTCTTATAGTTCTTATAAAGTTAATAGTTTATTAAGGTGTGGTATTAATTAGCGAGTATAGATTTGAACCAGGGCTCTGGATTAGATAGATAATTAGCTTTTGCAATGATGTGGGCCAAATTGTTTGCATGACAAGGTTTTCTTATCTTTATTATCATAAGCTTGGCTTGGTAAAATTCCTGTGCCATATCCTAGAATGGGGGATCTTGTTAACTCTTTTGGCACCTGCATATTATCCTCAGGCGATCAACAGAGATATCTTTAGTCATCCGCCAGACAATGGAAGCTTGCATATTGACTAACCTAATGCCGCGCTCTCAGGTTATTTTCTTACTGCTTTGTCCTTATTTTATCAGGAAGGATAACACTTGTTACATTTCCTAAAGGATAGTGTTGTATATTGACTAACCTAATGCCGCGCTCTCAGGTTATTTTCTTACTGCTTTGTCCTTATTTTATCAGGAAGGATAACACTTGTTACATTTCCTAAAGGATAGTGTTGTTTGTGAATCATACAGATAGACATCTACGTGCAAGTCCTCCAAGCTGATGGAGGTGAGTCGTTCGGCCTTTTTGGAGTTGCTTGTTGACTAATCATGTACATAATCGTGTTCACATGGTTCTTTGTGTTACTAGTACGTAAACCTTTCCTGGTAAAAGAGGTTCTTATCTTATCATCACATGGCTGCATCTGCTTGCAGGAACTAGATCTGCATGTATAAATGCTGCAACTTTGGCCCTAGCTGATGCTGGGATCCCTATGCGTGACCTTGTGACTTCCTGTAGTGCTGGTTACCTCAATAGCACTCCTTTGCTTGGTATGCTTGTACCTTCACTTAATACCTTCTCTTTTCCAGTTAGCTGTTAACCATCAAAGCTCGCACTGATCCTACCGCATTTGCTACAGATCTTAATTATCTGGAAGATAGTGCTGGGGGTCCTGATGTCACCGTTGGGTTTCTACCGAAGCTAGACAAAGTGACTCTTCTTCAGGTTAGGGTCGGGAGATTGGTTTTCATTAATCGTTAATTCAGTTTAAATAAAACAATGTGGATGTCTGATTGGTGCTGAGTTCTTCACTAATCAATTCCTTCAATTATTTCTGCGCAGATGGATGCCAAGTTGCCAGTTGATATTGTTGAAAACGTTATGCAGCTTGCAATTGAAGGCTGCAAGGCCATTGCAACTTATATACGGGAGGTAATAGTTAGCTTTCAATTAACTGGGGCTCTCTCTCTCTCTTCGTCACAAAGTTCTCTTTGGTGTTCTTCATCAGACGAGCAATTACTTACACTCCGGAGTTTTTTTTTTTTTGGGTACAGGTATTGCTCGAAAACACCAAGCAACTAGAGTATCGACGAGGCCCGTAATTTGAGTGTGTTATTCGACCAAGCTAGCTCATACTATGCCCCTAGCTGTAGTTATTTCGAGTTTGTTATTAGGCTGTTTGGTAGAGTTGATTTTAGGTAGTAAAAGGATAATTGATGGATGTTAGATGTGTGTTTGATAATACGTCAATTTGTGTGCAAACCATTTTTCTTTCTTTTTTATGAAATTACAAGTGAGGAAGAGCTCAATAGTTGTTTCAGATTGAGAAAATGTGCATTTCTGGATTCCAAAAGCACAGGCTTTACATGGATTTCCCATCCACTGTAGATTCCGAAAGCACTACTATAAGTCAGCTCTATTTGATCTTGGTCTTGCTTTACATGGATACAATCTTGTATCCACTACTATAAGTCAACTGCCACAAGCCATTGCCTTGATCACATCAGGCTTGATGGTATGCTTGCCGCTATGGAGTCGAGCAAAGCCTGCTCGCAGTATCGTAATTTCACATCAAGAATGCATGGCACTGGCTGCGGCATCTATCGTAAGGGGAGATAAAAGGCCTGTACCCCAAAGCCAAGTTTCGACCTAAATCGCGACCGTTGATTGGTCACTCCGCCATACACTGTCCCATTCGAACTAAAACGTCAGGGAACACAACAGCAAAGAAAGCGAGAAGCATAAGCATGTATATTCATATGGTCTATCAAGTAGACAAAACAAAAAGAAGATTCCAAGTATTACCCCCAAACTCAGCTCTTCCTCAAGTACTACCTCAGATAATTATCCTAAGACCATCATCAACAATTTCAATTCTCATGTATCTATCCAAAGGGTAAAAAAGAAGGAAAACTTCCAAAAGGAGAAAACCCTTAACTTAATACACAAATAGAACACCTGACCACGGCAGCTAGCTAGGTTTCCTCTTCTAAACTCCATGAATTTCCCTTCATGACACAGTTCCTTCCACAAATGGTAACACACGACTCTGTTCAACTCTTTTAAACGTACTTCTTTTCGTCCCCCTCGCTCTGCAGGCCAGTCTTCTTCCCTCCCTCTCCTACCGAATGTCATGGGCCTGCTCAGTTATTTTTTGCACATGATCTCCGAGTGGGGGTACCATCTCTCTTCTCGGAAATATGGGAGAGAAAAAGACAGGCAAACGTAAACAAGGGAAAACCCAAGATCGACGGAAGGAACAAGAGGGACAGAGCATCAGTGGTGGGTCGCAGCTAGCTGAGACTTCCTCAGCCATTAGAAACCCCTCCCTTACAATCAAGACTGCACGGCTAGCCTCTGTAGATGCTCGAAGAAGACTTGAAGGCTGACATCATCTGTGAATATCACATCAGACCCAGCTGCCATCTCATGTGCATTGTTGTATGTCGCTGATGGGTTCAATTTTGCCAACAAAAACCTAGCCTGTTCATTTCATCATCACATTCACAACCACAAAGGTCAAGTTCCGTCTGTTGTTCAGTTCCAGCAATAACATTAGAAATTGAAAAAAGAACTAACCTGGGACCCGTGCTGATCGCACACCACAAGCCTAGGGACTGGGAAACGCTCTCGGATTATCATCTGAGCGTCATCTTGAGGAGCTTGCAAAAGCTGTGCAAACGCCTACAGAAGAAAAAGCATGTATTAACTCAAAGAACCAGAAGGGGAAAAACAGAAAAGCCCTTAGTTGACTTGAAAACACCAGACAACTAACCAACCAACAGATTGTGGTAGGCTTTTTATGAAAACTGTTCTAAAAGAACCTACATCTAATTTCAAGAACTATAGCACGAATCAGTTACCAGCTTATGACATATGTCTTTCTTAGGTAGAAAAGCTCATTTGTGTCTACCTTATGAGAAGAAATGACCAAATGGCAGCTTATTTTCAACTAACTATACAGGACCACATACTCATCGTGCATAAATGCATAAAAAGGCTGATCAATGGCTTAAGGATATTTACTAAGTTGTATAAAAGAAGGATTAGGCACAAGTCAAACCATACCTGGTGTTCTGTCTGATTCTGGTAACCCATGTTACGCCACTGTGCTATTGTCATGCCATGGAAAATGACAACACTGAAGTAAGAATCTAGCAAGAGGATTCGGTCAGCAGCAATAGACGCAACATCTAGAAGTGCCGGTTGAGGTAATGTATTGAAGGAATAAGATATTAACGACGGCTGAAGCATGACAGCAGCATTGGTAATGTTTTCTTTGTTTAACAACATGCGGAAATAAGCAGTCTCATCCGGGCTGTTATTGAAAACCTGCTCACAAGAAATATCAATCAACAAAACTAGAATAAGTATAACTGAGAGATATATATATTGCACGAGTTGCAAAGAATTTGCTCATGATAGTCACCTGTACAAATTGGGACCGTCGGAGATTGAACATGAATTGGGGGAACAATGAAAAGCAGGGGTTCAATGTAAAGGATGATGGGTCATCCTTCCGATAGTCTCCAAATTTGGAACATAAACGAATTAGATTCCGGTCCAGCCAACGAGTTGCATCAAATCCTTCCTGTTTAATTACACCATAGGGTATAGGTCAGGAAAGTTCAGCATGGATAAGGACTTGCAAAAGAAAAAAAATAGACCGGTGACTCCGCAGAATCAAAGGGATAAAGCGAATGATATGCAGTAGTAAAATTATTCAACAAGACACAAAGACTCAAGGAAGTTGGAAAAGCACAGTAGCAAAACTAGGCCACTTCAAAGTACCTCTATCTCCATTTTTAAGGATGCTAGTCTTCCCATTACAACAGCTGCTGTCTCTTGATCAAATCCTTGAACTAATTCCTGAAATAGTTGAAAGTCAGAACATGATGCACAATGAGACATGACAGTAAGAATATTATTCAAATTAAGACACCTCCGACAAATTAAAAGAAAATTAAACAACCACGATAAGGCAACGCCACCCACAGATGTTACCATCTGGTCAGAGATACTTATATACAGCACCAACCAAACCCCCTTAAAAACAGCTAAATGGAACCCCGACCACACTATCTAAACAATGTAGACAAAGCAAAAAATAATTTTCATGAAGCCACAAGCAACTGTAGCACATGATGATTCAAAGTCGAGCATAAAAAGTTTCACGACATTTAAAATGCTAAATATGTTTCTATGATGTTCCATACTTAAAGAGTCGCAAACCAAATGGTTAAGGATTAAAGTTCGAGGACAACATAAAAAGGAAAGATAAAAAACACACATCAACGCACACAAACAAGAAATATAATAAAATATAATTAAGTGAAATTTTTAAATGAAATTTTATCAGCATGAAGCATAACTAACCTCTGAGCTAACAGTACTATCTACCCATTGCCTAGTTACAGTTGTAACCCGAAGCAGGGATTGGCCTTCAGGCGTCTGATAGCTATATTCATATCACCAATTGGTGATACAAAGCAAAAGAACAAACATTAGAAGTCCATCATGGAGTTAGCAAATACCAACAGAAATGTGCATGTAGAATATGAACAAAAGGCAATTGAGAAACAGAAGTTCTCCATGCATACCTAGTGAGAAACTGCAGGTATAATTGTGGATTTACAGTGCCAGGAGTATTTGATCTATCGGTTGATGAAAGATCAAAAAACACTGTCAAGCAAGTACTCTTGTCAAGGCCACACATCTTCCAGGCTGAAGTGTTGCCCTCCCCTATGACAGTATCAGCAACATTCGGCCCTTTCTGCAAGGATGACAGCAACCACACCCATGATGCCAAAGAATGACTGTGTAAGAAAATGCACAAAGAGAACGACGATGGGGGTGGGGTGGGGACCAGAAACTGGTCTCCAACCAAAAACATATTAGGGGAAAACAGCAGATACTAAAGTTGATGTTCCAACCTTTTCCATCGACGTGCAAGGTCCAATTATTCCCTGAATTTTGATGTCCTTTGAACAGTTAACTTCAAGTGTTCCACTGCAAAGATAAAAAAAACATATTACCATCATACAACTTACCCAAGGAGAAATTAGCCCTCACGATAAAACTGTTCAACTCCATGTAAATGTTATGTTAACCGAATTGCACTTAAGATCCAAGAGTTTACGTATCACAAATGAGCATACCACATCAGTTCCATAGCTTATAATAACAATGTAACCTACTACGTCTAAGAAAAAAACTTCTCCAGGGTGAGTCTTGATCAAGCAAAAGAAAGAATGTAGTCACAAGATGAGTCTATCTTAACATTATCGAGCCAATGGAGCCAATTTTTGTAGAAAACTCACTTAAAACAGAGGCCAAGAGAATGTTCCCCATCTTCGAATACACGCTTGAAGGAGTCCTTGAAAACAGAGTGCCCAAAACTCTCTGCTAGAACTGCAAGTCCCCCAGTTCTCTCAACTGCAACTTTCATTTCGGCAACCCCAACCTAAGAGATACAGCCAAACATCTCAGTTTCCATCACAGAAGAGCATAAGGCTTGTCCAGTCCAAAACTTAAAAATATCTAATTTTTACTTGTTGCTCTTAAAGAAATAAACAAAGATAAAAGCAATTAAAAAATATTCAAAGTGTATAACAAGTTCAAACCTGACTCACGTTACACCCTAACTACTTTCTAGGCATTTTCGGGCAATTAGCATTGCCTGACTGATTAGGGTTGGAGCATCCCAAGAGAAACAACTATCTAGAAAAATGATTCTGCCTAAAGGATGAAATATCTACATAGTAATATGGGAAGCCACATACAAGACAAATGAAAACTCCGGGAGCAAATTGGATAAAAAATAATATTAAAGTTTATAAATTCAACAAAAAACGTTATTGCAGTACTCAAGCAAAAGCATACAACAATGAAATCTAGTAGAGATATGAACAGACACAGTGACAACTTCGTATAAGAACCACATATAGCATTCGCTATCACCAAGAACCAACTTAATAAAAAATTGAAGTCTTCAAACAAGCACATACAACCACGAAAACCAGTAGAGATACAACCAGACACAGCGACAACTTAGAGCAACAGCCACTTTAGACTTCAATAAAGCCAAGCAGACATATGCTCCTTTATTTTACCGTGACATATTTAAATAAAAGGTTGGCAGATAAATTTATAGCTGAAAATTTCCAACATACAGTAAAGAGACAATCTTACGGCGACCCACTTCAGTGCACACCATCTAATTCTACTCTACATAGCATTCCATTCCAAATTGGCGAATTCCACCACCTTAACTTCTAGTTCCAACCCAGTTTTTCACCCTATTGGTGGATCCACTCTACACTCCAAACTTACTCACTAACAGAACTTCAACAGAAGTCAAATGCCCAGAAATATCACCTGGTCAAGAGCTGAAGCAAAGACATCCAACACATGGCCTTGGCTGACAAGCTGTTTTGCCAGACCATCATAAAACTTGACTGCTTTCTTGAAGTATGGAGCTGCATCCTTGTCAAGGTCCTTATGAGAACGTACAGGATCCGACAAATCCTTGGATATGATCTGCAAAGATTTACCATCTTGTTATTATTTATGGAGATCCTAGAAATAGCTACAATGTCTATTGCAGAAAAGATCGTAGACTTGATGTTCCACTTGCACAAATGTCTCATTGATCTCACAACCTCATAAAATGCCAGGTAAAGCTAAACACAACAGAGGGCACAGTACATTTGACAACAAGTTAGATAATAATTATAATTAGGAAATCATACCAGTGTAAAGATAATTTACAAGTGACATTAGCCAGTGTAAAGATCAATTTGATTCATGTTTGATTGACATCTAAATTCCAGAAAAGTTCTCTTGGGATAAAAAGAACTACCCTGTTCATAGCCAAAATATGCTAAAACCATCAAAATCAGTGGTCAAATCAAAGTAGATAGCTTTAGAAGCTTTCTCCCATCCTCCAAAGACGGTGATACAGCCATTAGCTACATGCATAAAGGAGCTTCGATTCTTTCACTTTCAATTACAATTAGTTTTCTTTTAATAGATGAAGTAAATTGTGTCAAGTGGTAGCACTCGGGAGCAAAGCAATGACTTGAATTTAGAAATGTGAAGAATATAAAAGGGCACCCAACCAAAATCAATTTTGATGATTACCGTGCCAGGACCTTCGGTGCACGGACCTCCAACCAAAGTTAAGATTCTTGCACCAGTGCCAGGCAAACAAGCTCCAAGAAGTCCAGCTGCGACACTCAAAGCCACGCCGGTACACCTTGAAGCCCGGGTTCCTGGCTGGACGGGCCATTGGTCTGTTTGCAACTCATCCAGAAGCTAATCCAAACCAAAAAAAAAATTCCATCTTTCAGCAAAGAATCACGAGTTGGCACTAGAATAAGCGAAAGGGGGAACGAACTAAGACGACACGCACCGAATTGAGGGTAAATTCGCAATCCGATGCAGGCAACAAGAACCTCGTGACACCAGAACTTGGGAAGCCATTGGGCATCATTCCTTTCTGTTGGTACGCAGCAGAAGCAGCAGGGCCTCTACGGCCAGGAACAGTTAAACCCAACTGTTCCATAACCTGATCCTTGGTCACCTCCTTGGTTCCCCTGAAGACAAAAACCTTGGACATATCCGAGAACCCGAGCTCATGGACATGAGCTTGCGTCCCGAATGAAACAAACCCAACAAGCGCATTCTCCGGCAACAACCCAATAGCCCGTTTCATAGCGGATCTAACATAGTCGAATTCCTCCTCGATCATGCAGGTATCCAGCACAAACACGAAAACGGGCGACGGAGAAAAGGCCGGAGATGCGTTAGGATCAACACCCATCTGGGGATTAATGCTAGGGTTCGGCAGGGTGTACTGCACGGTGGTGAACTGTGGGTACAGCTCCGCGGGCAGATTGGTCTCGGAGATCATCCCGTAATGCGGCGGGAAATGGTTGCGCTGGAAGCAGAACGGGCAGATCCAGATCTTGGCGGTAAAATCGACCCGGGCGAAGCAGTTGAGCGGGGAAGCGCACGTCTTGCATCGCAAGGGAGCGTAAGGTAGGGTTTGGATATCCGGGTGGTGACGGATCGGCGAGATGCAAGCCGCCAACGGGATTACGCACTTGCTAGCTTCCACCTTGGTCCGCGGCCACGAGTTCCACGACATCCGGACTCCGTCGATCCCCTCGGGATCCATGTTCGCCATCTCCGACATGGGTTGCTGCAGCTGCTGCTCAACTTTGCGGCGGAAAAACCAAACCCGATCGGACGGATCAATTTATGCAAATCGGAGCCCGAATTGAATCCACTTTTTTTTCCCCACAATGAGCTGTTATCTTCCTTTTTTGTAAATTTTTTTTTGGATAGTCGAATTGAAATCGAAATTGGGGGGAATTGAAATTGAAATTGAAATTGAAATGGGATTGAAATTGAAAGGAACAGGCGGAGAATGGGAAGATTGGGCGACCCCCTATGGTGGAATTGGGAAGGAAGGGTAGGGGTCACCGCAGGAAAGTGAGAAGGAAAAGAGATTTGCAGAGACGGAGGAGAAAGGGAAGAGAGAGCTTTTTTTTTTATTTTTTTTGGATGATTTGAGAGAATGGGGGTTTCAATATATAAATTCTTCCTTCCTAACTGTTTTTATTCTTCCCTTTTTGGATTTTATATATTTATTCGAAATAATAATTTAATTGCTGTCTTTTTTTTATTTTCACCCATTTTTTTATTTTTGACTATTATAGATTGTGAAGTGGACGTTTTTTTACCATATATGAAGGGTACCAAAAAAAAAAAAAAACAGGGCAGCCCCTTTTTTACCTTGGTGTTGCAGATGACGTCATCTTTAAATTTTTTTAGGGATAGATTTTACCACCGATAAAGGAGTTAAATTTTGCGAAAGCGAATTTTTTACTTTCTTACCTTTACTATGGTGACGTCATTTATTGGGATTTTTTGGCTAGTACTCTCTTTTTCGTAATGAAGTTAGAAGCCCAAATCTTAATTCCTAATTATATGACTACGTATTTGATGGACCAAAGCCCGCAAGTGTGTTTGGGCTATTATTTATTGTAATTGGGCTTCAATTATAGAGAGGAAGCTTCTTGAGTCTTTGTCTGACCGAAGCCCATGTTTTCCCCGGTCCAATACGTGGCGGCATTTTCCCTTCATTTGGGCTTTCAATTAAATAAAGAAAGAAGCCTTTTGGGCAGTGTTATTAAGGTGGAGTCGCTCGGCCCGACCGGTAAAATTGCCATCCAGTCGCCAAATCGGCTCGGAATAGTCTAAAAGCCGCTCCGATTTTATGTAGCGGTTGACGAGCGGCCAAGGCGGTTAACCGCTCGAGCGGCTCGTCCGGTTTTTGCCATTCAGCCGTTAAATTTAATTAAAAGAATTGCAGAAATTTGAAATAAACCAAAAACGTCGGGCTCTCAAACCGAATCCTTATTTCCATTTCACAATTTCGAAGGAAAGAGACGAGCTCTGATTAAGAAATGTCCACTATTTATACTGATAACGTTTATTAAGTACCGGTTTTTAAACGGTCTTATGCTAATTGTACCACTAAAGTGCGAGCCGTTCGCATTACCTGATCATGCTCCGTCGGTTCTGACAACATAGTTTTGTCTTTGGGATTTCAATTAACCGTTTACAGGCGGCGATTGGTGAGTGGAAGCCGGCCGGAACAAAACAAAAAGGAGCAACCGCCAGAGAGTTGGCCGGCAAACAGAGGAACGGAGGACTCTGTCATCATATCAATCACCATGAATTGATCCCTTCCCTCCAGATTCTTGTACTCTCCTCCAACTCCATTCTTGTCGCCATTACTGCTGCCACACTACGGACACGGGTAGCTTCTTCTTCCTCCTCTCTCTCCCCTCCAAAAATGTCAAATTCATTGAAACCCTTAACGACCAACCACTACTAGTAGCAGTGACGATCGTATTCCTCCCGCCGTCAACCATGGCTGCGTCTTCCGTTCTCCTCTGCAATCCTCTCTCCACCCTCCGTCGTCGCCGCTTAATCGCCGTCCCTGCGGCGAGATTTCACACACCCATCTCCGTAGCAACTCTGTTTCCAAGCTCTGTCTCCCTCCGCCGCGCCGCGAACTGTAGTCTTCGTTCATCTACCAATTCCTTGGTCCGGAGTTCTTCTCCTCGGAATGTCCAATCTCCGGCGGATGAACAGCCGCCCATTGGTGAGGACTCTGCTCTGTTTCAATTGGAGAATCAGAAGCTCTCGTCTTGGCTCTACTTCTCCGTCATCCTCGGCGTCGTCTTATTCCTCCTCGACCTCCTCTGGATCGACAATTCCACCGGATACGGCAAACTCTTCGTCGACTCTCTCTCCGCCGTCTCCGACAGCCACGAGGTAATTGAATTATTATAGTCCAGGCAGTCCAGTTCTATAATGGGAATTCAGGTCTTTTCCTTATGAGGAACAAGGGTTTGTTTCCCGATTCACGCAACACTGTTAGGTTGAGTAAATGGCCGAATCCCTGCTTGAACTCTGTCCAATTGGAGCTGCTAACGTTGCATTTTGTTGCAGGTTGTAATGCTTCTGCTCATACTGGCTTTCGCAACTGTCCACAGTGGTTTGGCTAGCGTGAGAGACGCAGGGGAGAAGCTGGTCGGAGAACGAGCCTTCCGTGTTGTTTTTGCAGGATTGTCTCTTCCTTTAGCTGTTAGTACAGTGGTAAGTAGCTTCTGAGATACAAGTAACAGTCTTTATTTGGAGAATGAGAAGTTGGTCCGATCCAATTGTTTTGATTCTGCCTCTACCACTACTACTGTTGTGTTCTTTCAGGTTTACTTCATCAATCACAGGTACGATGGGACTCAGCTATGGCAGCTGCAATCTGTCTCCGGGTTGCACGAAGTCGTGTGGCTGTCCAACTTCATTTCCTTCTTCTTGCTCTACCCTTCGACGTTCAATCTGCTGGAGGTTGCAGCCGTGGACAAGCCGAAGATGCATCTCTGGGAGAGTGGAATCATGAGAATCACAAGGCACCCCCAGGTGTGTATAGATAATGTTTGCTTATCTGTCTCACTCCCCTAGTTGCAAATGAGGTGAATGCTATTAAAAAGCTTACTAATTTGGTTGTTTTGGTTTCTCCTGTGGGGAAGATGGTAGGTCAGGTGATGTGGTGCGTGGCTCACACGGTGTGGATAGGGAACTCAGTCGTACTAGCTGCATCGGTCGGTCTAATTGCACACCACTTGTTCGGTGTTTGGAATGGAGATAGGAGACTAGCTGCGAGATACGGGGAAGCATTTGAAGCGGTGAAGGGCAGGACAAGCGTAGTTCCGTTTGCAGCAATCTTGGATGGTCGCCAGAAGCTACCCAAAGATTACTACAAGGAGTTCTTGAGGCTGCCTTATCTGACCATCACGGCACTGACATTAGGTGCATATTTTGCTCACCCGTTGATGCAGGCTTCAAGCTATGGCCTGCATTGGTAGAAAGGGAAAGTAAGTAACTTTACCTAGAATGTAGTTGTTGTATTGCTACCTTGGATCATCATGTGACTAGGCTACGAAACGAGGGATGGAAAATGTACCATCCGTAGCATTCAATCATGCAAACACGGGAACTGAATCTATAAGTTGGAATGAGAGTTAGAAGAGAAGAGGCTTCAATCTTCATTTATTGTAATGGAAACCTCGGTAATACAATACAATACAATACATTCTGCAGTAATATAAAAGCTTCGAGCTTCACATTGTTCTGCCGGAATTACATACAAACATAAAGATTGTCCTTTTTTTGCTTAATCTTATTCTGTCTCCGTCATTATTTTAGCAAAGCAGTTGAGGTAGTAGTAGAGTTCATTTGTATTGATGACTGCTTTCAACAGGGACAGTGGTTGGAAGTTTTACAACTCCTTTATAGCGCAAAGGAGGAATAGAGCAGTGGCCGTTCTACGGCCAAATTCATCATCTGAGATTGCAGAAAAACACATCATGATCATCATCATCAACAACTTCTCAAACTTGTTCAGCTCCACAACTGTGCATAATGCTCCAGGCCAGCCGGGGTACTGAGAGGCTTACACCTCTCCATCTCCAGCAAAGGAAACCCACAATGGCAAAAAAACCTCATTGGCTGTGTTGAAAGCCAAAGAGGTAAAAAGCAGAAAGCCATTGGAACTCCTCCACTGATCAGAAGGCGGCGGCAAGAAGACACAGCACTGCTAACCGAGTTGTACGCGAGTCTGCGTGTTCTGAGCTGTTGAGGATGACCACAACATGAAACCCACAAAAAGACGAGGGGGGAAACAACATAGAAGAAGAAAATTTGAAAATGAAGGGAAAGGAACAAAAAAATGTTGCAGGTTGGGGTTATTGCTGATGGAGGATGGAGATTAGTTTAGTCATCTCCCTGAATGTACCAGCAGAGGAGCATGGTGGCGCAGCGGCGGAGGACGTAAATCTTAGCTCGTTGCTCCTTGATCAAGGATGCACATTTCCTGGTGATCTTGCTTCCCTTCTTGGTTGGTGCAGCAGAGAGGCCATTAGCAGATGCAGCATTCCTGGTGTAAACCGTGATCTCAGCCATCTTCGTACTTCGTGATTTGTAGTGTGTTCAGTGACTTAACAAGAGTAACTGTGTATAGAATGAATGATAGAAAGAAAGGAACAAATCAAACCCCTGAGGAGGGTGAAAAAAAGGAAAGATGAACAAGAAGAAGAATTGCTTCAAACTGGTGTTGTTGGGAGATGGAAGGTGGAATGGGAGTGGATATTTATGGAGGATGGAGTGCATGGGGAGTTAGGGTAGTGAACCTTGGAAGTTGGAATTTAGGTAGATTACAAATTTTCCATGAAAAAGAGGTGCATTTTCCAGGAAAGATCTAGGAGTTGGCTTGTTTTTCAAGTGAGGGAATGAACATGGTCGCCTTCATTACCAAGTAGTTTTGTCTCCTGTGTATAACTGAAGCTAAACCAGGTAGGACAATCCAAGTTTTGTGTATGATAAGAAAGAATTTGGCTTATCTTACCGAGTTATAACTAGCTGTGAACACATGTTTATGACAGTTCATCGACCAGGCCGGTTCGATTTTGCAGAAGGTGTATGCACGTACTAACGCCTACCCTTTCATCGACCAAGCTGGATCGATACTGCAGAGGTCAATGGGTTGAGTAGAAGCAATTCTTATAACTAGGACACTTGGCTAATGGGGATTGGAAGTTGGAGATGCATTAAGATTGACGAGAGAGAGAGACTGAGACAGAAGGATGGATTGATGCATGGAAATCTGTTGCTGCAGAATTAAAGATTCAGATACGGACAAATTCCAGTTTGCACGTGCATTGGCTTGGGATCAGGAAGGAAGCAATCCAGGAAGAAGAGATGTATCAAATCGGAAAAAGAAAAAAGGGGGGAAACATTCTTTTTAATGTAGTGTGATGAATGCAATGCCAGCCATGGAATCTATATCCCAACGTTAATGTCGGAGATGCATGGTACATGCAGGGAGCAAACTCGTGATTCCCACCCACGATTTCAGGTCCCCAATGGATTGAGATTAATCCCTTTTGTAGAGCGCTTGTCTTATCTCCAATGTGATAAGAGCACTAGGTGCTTTCTGTAACAGCTTACGACGAGAAGGTTTAGTCATTGTTGTCGACGATAGAGACACCATGTTTGCATGCACAACAGAAAAGAAAAGCTCTTAAATGTGTCAAAGAAGAAGAGAGACAAACATACTTTTTTCTTCACTCATTGCAAGTGATTCACTTGAGGTTTCAATATCGGAGTATTTGTCTGTACACAATTTTGTTGAGAGAATATTTGGCTCTGAGCCCTTCCTTGCTGACAACAAACAAACTCTTGATTCACTTCCTAACAACAACAACAACAACAATCGGGTATTGACCATACATACATTTTACTGCTTCTTGTTACTGAATCATTTCCTACCTTCCCCAACTGCTGCAAGCTTCAATCATCATCGTCATAAACTCACGGTAGCCTCAGTCAGAGCCCGCTGTCCCCTAGCAGCAAGCAACTCGTAATCCTGCATAGTCGACATGAAAGCATAGTTAGAACTAGTTACCACGAAGATTTCCATATGCCACAAGGTCTGTTTTTTGGTTCATTGAAGTACATGCCTGGACAATTGCCTGCGCACAAAGCTTCCCGGAAAGGACAGCACCTTCCATGGATGCCAAATATTTCTGTTTAGTGTAGTCACCGGACAAATAGAAACCCTCAACTGGAGATCTCTGCAATGGACGGGCAGGTTCACAATCTGGGACAGTCTTGTATACAGACCTGCAACAAATTCCGTGACACAGAAGGCAATGTCAAATCAAAGATACAGGGGGTATTTCCATGAACAACAGAAAGAAATGCTAATAAGTAACGTTTAACTCGGACAATCTACTGGGTCAAACCTTGGAGTCTTCACAACGTGATACTTCAGGATTTTCGCCTTGCTCTGATCTGCAGATATTTCATCTGGGAAGAGCTTTGCAAGTTCATTCATTGTAGCATCGATGATCTCCGAGTCACTGCGTGTTATCCATTCCTCCGCAGGTGCGAACACCAACTCTAGCATGGATTTATTGGGGTCATAATATTCCTGTGTTAAACAATATATGAATAAATAAAACCACTATTTAGAGGTTGTTTCTCGATGAGTATTCTTCAGTAGGTCTAAATTCAAACTAACCTTACAGGTTACAGACATGTCAGCGTATACACTAAGAAGCGGACTCCTGCCAAAACCAGGGTGAACAACAGAATAAGGCATGGATCAAAGCATTAAACAACTTCATTTTGAAGAAATGAATACTTTTTGAAGACAATGGCATGTGATAGTGGAGAATCATAGTGCAAGTGAAGTCAAACTTTTTTGAGGTCAAAGAGACTAAAATAGACAGTGTAGGGTTTTTAGAATCTTTGGTGTTCTCCACCGGAACTGTACACATAACAAAGATCTCTAAACATGGGAAAGTAAGATAAGAGTTCACCATTCTGAAAGAGTAGAATCAGGATTTTTCTGGAGTTAAGTATGGGAGATCGCTTGAAACAACAACAAAAAACTATTATTTTTTGTATATTTGAACTTGCAAGAAATAGGAGCGCACCTGCTGAAGAGTAGGTGATCAGATACATTCTTCAGTTTCCTGTCAAACCTGTGATGAGAATGTTCAAAGTTCAGATGGACAAGGTGCTTATACGAATAAAACAATCAGTGCAACTATGGCAAGAAATGAAATTTACTATGAGAAAAGTTCATCCAAGAGCCATGTCATTAAGGAAAGAATATTAGAGGAGTAAAAACCCGTTTGGCAAAACTTATTCACGTTCCATTAGTGACTATCCAGATTTCTCTCTTCTTTTCAACAAAAAATGAATTAGAGCCAGACTTTTCCATTAAATGATAAATATCCAGTTGAATGAGTCGAGTCCTTTTAAGTCTCCAACTCATCGAATTCAGAGGAAGAAAGCATCAACATGAGGTGGCAGGTAGCAAGATTTGTAAACCATGCCCCGAAGCATTGGAGAGCATTCTGAATCCATTGAATAAGAGAATGAGAAGGTAGGACTGACCATATGTGAACGTTAATGACAGGTACTCCAACTAATTTCTCCAGTTTCGTGAAGTATGGCATCTCCTTCCAATTATCAGGTAGAAGAAGCTTCAGGATATCAACTGATCAAGATATGGAAGGAATTAGAGGGCCCAGCATTAAGATAATATTAATTACACAGATCAATGCTCATGTTCCAGTTCAGCATATACCTGGCGTGGCAAACACATAAGCATCTCCTTCAATCACATTTCCATTGGTCAATAAAAAGCTCTTCACTGTTCCATCATTGTTGAGCTCAATTTTCTTAATCCGTGAGTTAGTACGGACTTCCCCACCCAATGACTCAATATGGTCAGCCATGGGCTTGCATAGCCTTTCTGGGGGATTACCATCTAAAAAGGCCATCTTTGACCCATGCTTCTCCTGTTGATACAATTGTGTGTGCATTCAAGGATAATTCAATTCCATGTATTTAAGATTATAGATGATCAACAAACAACAACAATCTGTACCATGATTCTCCGAAATGTAGTAAGTTAACATTAACATGGCATTATTACTACACAATTTCTATGGAACTTGGGATGGAAAGACTTATGCATCTGGCGAGAACAATAGTGGTAAGAAAAGCCAGTATACCTGAAGAAATCGGTTCAAAGCTATTAGTATACACTGCATTGAGAGTTCATCTGGATTAATAAAGTTTAGCGCCTTGGACATGGCAATGAACACTTCATTAGTCACCCGATCAGGTACCCCCTGTCACAATGTAAGGAAAGCTCTTTTCAGTCTTCACAGTTTCTAGATACCTTAGATCAACTACGAGACATAAAACAACCGACAGCCAGATATTTGTGTCATTCTAGGGCGAATATGAAATTTTCAGGATTCCAACGTAGACTTCCTTAATTTTATACAGAACACTACCCACCATGTATAATGGGAAACTCCCACTGGTTATAAATCATAATCTTAGCAGTCACATGCCAACAGTATATTGCTCTCGTAGTGGCTCTATGATATTACCTGCTTTCTCATCCAATCCTGAACAGTAAGACCATCTTGAGCTTCGACATAAGCCTGCCCACCAAGCATTGCTGGCAGGAGGCCAATGGCAAACTTGATTTTCTCAGGCCAAGTGAGCATTTCATTATTCTTTAGGATGGCTAATATCCCTGTACATAAAATCCACACAAAGAAACCAAGGGTCAATCTGAAAGTTCTCATAGCAAAAATTGACATGATTGAAGAATATGCATGTATCAATCATGCAGTTGAATAGTAAATTGCTGACCATTTAATGGAGCAGGGAGAACTTCAGGAAAGTCAAATCTGCTAAACTCTCCCGGCTTGTTTGGCATAGCAAATATCATAGAATGCTCCTTCCATTGCAATCTATCATTAATGCCAAGTTCTCCAAATAGGTTCTGTACATTTGGGTATGCCCCGACTTTCAAAGTAGAGAAGAGTTAGATAAGGAAATACGAGGGACAATAGGAGAAGTTATAAAAACAAGTGCATCTTACGAGACATCCAAGAGTATTTAAATACTAAAACTTACAGAAAATGTGCAGGCCAGTCTCGTACCAGTCACCATCATCATCTTTCCAAGCAGCCACCTGTTGAGGAGAAGGCAAACCTTACAGACCAAGAAACATATAAAAAGAAGATATAGGAAGGGTCTAAGTTTGTGGTATACAGCACTAAAGCAAGAGAAAATTAAACGATCTGAATCAGAGTTCTAGCCTCTCGGCCTCAACCATCCTTTTCACACACCAAGAGTGCATACAGTCTATTACTAGCATATGGGTAATGAGGAGGCAACACAGGTTATCTAGAAGTCAGAAGCGGCTAATATGATCATTATTAGACTTATCTATGCTCTACAGTTAATGGACTTGGATAGGACATAAAAGCAGAAATGAGTCTGAAGAACTACCAAGATGAAGTGAAGATGGGATGTACGATGAGTGACCACATTGCTGGTTTATTGCAACTGAAACAATAAAAAGGCAATGAGAGATGCCGACTAACCTTTCCTCCCAGAACATCTCTGGCTTCTAGTAATATAGGCTTGTGGCCTGCATCTGCCAAATACTTTGCTGTTGCTAAACCAGCTAAACCTGCATCAGTTTGTGAAATGATATCACCAATCTGAAAAGAAAAGCTCCAGTGAATGAAACAAGAAATGCATTCATAGGAGAATCATTCACATTTGAAACAAGCAATTGACCGCAACGAAGATGATCAAGTTGCCATAATTCAAATCCTTGCTACACAATCATTGAACAAATATACTTTCTGTTTCTAGCTAACATTTGGTGCCTTATAGGGCACAACTATTGGATAATGTGAAAACAAGCGTATATTAGAGCAGTAACGTGAAGTCCCGTCCTGAACTAACAGAATTATAAGGCAAGGTGTTTCCAAACCACAATGTTCCACAGCTCAATCCTTTTACCTGCACCAGCAATGACAACCTTCAAGGGCTTGGGTGGGGGAGGGGAAGAACGGAAGGAGGCAGAGAAATAAGCAGCTTCCAAGAAATTGGCAGTGCTGTCAAGGTCTGGTCTTGGGTAGTCAACGCACACTACCTGCAATGATAACAAGCAAAGTGTCAACTAAAGGATACTAGAAATGAACAGCTACGAAAACCCAGAATTCTGTCATACAAGCACCTTCAAGGGAGCAGAATAATGGTGCCTGTATCTGGTGGCAGCAAGATTAACGGAATGTAATTTGAGAGAGTTGCCCATTGATTCACTGCCTCTGAACCCAAGCCCAGCAGCAGCTTTGTTGTCCACACAACTCAAGTTGAGGGAGGAGATGCTTGCCATGGCGCTGCTCCCATATATAGTACTCATATTCTCTATTTGAACACTATATCAAGGGAACCGCCGGCAGCACACAGAAAACCCGGATCAGGCAATTCAAAAAACCTGTCTTGAAAATCAAACAACGCAAAACCAAACTGATATTACTATTTTACTTCTGCCTAAGTGGAAATCCATCCAAACCCAGCAATTCAAATCAGAACCCATCATCAAAGTTAGCTCCTTTGTCTACGTCGGAGCTACGCAGACACTAATGACAGGTGAAACAGCAAAGTAGCGAAATTGGCGTCACTTACCTCTTTGTTCTCAGTAGCTGTTTCTTTGTATTGGTAATGGTTGGTTGCTGTCAGTTGGGAAATGGGAATTGGGTGGAGAAGGAAGTACTGTCACAGTATGTCCACCGCGGAAGGCCGGCCGAAAGAAAGACAGTGAAGGGGGAGACGAAGGAATCGGATAAATACTATAACACAGCGCGATTTGGCGCGTCTATCTCCACTCACCACCACTACTTATATATATATATGCATAAAAACAAAAAATAGGAAGAACGAAGAAGAAGGAGAGGTAACAGAAGAGAACTGTCGGTAGATTACAAGAATTGTACCGTTCATCCTCCGTTGGGTGAGAGTTGAGAGATCAATTTTATAAATTGACTCATTTTGGTGTTTAGTATCTTTTTCTTTGTCAATTTTTCTTCTACTTCTATCACTAATAATCTAATATACTGTTTGGTAGATCGTCGCCTTGTTGGCCCTCCGGCCGTCCGGCGGCCGGCATATTCTTCGGTGGGTCGATGGTGCGCTACGGGCCAAGGCCCGTTTTCTTTGTCTGTTTCGGCGGAAGTTGCAAAACGGATCCGTGGAGCGGAGGACAACGTCAAATTTTCTTTGATTCCAAAGTCTCCACTTTGCAACCAACTACTAGCTATAGTTGGCTTTGACATTTTAACACCAGGATTGGTGTTTTGATGACATTTGTAATTGATGTGTAGTTAACGAAATTCGTTAATGCATTGTGTTACGAAAGAATAGATGTTACAGTGGATAGTAGTACAACACAAGTTTTCATTTGTAGAGTTCATGTCCCAATGTCAGTTATGCGAAAGTTCAAGTAGCCAATTGACATTAACTTTTTATTTTTCGGCTTTGGATGGTAATGTCATAGAGGAGGCAGTTGGGACGCTTAATGTACTCGTTCCGTCATTGGAACAATATATCATTATCTTGTGTTCGAATTTATTGAGTTCTTGTTCAATTTTTCATTGAAGCATCCAAGCTAAAAATTGAACCTGATTTCGGGGAAATGTACCAAAAGTTGTTTAAAATACATATGACTACCCAATACCCAATGGAATTATGATTGTGACCACTCATTTACCACTTTGTGCAATCATCGGTAATAGGAAGTTAATTATTGTTGTAATTGTACACCATGCATTAACATAGCGAATTGGCTCAATTTATCTATCTTATTCCTCGGATTTTTATTGGCCCAAAGGATCGAAGGCTTCAACCTTGGGTCTCGTCCCTGTCTTGCTTCGAAAGCTCAGCCCACATACCAGTAATAATTAACAATAGCTATTAGGCCTGGCCCATACAACTCGGTTACACAGCCCATTTCTGTCGGCCCACTAATTCCCGCATTGTCTCGTCTTCTTCTTTCTCTTCTTCTTCTTTCTCTCCGTGTAAAAGGAAAACAAATTCAATAAAAAACTTGCAGGATTCCGCCTCGCCTTCACTGAAGACCCCCGCTTCAAACCTGTTGCTAGCTCTCTCTCATTCTCCCAGACTAGCAATGGCTCCTCCAGGAGTTCTAATGGTAAGTAATTCCATCTTCGTCGCTCATACTGAAACATTTTACTCATTCTGTAACATGGGTTCGTTGGTTTTCTTGTCCCTCCTCAGGTTGCAGAGAAACCCAGCATCGCTTCCTCCATCGCTTCTGTGCTCTCCCGTGGCAAAGTGGGTCTAATTTGATTTTCTGTAGGGTAGAGAGTCAAGTTCTTTTTGCGCCCTTAAGGGTCATCAGTTTCAGTTCATTTGCTCTTAGTGCTGCCGCTGCATTTCTACAGATGTCTACTAGGAAAGGCAGTACAGAGGTTCATGAATTCGACGGCACTTTCCTTGGCTTTCCTGCCTACTACAAGGTCACTTCAGTCATTGGCCACGTTTTCAGGTATCCCTCTTGTTCTTGTTCTTCCTTGTTTCTGTCTTCTCTTACTGCTTCCCCTAATTTGTCTGAATTTGTTATTCTTCTTATGCATGTATAGTGTAGATTTCCCTGAGAAATACCAGAATTGGTCTGCTACTGATCCTTTAGATCTCTTCCAAGCTCCAGTGAGGAAGGCAGAATCAAATCCTAAGGTATACTTAAGCTGCCTCTCTTCGCGGTGTAATGCCTTGTTCTCTTCAACTTTTCTATAGAATAGAATTGAAACTTGGACGTGTTCAACATTGGCTGACAAATTGATTTTTGCCTCTATAACGTATGTGGTTTCCGGTCCTCTGTTTAGTGGAAGAAACTAACTGCATTTTTTCTATTGTTGGACATGCATCAAGCACATGCATAATGTGGTGATTTGGCCATTGTGTTGGTTGCTTCTTTCAGTGCTAAGTTCTTTCTGTTCTTTCTGTGTGAAGGCTCATATTCGAAGGCACTTAAGTCAAGAGGCTCGTGGGTGCACTCATCTGGTACTGTGGTTAGACTGTGATCGCGAAGGGGAGAATATATGCTTTGAAGGTTAGCATTATTCTTACGACTATCGATCCAACCACTGTTGATTGTTACTAATAAGTCTTTAATAGGCATATAGGCAGATGGGCTATAAAACATAACCATGTTAGAAACCTTTGTAGTTTTGAATGTGATTTCATGATAAAATTTTATTACTCATGCATGAAGCAAGTAGAGACAAGCTTTAGTGCTTGTACAGCTTCATGGATTAGCCAGTGCAAACATGAAAACGAGGATTCCAGAGAAAAAAAATCTTTAGTTAAGGTGTTAGGAGTAATAAATATCAAATTATTTCCGGCTGTCAAATGAACATCATTACTTCACTATGAATATCTCAATTGGGGGTCTTTGCTAACATACAGAGGCTCTAGCTCATGAGTTTCATGTGCTGCCAGATTCCAGAACTTTCTTGCTTATTACTGGATGTCAATTCCCTTTGCAGTTATTGAGTGCTCTGGCTTTCATATAAATGATGGTAAAAGAAGGATTCATCGTGCGCGGTTTTCTTCTGTCACCGAGAAAGATATTTCAAAAGCAATGGATAGCCTTGTTGAACCGAACAAAGATGAGGCATTGGCTGTAGATGCTCGACAAGAGATAGATTTGAAAGTTGGAGTTGCATTTACACGATTCCAAACCGGTTATTTCCAAGGAAAATATGGAAATCTTGATTCCAGAGTTATCTCGTGGGTGCTGTATAACCTTTCCTACTGATGCTTACATTGATCTTGGGGATAATATTATTCAATATGCTGTCTTGGTATATTGTTAGTCCTATTTGATGTGCCTACTTTTAGACCAGTGATGCATTATACTGCCTGCTTTGTTAGTATTAGTGTTTCTTGAGACTTCGCTTGCCTTTTAAGATTTCTTTTGTTTGTTCTAATTTCATTTTCTTATGGCTTCATACCAAGGTGCATAATTTTGGACTTTGTACCTGCTTTTCTTTCCCCCTACTTCTCATCTATTGAGTCCCAATCATTTTATTTGTACCTTGAGCAGCTGTTTGAGTTATTTGGTGTTTATTCCTACAGTTATGGACCATGTCAAACCCCTACCCTAGGATTTTGCGTGCAGCGATATCTGCAAATTACAACATTTAAGCCAGAAAAGTACTGGGCCTTGCACCCTTACATAGTGATGGATGGGTATGAGCTGCAGCTGGATTGGGAGCGTCATAGATTGTTTGACTTTGATGTGAGACATTGGCTTTTTGGAATCAGAAGATTGTGAGACATTGGCTTTTTATAAGCTTATCTTTATTGGCGAATTCTTAATCACTGCTTCACATGTTACAGGTTGCTGCTATGTTTCAAAAGCTTGTACTTCAGGATGGAGTATTACTGGTTACTGGGATATCAGAAGAACAGGAAACTAAAGGCCGTCCTCAGGGTCTAAACACAGTTAACCTTCTAAAGGTAGCAAGCACAGATCAACAGGAGTCTAGACCTGTTGCATTTATGATTGGGGAGATATATGCTTTAGTAGAAAGAAAAAATATAAGTTGATAAGAAGTAGAAATATTGATGTCTTTAAATGAGAACACCACAAAGATTGTTTAAAGTCATAACTTTGCTTTCAATTGTCAGGTTTCATCAAGTGCATTAGGTTTTGGGCCTCACCATGCAATGCAATTAGCTGAACGCTTATACACTCAAGGATTCATCAGGTCTCTTGCACTCCCTACACCATTTTCTTTCTTGTGATTCCTGACTCTCATTGTCGTCTATTTTTCATACTAGCAGTGGAACTAGATTTCACCTTTTTGTTTCCTTTGATTGTCGATATTCTTGAACCACCATTCCACATAAAACAGAAGACCCTGTAGCGTATGAGTTAGATTTTGCTTCTGTCTATATGCTGAACCGATGAATCAGACTGTAAATTTGGATTCTTTGAGTAAGTGAAACAAAATATAGGTGCCTGTAAACTTGGAATTCTTGAGGAAGTTGAACAAAATATAGGTGGTTTTTCTTCATCTGGATTCACTCCTGTTGCTGTACGTGGACGGATGGTTGCATTCTTGTAGTAGGTGGCCACAAATGGCGGCACTTATTATTTATTGTTTCTGTTTAATTGTGGGTGGACTGGAGGAGCTTCTTCTGATTTGGAAATGGTTGCAAATGCTAAGATGCATGAATATAAGCATTGCTGCCATCAAAGTTGTCAATTTGTTGTCCCAAATCCTCTCATATCACTCAAGAACATGTTCATTGTCCAGTTACCCTCGTACAGAGAGCACAGCCTACCCTTCCTCCTTCGACTTCAGAAGCACACTAGGAGAACTAGCAAAAGTCCCTATTTGGGCTGAATATGTTCACAACCTACTTTCTGGAGGGTATCAGAAGCCAAAATCTGGGACTGATGTCGGTGATCATCCTCCTATTACCCCAATGCGAGCAGCCAGTGAGGACCTGATTGGTAATGATGCTTGGAGACTATATCAGTATATCTGCCAACATTTCCTTGGGACTGTTTCACCTGACTGTAAGTTTGTAAGGTAAAATCTCGTGTACTTTATTCTTTCTTACTGTTCCGACTTGATGGTCTCTCGGGACCATGGTGATGAAAGATGCACATCGTGATTGTCTTCCACTTTCCTAGGCTACAAGTTTTACTGTGTTTCACAGCCAGGCCATAGCCCCTCCCTCCCTCTTTTATATCCTTGTTCAGTTTGGTGATAATTGCTCTATTGCGGTATAGTACACAGTCTTGCAATATGGTTGCTCAAGAAAAATTAATTATGTTTAGAAGTACCTGGCTGGTCATTTTCACTTGTCTAATGTGATGTGATAATGCTCTTTGCTTTTCCTATAATATTAGCTTCTATGATGACATCTTGAGCATATGTTATCTCCATTCCAGGACAAAGATACAATTCTCATCTGGGGGAGAATCCTTCCATTGTGTTGGAAAGCATGTTAGAGTTGAGGGGTTTACTGCTATCATGCCTTGGTTGGCAGTAAGCGAGAAAAATCTTCCACGGTTTGCTAGAGGGGAGAAAATCGCAATGTCAAAAGTGGAGTTGTTTGAGGTACTGTTTGAATCACTGTGCTCTTGTTTAGCCAATGTGGGCTGTTGTGTTTCTGAAAATAAAGCTAGTTTAGGTACAATAAAATTAAATTCGTCAGCAATAGTTTTGTTGCACTCGCATGTTAATTAGCTTTCAGAATGTGTAGGGGAAAACTGCTCCTCCAGATTATCTTAGCGAGAGCGAGCTGATTTCATTGATGGAGAAGCATGGTATAGGTACAGATGCATCAATTCCAGTCCATATTAACAACATCTGTGAAAGGAACTATGTACAGGTATTTTTTTCATTTTCTTTGTTACCGTTTGCATACATGAGTTCAAACCATTAGAGCATCATAACTAGTGACTGTTTTGTAGTAATTTGCAACCCATGATGTTCAACCTTGTTTGGATATGGTTTTACTTCTTAAAAATTGTAGGTGCAATCTGGCAGGAAGCTAGTCCCAACTCCCTTGGGGATCACCTTAATTAGAGGATACCAATGCATTGATCCAGATCTCTGTTTGCCTGACATTCGGAGTTTCATTGAGCAACAGATTATGCTCGTGGCCAAGGGTCAAGCAGATCATTCCCGCATTGTTTTGCATGTACTGCAACAATTCAAGCAGAAGTTTGCATACTTTGTTAAGCAGGTCAGTCAGATGCTTGGGTGAATCTATATTGCTTACAAATTTGAGTCTACGCTTGCAAATTCTCTGTGAGCTAATTATAATGCCTTGTCAGGTATATCTCAACGTTTATAACTTAGTTTTCCTTTCATGGAATGCAGATAGATAACATGGATGCATTGTTCGAAGCACAGTTCTCTCCCCTTGCTGATTCGGGACGAGCACTCAGTAAATGTGGTAAATGCCTAAGGTACATGAAGTACATTGCTAGCCAGCCATCCCGGTTATACTGTGGCACATGCGAGGAGGTATACTATGTTCCTCAGAAGGGTACAATCAAGGTAAAAATCCCAGCAATATTTGCAACAAGTAATTACGGTCCAGTTGTGCGTGTTCTCCTGAAAATAATGGGTGTGTTTATTTTGCCTAAAAACCATCATCATACTTTTTGCCAGCTGTACAAGGAGCTAACATGCCCACTGGACAACTTCGAGCTGCTGATATTCTCCATGGCTGGTCCAGAGGGCAAGTCCTTCCCTCTCTGTCCATACTGCTACAACAATCCTCCTTTTGAAGGCATTGACACGCTTTTCGGCACTGGCACCAAGGCTGCTGGTGCTGCTAGTGGCGGGAAGTTAGGGAAGGGGGCAGGGATGCCATGCTTTCTCTGTCCACACCCAACATGTCGCCACTCGGTTATATCCCAAGGCGTGTGTGCTTGCCCTGAATGCAGCGGGACGCTGGTCCTGGACCCAGTGAGTGCTCCCAAGTGGAGGCTGTACTGCAACATGTGCAACTGCCTCGTGTTGCTCCCACAAGGGGCACACAGGATCAGCACCACGAGCGAGCGTTGCAGCGAATGCGAGTCGAAGATTATTGAGGTGGACTTCAACAAGAACTCGACGCCATTAGAGGGTGGTGCGACGTTGCACAGGGGTTGCATCCTGTGCGACGAACTGCTTCACTCGCTCGTGGAGGTGAAGCATGGGAAGTCGTTCTTCAAGCGAAGTGGGGGCGCAAGGGGAAGAGGCGGGTCGTGGCGTAGGGGAGGGAGAGGAAGGGGAGGTGCTGGCAAGAAAGTTGATCCTAAGATGAGCTTTTCAGAGTTTTAAGAGATGAGGGAAGAAAATGATGGGAGCTAGCCCTTGTGTGTGTGTTTTCATTGATAGGGTAAAGCATAGATTGTCCCTTTTCTTTGTACATAACTTAAGCCGCCATTTCTGCTGGTTGTATGGGTATCTTCTTTCCATGGTTGTCATTTGACGTAATTTTTGATAACATAGTATGCTAAATTTTGATCGCGAAAGGGTGCATGCCGAAAGGGGAGTTGTGATCTTTCTAGCAAGAAAATCAGGAAAAATAGTTACAGATAGAATCTTGTTTGTAAATTGTAAAAGTATGTGCATTATCAGAGAGAATCTTGTTTGGAACTTGCAATACAGTAAGAGTGACAATGTTCTTCTGTAGTTGGTCGGTCACAAAATCCTCGCAGAATGGTGAGGAGAAGTAACCACCACCAGCAACCAATAACAACGACTATTAACTAAGTAAACAACAAACATACAAGGCAAGACTGATGCATTATCTATTCTACTACACAATATACACACTGGACTGACCCCCTTTGAACAATGCTGCAAAATAGTTTTGATCTCTGCTTCTCTCCTTGTTCATATGTTGCAACGATCGTACCCCGAGAACCACGACGATGGCTCAAACTCCTCTCTCCATTCCTCACCTTCGTCGTATTTAGCCGCGGAAGGAGAGCACTCCGGCAAGTCTGGCGGTGGTATGGCCTCTCTCCATTCTGCACCTTCATTGTATTTAGCCGCGGAAGGAGAGCACTCCGGCAAGTCTGGTGGAGGTATGGCCTCTTTCGGTAGACGTGACTCGGCAATAAGCATCTTCCAGGACCCGATCTCTTCTTCGTGTTTGGTCTTCAACTTCTTGATCTTCTTGGCCGCATTTGCAGCTTCCAGCTCTGCCCCCATAGCACGTTCCTGTCAGGGGGAGAAGAAAACGTGTCGTACAAGTTATTTTCCACTGTTCAGCACTCAATCACGTTTACTTGACTACACTGAGTTATGAACGTAACCCTCTTCTTCATTCAGATAGGCCAGCTTTTATGAACTAAGAAGAAAAACAAATTGTAATGATCACCTGAGCAACAGCGACAGCTTCTTCAGCTTCTCTGAGTCGCACCAGTAACTCCCCAGCAGCTTGTACAGCAGTGGCAGTGTCTCTGAGTTGAGCCTGAAGCCCTTTGATTTCTTCTCTGTAGTATCTCCGCTCTTTCTCTCTTTCCACTCTCAACGCTGAAATTTCTGCAGCGAGTGAGTTGATGAACTTAGACTCGGCACCCTTCACCCCAGCTCTAGCTGCTGCTTTCTTGACGTTCTCAATTCCATCCCGGATGTCCCGGTGCCTTGCAAGAAGTAAAATATGTTTCTCCTCGAGGTCTGCATATTGCTCAAGCATCCGAGCATGCCCTTCCATGGCCATTTGCATGGCTTCTTTAAGCTCTTCAGTGCACTTCTTCTCGATGTCCAGCTCGATCTTCTGTTTGTCGGATAGAGTCCTGCTGGCATCGAGTTCTGCCCTCAGCTCTTCAGCAAGGGAGATCCACTTGCTCTCAGCTTCAGTCCAGCGAGCTCTCTCTTGTTCGAGCTTTTCTTCTGCACCATCTTCACTAGACTCGGGCTTCTCTTCAGCACCATCCTCTGTAGACTCTGGGATTGTGCCAAGATTGGGCTGTTGTTCATTGAGATACGTGAGCTGCAATACAGATCTCCTTTTAAGAGCAGATGCTGATGAGGAGTCTACATAAAACTGTAGCTGGCTTCTCAAGTCTTGAAGTTCCTCCAAAAGCACTTCTCTTTCACCTAGATCACAGAAATTCCGGTAGTTTTGCAGCTCTTCCTGGGCTCTTTTCAGCTCAATGTTCAGCCTCGAGACTTCAGGATGGTTATCACACTTGTCCTTGAGAAGCTGGAGACAAAAAATCATGTGAGATAAAGGTGAAATGTAAATTATTTGTCTACGAAAGATAATGTTAGAAACCATAGCCACCTTGTGCTCGTGCATGAGTGATGCAAACTCTTCCTCCACGAATTCCTCTGTAGGTAGGACACCATCCATAAGGCTCTCAAGACGGAGAATTTTGTCCTCCTTTGTCTGACTAATGATAGCATTGCATTCCCTCTCATGCTTGTATTGTTGCACCTGTGAAGAAAGTTCCAAAAGGTAAATCAAGCAGGTTCAGAGATTGTAAAAAGCCATTGGCTAGTCCCCACCAAGAATAACCTACCAGACGGTTAAGCTGCCTAATTTCTGAATTCTGTTTTGCACAGTACTCTTCAAGAGCCATCTCTCTTCTGATAGCTCCAGCTAATACCTTCTCCACTGCCTGAGTTTGTTTAATTACAAAGTACTTTTAGCATCCATTAGAGAATAATACAATAATTGACAACAGGAAGGTCTACTTACTTTGGGAACTAGCATTTTGGACTTTTCGGCGGAGCCTGAGCCCTCAACAGGTACCAATTGATGGTTTGAGTAGCAGTCATCAATGCCACTTACCACCTGAGTATATTTAAATATGAAGTACGTTTAGCATCCAATAGAGGCTAATACAATAACTGACAACATGCAGGTCTACTTACTTTGGGGACTAGCATTTTGGACTTTTCAGCAGAGCCTGAGTCCTCAACAGGCACCAACTGAAGGTTTGAGCAGCAGTCATCAATGCCACTGACCTCCTCTGGTTCTGTTTTTCCCTTGCATATCTTGCATATGTACTCCACCTGATTACTGTCATGAGACATTGTCTGGACTCCAACATCAAACTTTTCGACTACGGGGCTTGGCTGAGTTTCGGCAGCAGGTTTGTACGAAAATCTAAAAGCCGACTGCCTGAAAGCTGAATTTCTTGGATGGCTGTCTATAATTTCCATTCCCCGATGGATGCTCGCTGCTAACTGGTCAGTTGATGTGAAAACACTTCTGCTTGTAGCCAGAGCTGAAGAGCTTTCTTTGGGTTTTGCAACAGCCAATGACTTCTCCTGGTCTGACTCTCGACCATCAATAGATGCTTTCTGAGAAGCAGTCAACGTGCATGAAGTCTTCAGACTCTTCCTGCTGCGAGTGATTTTGGGTGAAACACTTGGAGTAGGTGACTTGAGAAGCACAGCTCCAGTTGAGACTCCGAGTTGAGAATCAGAGGTGACTTCACTTGGAGTGTGGTCAGCTGCCTTATCATTTGTATCTGCATCAAGTACACCAATAAAGCCAATAAGCAAACCTACTTTTGATAACTCAGCAAAGCCTAAGCAGTGGGAGTGCAAGTGAACACTGCATTTACCTGGAGTTGTACTAGCAGTAGGATCAGTACAGTCTCCAACAGAAATACTCCCATCCTCAACTTGTTCAGATGTGCCTTCTTCCATATCAACATCTTCTATTGCACATCTGCTGGTACAGATAGGCTGATATTCAGAGACTGCTGCACATAACATTTCAACAGCTTCTTCATCGATTTCCATTTCCTCATCACTATCCTCGTCCATTTTAGGTAGCAGGGAGTGTGGATGCATGAGGCTTTTCAATATATTTAGGCTTTTGTGGGGATCCCAACCTGTTTGGTTGGTATTGTTTGCTTTCACCCGGTGGAGCTCATCCTAATACATCAATTGATATGAGTAACACAAAATATCCAGTTCTGAAAATAACAAAACAGTTTAGTTAAGAGGAAGTTACCCTTAGCTGTCGTATCACTTCTCTCAAATGATTTACATCATCCTCCATTTCTTCATTGACAACAGCTTTGTTCTTTATTGCCTTTGCACGCTGTGCAAATCTCAAAGTGCTAAAAGTCTCACTCTTACAGCTGCATTGTTGATAAAATCCAATCATGAAAGATGCAAAATTAGGGAAATGGAGTTGTTTGGAAATGAACTAGCATGCTTTTTTCTAACCTTTGTGCAGGTGAAACAGCACAAACCATTGCTAATTTTGCATTGCCTCCAAGTGATTCCTGCAACAGGAAAGTCAACTTGGAGTCTCTGTAAGGTATATGCCTCTGTTTTCCTGTCTGTGACACTTCAGCTAGTATATTTATCAAGTTTCTGCAAATAGGAACATAACAGACTCCCCATGTCAAATAGAATATCATTGCTATGGATTCACCATTACTGTGCAATCAGTCTCGGGGGAAAAAATAAATTTCAAACTATGGTTTCACTCTCCTTCAATTAAAAATCTAAGAGCGCGACCTCTGAAGCCTAAGGGGCAAACATTTTCCTTTAGCAGATGTCAAAAACTAACTTTTTTAGGAGAGAATGTGAAAATATAACTAGCACCTATAGCTCATGCTACCTAACGTTCCCATTTGCAGAATGATATAGTCACACTACTACTCTAAGTGCTAACAGAATATGTCACGATATGAAAGCTAGAAGTATGCCAGCGGCCAAGATCAAGTGTCTTTGCATAGAGAATTTTAGAGCACGATATTACTTTTAGGACCAATACTTAATGGTTTTAAAAGCAAACTAAATCATAAACGCTACTCTTTGTTGCAAATCAAACCATACCCAAGCTGTGAGAGAGATCGATTAATATTTCCAGCTTCCTTCAGTCGGTCCCCAGCAGCCCCAGTTAATTTCTGCCTCTCTGACCCAGCAAGATCAACAAGATTTATTCTACTAGTTTTTAAGCTGCTTTTGCCATCGGCCATGCTCTACAAAACATAAACTTCATGTGAGACTTCAAGTATTTAATATGTGATCTCATGACAAGCAGTACTCAAGAGAAGGCTTACACCAAACAATTCCGTCACAACCATATAAAAAACTAAAGTTAACAAGGTTACCTTGCATCGTGATTCAACAATGCAGGTAAAGACACTGTGCGAGCGGGAACTTTCTGCATTAACACTGGTTGCACCGGTTCTCCTATTGGATAATCCCTGTAAGTCATTTGGTAACAACCAGCTTAGTGATCAAAGTAAAAGAACTATCGAAGAAGATAATATAAGATACAGAAGGGCATGCATAGATAAGAGATTGACACTGAATGAGAAAGTAACTACAGATACGGACATGAAAACCAATAGAAATCTCCGCCGGGGGGAGTTAACTTCCAATTTCCCTATGACCAAGATGTTATCTAGACTATGCTGGCAAACTGAGAAATTATCATGAGCATGGGTACTTTCTTTCCGTATTTGCTTTTATGGACAATAGATGAAGAAGCTGCACAACTTCTTGTGCTGACTTATTAAAAGAAGTATATATGAACTCGAGCTAGGTGAGTTTCTTCCAAGAGCCAATTCAAGAAATTAAGTAGATGGAAAAGTTGTTTGAAAAGGATTACAATATAATCAAACATGCCACACGTTAAATGAAAAAAACATCTAATTGCTGTTGTTCATGTATTCTAAGGATGTGTTTTCATCAGTTACAAAGTTTCAAGCACATCATTGCCCATATACTTCTGCATCTAGATCGCTCATAGACAAAGCTAACCATGCACAATTTACATATCAGGAGTCCATACCTTTATCAGTAGCCGAGTTACATCTCTCAATGTGAAAACATGCTCCTCTGTCAGATTTTCAACATATAAACCAGACTTTACATCTTCTCTTATCTGCAAAGAAAGAAATTGATAAGATTATGCAGGAGCTCTGTATGTGTTCACTGAAACACTAATGATACAGCTACAGAACCTTTGTTCAGATTTACCTGGAGGTTTCTTTGAGTTGGGTCCAACAAGTCAGTAATTTGTTCATTATAAATCTGCAATATGGAATTGGAGTATCAAGCAGGGCGAACAACAAGGATTCTCAGCAAATCAATTAGAAGACACGAATGGTGTAAGCATTGAACCTCTAGAAAAGAGCACCGGCACAGATACTTGAGTTGCCTGTCGGAATGCTTGATTTGCTCCTGCATTGGAAATACTGAGGTTACAAACTGAAAATTATTTACAGAAGATAGCAACAATATCGAGCAACAAGAATGACTTGCCTCATTTATGCGTGCAAAGAGCCGTTCGAAGACACGAGGGGTTAAACCTTGTTGATCACTTGAGGAGCCAACTTCTGACAAGACGTTAGAAGGACCCCAGATAGTGTATGTCTTTCCACTCCCAGTCTGAGCAAGTGTCATGCAAGAGATAAGTGATTGTGATAAATGACACTATGACATTGTAGTTCTACAGCTATTTGGAGAACAAAGAAAGCAAGCTAGATACAAAGACGATAGATACCTGTCCATAGGCGAATACTGAACTGTTAAATCCAGCTAGACAATTCTCAACGAGAGGGGCTCCTATAAGCTTGAAAATGTCTTGCTGTGGAAACAAGATGCTCATAATTAAAACGAAGGAAAGAAAGGTTTGAGCGCAGGACCCCAAAACTTTTGGGATCACACAGCTTATTGAAGGAGGGTATACCTGTGTTGCCTCTATATCGGCAACAGAATCGAAGGTGAAGTTGTGTCCATTGATGCTGAGGGATTCATGAGAAATTTTCTGGACTGTCGATTCTCCTTCCTCATCCTTACTTAATGGACGCATTCTAACAATCACCTGATAAATTAGTAGAGAACATTGGGGAAATCAGCAAGGAAGGCAGAAGACACACATCCATAGATGCATACGGAAAACAGTAAAGAAGGATTCACAACTAAACTAAGGCATCCAAGAATGACATCTGAAAAGAGTCATACGAGAAACAGATGGTCAGTTCATGTACACAAAGAATCTTAAACCACACTTCCAGTTCGAGTTGATATTCGAGGCAGTGAAATCGGGTTCAGTTGAAATCAAAGCTTCTAGGACCTTGAATACAGACTACAACGCTTCAATTGCCAATTGAACACCAAATTTGAGCAGCAAATTGGAAACTGAAATTCTGAAGGGATCGAATAAATTGAAAATCAAACATTCCTGAAATTAGGTTTACAAGGGTGAACTAGGAGTGACCTGAACTCCGGAATCGGAAGGCGAGGGATCCTGAACACCGTCCATGATCAGCTTCCGCTTCAACGGATTAGATGAAGGAGGCTTGGGCGGGAGGGGGCTCCTGATCTTAGAAGCCGGAGAGGGAGAAGGAGACGGCTGCTGCTTGAGATCGGAATTGAGATCTGACGGCGGCGGCGGCGGAGCATTCTCCTTGAGTAGCTTGTGGCGCCGAGGAGGAATTGACGGTGAAGGAGAAGCTGAAAGAGGCTTCGATTTCAGAGAAGCCGGCGACGGAGGAGGAATGGGAGCCTCGTTGCTAGTAGCTTCCCGCAAGACCGGGTTCCTGGGAAGCATGAAATGCTTCATCTCTGGTTCTTGATAGTCACGCCGCCGCCGGAGAGGAGTGGATCCAGAATTTCTGCTACCGAAGAGAGGCAGAGAATTTCAGGCAAGGTGGCGAGAAAAGAGGAGGGAGGGTTTTGGAGAAGCCGAACGGACAAGAAGGAAGCCAGGAGCAATCTAGCCGTTATCGAGGCTGGAGAGGGAGAGAGAGAACGGCGTTTTCTGGAAATTCGAATTTCGGGAATAGAGGGAGGGAGAATGCAGTAGTCAACTGAGTTGTTGGACTTGGACTTGGACCTGGAGCGGTGGACGGTGGATGATTCGATGGGCTGCATCTGTCGCGTCTGCGGTGGGCCGATTGGTTCAACGGGCCTGATCGTTTTGTTGTTTTCCATTAATGTTTGATTCAACGGACCAGATGCACTAGGGCTGAGATTGAGTTATTACCGGTTGCAAATGAGCCAAATTGCTAGCGGATCGATAGGAAAAAATTTCTTATAAACTCAACTCTTTTATTAATAAATCGATTTGTGTTAAGTATTTTTCAGCATGTGAGGCTCGTAATGATGGCAATGGAGCGGGACGGGACGGGTATCTTAATATCCATGTTCTGCGTCACGTTACTACGGGTTGGGAAGGGCGGTACCCGCGCGGGTATGGGGCCGGCGGGTAATACCCGCACTTACATTTATTTGGAAAAATACACGGAAAATTTTACTTTCTACCATAAAACAAAGGAAAAATACTTTATGAATGAAAATAGTGATAATAGAATGCGTAGTTGAGCCTAACTAGTTGAAATATCAAGTAAACTAGTTGAATAAAAGTCAAAATAGGAGAAATGTGAATAGATACGGTAAGAAATTGAGGTAGATACCCATGCCCTGCCCCACGCTAGTGCGGGTCGGGTAATACCGCCCCATCACGGGCCAGGTCGGTAATACTCGACGGGACGTGTTCAAATTGCCATTCCTAAAGGCTCGCGAGTCAGCTCAACTCTATGACTTGTAGAGTTCAACTCATCCGTTGGTTCAACAGCCTGTTAACGATGCAGTTAGAGTAGACGCTTATTAGCAAATTAATCTATAGCTTATAATTGTTTGTTGATAGTGTATAGGTTCGCTAGATTATACATTTCATAAAATGCGATGGTTAAGACTTTGAATGCATGATCAAATATGTCTCATTTATAATTTGAAAAATAATTATTTATTATATGTTGTATATATAAAAATTATTGTTAAGTAAAATTATATGAATTAGTTAGAATTTATAAACTAAATATGATACTAATATAGTATATAAGCGTGAGATCAATCAGTAATAACAAATTTACTATCATTGGTTGTTTCTCATCATTACATTTATCGCATGTCTCTCTTTGTACCCGACTATGAGTCGTGCTTTTAATAATCAGGCCTGACTATTATCCAGGATGTAACTATCTCTTTTTGAATCAATATAAGATTATCTTTTGTAAAAAAAAAAAAATATATATCGCATGTAATAAATTATTTTATAGTTTATGTTAGGAGTTCAATCATTTCTAATTTTAGATGAATTGAGCTCGTGAGTTCATTAATGAGCTTATGATATAATTTGAAGTTTCTATTTTATAGATGTTTGATGACGGGAACTGGGACAGTATTATCCGCTTGTGATAGGCAAAACATGGGACGAAAATTTCTAGTCCATCATGAGAATGCAGAGGGGAACTCCTTGATCATGACTAATTGAACTGGACTAGCCGATGTCGGTTTCAGCCAATGCAGTTAAAATCGCGTTTTATAATTTAAAAACTTACGCTTTTATCTTTTCAGGTTACCAAAACGCATATACATAGAATCGTCATTTTTCCTCACAAATGTAGTCAAAATCTTCGCTTTAAAACTTAAAAACTTATGGTTTTACGCTTCTAGGCCACCCAACCGCTTCCAGATAGAATCGCACTTTTGACTGCATTAGTTTCAACTAACCGACATTCACATCGATGTCGGTTTTGGTTGGAGTTTCAGCCTTTTATCGATCTCGTCTAAATGACCCAACGGTTAGGTTAAACCGTAACCAAACCGCTTATTATCCCTACTCACAAGTTACAACTTACAAGTTCGATGATGTGATAATTTTGTACAAAATATAATTTTTCAAATAATTTTGTATAAAGCGACTATAGTTAAGGCACCATTTCGGATAATTACCTGTCCTCGATATCTTGGGCCTTGGATGGATCAGGCATCAAGCCCGGTCGCAGGCGAATGGTAGTTCGTTACGACATTAGCCCGCAACCGCAAGCACATAAATTTTTATTACAAAAGAGAAAAAGAAAAAAAATATTGGGGCGGGGAGGGAAGGAGATAGAAGAAAGAAACAAAGCACAGCACAGAGGCAAAGAAGAACAAGTGTCCAACTTCTGGTTTCCATAATTACTTCGTCACAATCAATCTCCTCTCTCCATGCCACACCAATCAAAAACCTAATTCCTAATCGGAGCGAACCAGTAACCGTCAACTGAAATCCGCAAGTACGTCTTCAACCTTCATTTCGCATTTCTTCCATCGTGTTCTTGTCAATCATTCTTTCAATTCCAATTCTGTTCTAGCTTCGTGTCGGCTCAGTTGCCATTGGTTGGGTGGTTTTGGCGACGGAGGTCGTTTCTTTGCTGTTTCTTTCCGTATCCGAATATCGAGTCGTTTGCTCTGTTTGCCGCAGTTAGGGAGCCGCAGCAATGGCTTCTGCAAGTTCAACGGCTGCTTCGGCTTTCCTGCCGATGACGACCAGTCCTCGCATCAGTGCCAAGAAGGATGGAAGCAGTTTCCCGAGGGTTAACAAGAGCTTCAACTCCGTGCAGCCTCAACCGTTGCCAAGGCTTCGTTGCACACCGTTGACTCGATTCCATGCTACGTCTCACTCCATCTTTTCTCCTAGAAGGTGTGTTGAATTCGATGATTCTTGTTGTAGTTTATCTTCTCTGAACTTAGGACTCATGTTTCTAGCTCGAAGAACTCTCGTCCTCTTGACCAGAACGCTGAATTCGTTATTTCTAGCAGTTTTCTGACTGTTGATGAGTAGCGTATTCTCTTACGTGGTTCCTGCTTACCTGAGGATGCTTAATAACTACCTTTCTGTTCTGGAGGATATTGGTCTCGTCTGTCTCTTTGCATCGAACTTGTCATAAGCAATAGCTTTTATGACGTTAGTTATCACCTGTTGTGCACTTAATTTACCGTGTTTGAGATGGTGTTCTGAAGGTTGTCAAATGGTGCTGTTAATGGGGGCGGCAGTTCTTGTAGAAAGAAGAATAAGGCTCACAGACAATATAGTTCATTTCTTGGGGAACAGATGGAGGAAGGTTCTTTTTCCAAATTATCCAAGTGCGCATCCTGTTCGATGAGATACCGACGAAGCCGTTACACATTGAAAAAGTACCTACCTGGAGCCTTCAGTGACAAGTCTACTTTCCGTTTTCCTGGTCACTCGCTCAATGCTGCTTCAGTGAGTGAACTGCTTAATCATGCTTCTTCTGACTGATTGTATACCGTTGGAGATATTTGTGATAGTGCTCTTGAAAGTAGCAAAAAGTACATGGTTTCGTCGTGTGCCACTTGCAAGGGGATGTTAAGGTATTCATTGATAGTGTTGTAGTATTAGTACAGAGATTTTACTGAACTGTTAAAACAGAATTTGACCAATCAATATATAAGTTTGTGAATATGTTAATTATTTCTTCAAGCATGATTCAGTATGGCATCTATTTTTATTTATTGTCATTTGAGAAGCATAAGAGTCTGCATTTTTATCTTCATTGTGCTCTTCCAACGTTAGACTAGAAAGCATGAGAACAACTGTGCTGCAATTTGTGAGGGCAGTATCCTGCTGCATCACAGGCTTCCCTTTGTGCTGTTGAATATTGTCTTATGTATGAATGAAAGCTGATAATTGCTTACTCCATTTCCATGTGAAGCGCCTCCATGTTCCACGTGCTTCCGTGGGCCCCAATGAGCCACATGCTGCAAGCACAGCCTGTCCAGATGGCATACTGGAGAGGCAAGATTCAGATATACCATTCTCTGAATTAGAAAGGATGGGTCTGACTGATTTCTTAGGTTCCGAACTGCCTTCTCATCCAAAATTATACCGAGGGCAGTTGAAAAACGGGCTCCGCTATCTTATCTTACCAAATAAGGTTCCGCCAAACAGGTACGTCCTCTGAAATTCTAGGTGTAAATGCTTCAACCATTGTTTATTAAATAATAAGCTTTTGCTAATTTGCTTGTCTTTCATAAAACAACTTTAATTGGCACTAGTTTGTTGTTAGAGAGATTATAAGGGTTCTTACTAATTCTGCCAGGAATTCTCTTAGGCAAAGAACTGCTCTTACTTTTTTTGAAAGCCACAGTTGTGTTAAGTAGATTCTTACCCAATGGATTTTTCTTCTACAGTAGCGTATTCTTATCTCACAAGCTTTAGGCATTTGTTCATAAACAAGAGCAAGCAAGCTTTACCTGTTTCATGTCTACATGGGGGAAGATGGGAAGTTTTGCAGTTCCTGAACCTTCTGTTATCATTGTCTCGTAATGTAAAGATGTTTCTTGTGCTTATAGAACACTAGTGCTATAGTTTTGCTCTCTCTTTATCTCTAACACCCATTAAATTTGTTGACATTTAGGTTTGAAGCACACATGGAAGTTCATGCAGGATCTATAGACGAGGAAGAAGATGAGCAGGGAATTGCGCATATGATTGAACATGTTGCATTCCTTGGTAGTAAGAAACGTGAAAAACTTCTTGGAACTGGTGCTCGATCCAATGCTTATACTGATTTCCACCACACAGTGTTCCACATCCATTCACCAACAACTAATAAGGTCCACCATCTTATTTCCCCTCCTTCCAATGAGAAGCTATTAAGCATTGCGTGCTTTTCCTATGGTTGCTTATTTTCTCAGTTCAGTGCTGTATCTAACTCTGATGCATATATTCTTAGCTTCTCAGCTTAATCCATTTTTATGTCTGCTTGGGAAAATTTTGAATGAGAGCACACGTGTAGTAAGGTGGTAATGAAGTGGCTAATCCAATTACTCATCTATTTCTGTCTCGAGACCTTCTTATTCTAGCTTCCTCTGAATTTGCATGTTATTCCTTTGTGTGTAATCTGCACTTGTGATCACATGGAGTACTTCGCAGCTAGTATCCATTATTGAATGAGCATGTATTGCAGGGTGCTGATGGAGATCTACTACCATCTGTTCTGGATGCTTTGAATGAGGTAGGGGCATAAGGAATATTGTGATATGTTTGAGCTTTATGGCATGGTTTGAAGAATTATGGTACTAAACATGTTCACTCTTTCTGTGTGGAAAGATTGCCTTCCAACCAAAATTCCTTGCTGCTCGAGTGGAAAAAGAGCGGCGTGCTATACTTTCAGAACTACAAATGATGAACACAATTGAATATCGTGTTGATTGTCAGGTATCAAGTTCTTTTACTAAGTTTATATGGTTAGCAATGTAGTATTTCTTATCAATACCTGATGTTTCTATGGTATGCTTTGCAGCTATTGCAGCATCTGCATTCCGAAAACAAGCTGAGCAAAAGGTTCCCGATTGGATTGGCGGAGCAGATTAAGAAGTGGGATGCTGACAAGATTAGGAAATTTCATGAACGTTGGTACTACCCTGCTAATGCAACCCTATATATTGTTGGCGACATTGATAATGTATCAATGACCATCAATCAGATTGAGGTATGTGAAATGGATAAGAAGATGGTTGGTTAACTTAATGTTTGTCCGGCAACAGTTGTAATGCTATTAAATAAGTAGTATAAGTTGTAATTGGTTATCTTAATGCAGACTGTCTTTGAGCAAGCTGGTGAAAATGAGGCAGCTCCCACACCTGCACCTAATGCATTTGAAGCAGTGGCTAGTTTCCTTGTTCCAAAGCTCTCAGTTGGGATGCCTGGAAGCCAACCCCAATCATCTACTTCGGTAGATCAATCCAGTAATGTAAAAAGAGAAAGGCATTCATCTCGGCCTCCTGTGAAGCATAATTGGTCCTTTCCTGGTAGCAAGGCATATTTGAAGCCCCCTCAAATATTTCAACATGAGTTGCTACAAAATTTCTCAATTAATTTGTTCTGCAAGGTATGGAACTAACACTTTTCTCCACCTTTGAAGGACTACTCTCCACTTCTGTTTTGGCATTTTGATCGGGAAAGGTTAATGTTAATTTTGTTGAACCAAATTAAATTCGTAGACTATCTTCAATAAGTAGAGTTATTGAGAATTTGGTTTGATCTATTTGGTTAGCTGAATGATACGTCATAACAAGAGATAACTAGTGCAACATGGCAAATTTAATTGAGAGGAATCAGAAAAGAAAAGAAAAGAAAAACGGGTCAATTAATATATTTCTAGGGTAATTGGGTTCTAGAACACAATGCACCAAGGTGCTGGTTCTTCACATTCTGTTATAAAATGCAGGACAGCAATGAAGTACTACTGATGCCTTCCTTTTGCCACTATGTTAACAAGAGCTTTTTTCAAGAGAAACTATATGTGACTTGTGATACTTGTTTCTTGTTGCAGATTCCGGTGAACAAAGTTCAAACTTATGGTGATTTGCGTAATGTTTTGATGAAAAGGATTTTTCTATCTGCACTTCATTTTAGGATTAACACAAGATACAAGGTCTGTTCGGCTAGTGGCTTCTGCCTTTTTTATATAATTATTTGGCTGGATTTTGTGTTTGTCGCCTTTTTTAACTGACCGACATGATTTCCAGAGTTCAAATCCGCCGTTTACTTCAATAGAACTGGATCACAGTGATTCTGGAAGGGAAGGTTGTACTGTTACAACTCTAACAGTTACCGCAGAACCCAAGAATTGGCAAAGTGCAATAAGAGTTGCTGTCCAAGAGGTTTGCAGTCGTTATTTCCCCTGTTTTCCTTTCCATAGGTGGCTTAACTCGTTAGATTGCTAATATGATGGTTTTATTGTATATGATACAATATCTGCATTGGTAATTTATGCTTTTCATTTGGAAGTGTCGGCGTGCCGAGTTCCTTGTGAGACTAGTGCATCTGTTTTCTGCTTCTGTTTCCTGAATATTATCTTCTAGAACCGTGTTCTATTAATGTGTTGCTATGGACTTCTTAGTGACATGCTCAACCTTTTATTTCGATGCAGGTCCGAAGGCTGAAAGAGTTTGGCGTTACCAAAGGTGAATTAACTCGCTACATGGATGCCCTTCTGAAGGACAGTGAACATCTAGCTGCCATGATAGATAACGTGTCATCAGTTGATAATTTGGAGTTCATTATGGAGAGTGATGCTCTGGGGCACACTGTAATGGACCAGAAACAAGGCCATGCAAGTTTGGTTGCTGTTGCTGGGACCGTTACTCTTGAAGAAGTAATTTACATGAACCATCTTATGCCAACAATAATGCATGTGACTTTACTCTTGACAATGATTTTGTCCATGACATGACAATTGCAGTTTGTTAATTAATAAAGCATATTGAATTATTGATCATTTAGGGGATACAAGAATCATGAATGCTTAGTTGCTGACTTATGGGAATCTGGCATCTTCCATCTAGTCATTATAAGAACTTATATGGATAGTCTTCATCATACATATCAATTATCATCTGCTGTTATCAACATTTCTTTTGTCATGTAGCTTCTGGATCAGATCTATTGCTTATACTGTTAAGTGGTCTTTTCATCGGGTTGCTTGCTATTATAAATTAGTAACCCTCTACTTTGTTGGTCCTGTAGGTTAATGCTGTTGGCGCTGAGGTACTGGAATTTATTTCTGATCACGGAAAGCCTAGTGCACCTGTTCCTGCAGCTATTGTTGCATGTGTACCTAAGAAAGTGCACATTGAAGGAGTGGGGGAAACTGAGTTCAAGATATCTCCTGTTGAAATTACAGAAGCCATAAAGTTTGGGTTGGAGCAACCCATAGAGGCTGAACCAGAGGTACTCTTTCTTTTAACTCTCTCTCCATGTAACAGATCAAATGTTAGCACAATAACTCTAAACTGCCCATAGTGTTCAGCACGTGATCCTTAGAAGTCACAACTTTCTTTATTGAAAGATAGCTACCTGCATTGAAAGATTGCTTCCTGCTGATATGAGTTGTCAAACATTGGCCATCAAGATCCACTTGAGCCCTTTATAATATCAAACTCTCCCATGGACAATATTATGATGGTCGATTTGAGGCCATTAATTGTCCATAACGAAAATTTCGGAATAAATACTTGTCTATGCAGCTTGAAGTACCGAAGGAGCTGATATCTTCATCACAGTTAGAGGAGCTGAGATTACAACGCAGTCCTTCCTTCATTCCTTTAGATCCAAAACTAAATGTCACCAAATTGCATGACCCTGAAACAGGGATCACTCAGTGCCGCCTGTCAAATGGAATGGCTGTCAACTACAAGGTACTTGTTTTAGTCTATTTGGTTTTTTCAAGTCAGCTCAAAACATAAGAACTTCACGGGACCAGTTTCCTTATCATTCCTGTTTGATGTGTTTGCGGTTCTAAATATATGTCTGCGCAGAGTAATGTTCCAGGCATTTAGTTATCTAAATCTAAGCTGACAAATTCTTTGTTCAAAATGTTATACAGATCTCCAAATCTGAATCTCGTGGCGGTGTAATGCGACTTATTGTTGGTGGAGGGCGAGCAGAAGAAGGTTTGGATTCAAAAGGATCTGTGATCGTCGGTGTTCGAACTCTTAGTGAGGGAGGTCGTGTTGGAAACTACTCAAGAGAACAAGTAGGTGAACTATATTACGATTATTTCTTTCAGTCTATCCTTCACAACCCTTTCCACTCAAAACGATCGTATATACTTCATTAGTATGAGTTATTCCATATACTAGCTGTTTTAGTCCTCTGTTATTTAAATATCTGTAATACAGAAATGAAATGTCAAATCATATTCCAGAATGACTTAGGAAAATGCATGTTTGAGTGTTATGGCTCTGTTTCCCCATTCCTGTCAGAAACTGTGTCAGAAAGTAGACCAGGTACCCTCTGGTGAGTTATAATCTGATGCAGGAAGATTTATCTTTCGTTTAAACTCTGAGGGGTCCATGTGGCAAGAATCCTTGTTATTAGGAAGTTAGAAGATCCTAAAACAATCTTTTGCCACACATGCATTGAATTTATCATTTTCCAATTGTCCATAAACATATGAAATGTGAGAGCATAAGGAAAATAGCTTTGGATGACCCTGTATCGTAGTTTCACTATGTACAGCTTTTTCAAGCAAGAATTTATGAAAGCATATAGGTGCTGGATTATATAGTTCATCGACTTGTATGTGGAACATTTTATTTCTGGAGGTATCTGCTTGTCACATGGAATCTAAGTTGTAGTGGTTAAACTTGCTGCCAGAGTGCTTGTTGTAAGTATTAACCATTTTGGGTTGCAAGCTTCGTTTCTGAATAATTTGTTATTTTTTATGTCAATGTGTTAAATCATTGACCGCAAGCACTTTCTTGTTCATCACTTGTTGAAGTCTAGGGATCAGACTTGCCTTTTCAGCTTGTGCTTCTCCGCAGGGTTTTCCTCCATATTATAGCTTAATTGGATGCCTTACTCATATTTGCTGCAACAGGTAGAACTTTTTTGTGTGAATCACCTAATAAACTGCTCTCTGGAGTCGACTGAAGAGTTCATTTGTATGGAGTTCCGGTTTACACTACGAGACAATGGGATGCGAGCAGCTTTTGAGTTACTTCACATGGTGCTTGAGGTGTGCCTGCCATTTCCCGCTGCCTCTATGTCTTAGCATTTATTCTAATTTCTTTTTCTTGATGGTTCCTGGATTGCTATATGATTTTATTGGATTTACTGCTCTGATTGGATTCTACATAACTGACCTGCGTTTTCTCAATTTCTCATTTTTATTGTTGAACTGCAGCATAGTGTTTGGTTGGATGATGCCTTTGATAGAGCAAGGCAATTGTATCTGTCCTACTACCGGTCAATTCCCAAAAGCTTGGAACGGGCAACCGCTCACAAACTCATGACAGCAATGTTAAACGGGGATGAGAGATTTATTGAACCATCACCACAATCACTACAGAATTTGAATTTGGATTCTGTGAAAGATGCTGTGATGAATCAGTTTGTTGGCGATAACATGGAGGTGGGTGGTTAACTTTGCCTTTTCTCATTGGTTACTTGTAGATGCATTCAGTTCTTTGAATTTATGCCCTTGTTATCTTTCAGGTAAGTATTGTGGGAGATTTTACCGAGGAGGAGATTGAATCTTCCATTATTGATTTCCTGGGGACAGTTAGAGTAACGGGGAGTTCTAGCAGTCAGAAACAAACTACTCCAGTCTTGTTTCGACCCTCGGCTTCCAACCTGCAGTCGCAACAAGTGAGAACTGAAATTTGTTTGGTTAAGTTTGTGTATGCTGATAGTGTAGTTTGTGTCTTGTGTTTCTAATTCTTTGGAGCACAATGTTTATGTTTTCCTCTAGCTGTTTGTTGTTGGCTGATGATGGCCCCTGCTACTCTTTATCATATTTTAATCCATTTCAAGATGTATTAGAGTGGGTCTTGCATTTATATATTGGTGAAAGTAGGTATCATGAGTTGTTTCAACTCTGGTGCGAATGAGAAAAAGCATCTTATGCAAGTTAACCTATTTGGAGGAGGGTTTGTATTAAAATTGGGTCCAAGCCTCAAGAAGTTTTGAGAGTGGCGTCCACAATTTGATTGTACTTTTAGTCTCCTTACATTTTAAAATGGACCCTGTATGCTGGAGAGCCATTATCTGATGTTCTTTATTTGAGGTCTGTGTTGGCATCTGACTAGATTTTAAGTGCTACTGCTTGTTATGGGGTTTTAACGACATTAACCAGCCTTGACTACTTTCTGATCGTGTCAGATGCTAGCTTGAGATTTGAATTTCATTACCAGCAGCTAGAAAGTGGAGAAGCTTGGTTTGGCTTGTCTTTAAGATTAACACACTTCCTACATATGACCAAGAAATATTTCATACTGAAACAGGTGTTCCTGAAGGATACAGATGAGAGGGCTTGCGCATATATTGCCGGTCCTGCGCCAAACCGTTGGGGTCTAACTGTAGATGGAGAAGACCTGTTTCAGTCAATCAATGATACAAGCGTCTCATCAGGTCAGTTTCTGCCTGTTCTCCATGTGATGTTAGTAGGCATTTATGGTTTTCTAATCACTTCTTTATCGGAAAAGTATGAAGAATTTTCCAAATTATATATGCTAGAATAATTAAGGAGCAACGTACTTTGTTGGGATGATGAAGCATCGAGTATCTAACTCAACAAAGTGACTGTTATCCTTTTTTTTTTTTCATGTAGTGAATGCTGGCCCAAGTTTTAATGAAATGTGTGTTGAATGTCTCCATCTACCGTTTGTCACAATTCATTGTCGAACCACACATGTTCCTTGTCTCCTTGGCATTTCTTGTCTTGGCTGGTGGCTAATTTGGTTGTGTAAAGTATATATACTTGTCAGAATTGTTTCTCATAGCCGGTTCGTGACAATGTATTATATTATTGTAGAGGAACAATCTACGGAAGGGAAGGATGCCCATAAGGAATTACAAATGAAACTACGCAGCCACCCCTTATTTTTCGGCATAACAATGGGCCTGCTGGCTGAGATTATAAATTCAAGGTAATTGATGCTGATATTGCACTTGTTGCTCTTCTCCTATTTTTTTTGTGGTGGTTGGTAATTTGCTTTTTATTTTCTTGTTTAGCTGGCGTTTTCAGTAAAATCGTGTATTACAGTATTAGGCATACCTCTACAGACACATGATCTAGTTAAGATCTGATTAACATAGGGAATCTGAATATTGGTGCTCTGAACTATCAGACATGATTTTGCTTCTATTGAGCGCTACTTCTTGCTGTTCCTTCCTGAAGGCTTGCTGCTGCCTGTTCTTGAGGGAGCATTGTTTTGTTTGTGGACTTTCTAGTCATGGCAGCCTGGGTCTTTTGGTGTAATCGGTTTGTTGGTCTGCGTTTTTTGAGGGTTTTCTGGGTAGTGTAGTGTTGCCTTTGAATCCCTCTGTTTCTTTGGTCTTACTTTTTTTTTCTTCTTTTTGTCTCTTCTACTTTCTTTGCAATATAATATAATGAGGTCACCTTCATCCAAAAAAAAAAAAAACTATCCTACAATAATTGCGGACTTCATTTAAGAGCACAAATTTCTCATGTTTGAGAAATTGACTAATGTTTCAAAACGAACAAGATCACATCTTTGCTAACTGATGCAGATAAAAGAAATATTAACTGTTCAAATTAACTGTTGAAAACAATGTTGGATTTACTCTGTGGCAGGCTATTTACCACAGTTCGGGACTCCCTGGGACTGACGTATGACGTTTCATTCGAGTTGAGCCTATTTGATAGGCTTAACCTCGGTTGGTACGTGGTATCTGTCACTTCAACTCCAAGCAAGGTGGGTTCTTGGTTTCTAAAACTTTCCTGTGAGATGCTGTATATTGTTCTGATGTTCTCCAAATGATTTATCAGCTTGATTTCATTAACAAACCAGGTACACAAAGCTGTTGAAGCGTGCAAAAGCGTTCTCAGAGGATTGCACAGCAACAAAATAGCTCCGAGGGAGTTGGAGAGGGTTGGTCTTCATTTATCAGGGTTCTTACTTCAGTTGGTAGTTTTTGTTGAAGGTAGGGTTTGATGGAAACTATTTGGTGGTTTTGGCAGGCGAAGCGCACCCTCCTTATGAGACATGAAGCCGAGATAAAGTCCAATGCCTACTGGCTAGGATTGATGGCCCATTTGCAAGCTTCTTCAGTCCCTAGGAAGGTAAGACCGACGATCTCGAATTGCGGCTAATCCAGATCAAGCCATCGCTTATTACTATTTAGTGCGTGGTTCAGTTATTACTAAAGAAAACGTGTTTGGCGATGCCATGAATAACACTCTGCTTCTGTTCGCTTTGCCTTCAGGATATTTCATGCATCAAAGATCTCATTTGGCTCTACGAAGCTGCAACCATTGGAGACGTATATCTTGCCTACGAGCAGTTGAAAGTGGACGAAGATTCTCTATATTCCTGCATCGGGGTTGCTGGCGCTCAGGCTGGGGAGGATGTGACCGGTACGCACCTATGCTAGATTTCGAGATTTCGTTGATTATTTTTGTGGGTGTATTTCTTTCATCTGTGAGGCTTTTCAACGAGATTTCGTTGATTATTTTTCTGCAGCTTCTTTGGTAGAGGAGGGAGAAACGGAAGATGATGGATTCGGGGTACCAATGCCAGCAGGAGGACGCGGTTTAACTACAATGACACGGCCAACTACTTGACCTACCTGTGTAGGACCGAATACGTGGGTTGCTTCCGTCGTCCTCAGGACAAAGACTCTGGCTGCAGCTGTTGCTACTGGTTCAAACTGCTGCCACTCGATCTACGCCATTCATATACGCCCCCATCGTCAGCGCTCTGATTGCTTGACCTTCACGTTTATGGCTGGAGATCCACACAACCATTACCAGCATCATTTCTCGTTGGGAGAAATTCATTCATAGGGTAAAAGAATTTTTGTGATTAGCATTGTAAACGTAAAGAATACTTGTTCTACCATTTTTGGGTGTATAATGAATAATGACTGCAATGGTCATGTTTCTTACAATAATAGTAATAGAAAGTAGAAATGTAAAGTTCTCAATTTTTTAGTTTGGAAACTGAAAAATTGGTATAGTTTGGCTGGTAAGCCCTTTGAGATTGTACTTCTCTGCCTCTGGGTGCAAACCTAGTGACGGATTCACCCTACTCTTTGCTGGAAGCCTATGAAGAGCTCCCGGCGAGTAAAGCAGATTTCGAAGTGATCTTCGTTGCTTCGGACAAAGACGATGAATCTTTTGACGAATGCTTTTCCATAGCATTGTTTGTTGTTTTGTTTCCAGACTCGGATACTCGTGCTAGTCACAACACATGTTAAATTCTATCATTTCTCTGCAATGTAGTCGTAGTTGTAATTTTTAGTTTTTGAAGCTCTCACTAAATTTCAGTAGGAATAGACTAATTTAACTTAGTTTTATCAACCATCAAAATCATCAAACACCCTCGTTCGAAATCTGTGTAGAGAGATGTAAACCGTGTTTAGAATTGCTGATCGAAGAAGTTACAATCAATCGTTAATATCAGTACAAAAATTTCTTCGCCGGAAAATACCCATATCTCCTAATTGTATCAGCTATTCAGCTTTGTCCTTGTTGTGAAATTTAGTAATACAAGCAACTGAATCAACAGAAAAATCAGAGTATAAGAAATACAATAGAGAGTCGACAGAGGACCCAACCTCATCATATATGACTATATGAGACAAGGAGCCATTTGTCAAACAAACATATACCACCACCAACAGAGGCAGAGGAAACCCCCAAAAACTAAAACAGACAACCAACACTACACAAAAGAACAAACAGAAGTTGCAAACCAAACTCTACAACAAAGTCGATACGATGATTACATTAAAATCGTAATTCGAAAATGATATATATAAGAAAACCCACCTATCCTCGTACATGTTGCCGTCCCTGCATTCAGCAATAAACAGATAAGCCCAGAATTATATATATGTATATAAAATATGAAGATTCTCTGTTACTTGTTTTCTCACATAAAAATCAACTATACTCCAAATAAAATACTACATGGAAAAAAGAAAAACCTTATAAATATTATACAGATGATGATGGGAGAGATCGACGGCCGGCTAATGGGTGTCCAGCCCCTCTGGCACAGCTCTCTGAATATGAGGAAGCCTTCATCTTATGTCTGTTAGTTGAGCTAATCATATGTTGGTTATGGTTATGATAATGCTTTAAGTTTGTTAATTAATAACATTGTTAGTCATGGTCAATATTCTCATGTGTATATGTAAAGGAGACATGTATATATTCATCGGCGTTAAAGTTCTATGTGGTCCGGTCCGAGCGACAGTGCGATCCGGTGCGGAACATGTTGTGGCACAGCGGAAATATGGTAAGATCGATGGATCGAAAATAGATAAAAAAATTTCACTCTAATATCTCACACAACTAGGCAATTGTTGCCTTTTACATTAGAGCTGCTGCTCTTGATTGTTATGCTTCTACCCTCACAAACACTCAGCCCACATTTTCCCCATACATGGATTAGGCAAGTTTGTTGTCTTAACCCTTTGAGAGGAGCTTATGCTCTCTAGCTCTCTCTACTATGTGCCTCAAATGAGGTATCCATATTTATACACTCCCAGAGCCTACTTCCGTTGGGAAATATAATGATTCTTTTGGTGTTGTGTTTGGTTTATCATGTGGTTTGGGTTTCTTCAAGTTTGCTGCCGGTGGTTGCTTCATTATTAGCTTTGTAAGTGTAGTTTATGGCTAGTTTTATTTCTATTATTTTAGCTTCAATAAATGTAGGTAGTTAGGAGATGAGAGCTTCCTTGCAATTTGCTTCTCGTGGGCCTCTTCTAGAGAGGTGTGGATAGATACGGAGTAGGGTTGACTTTTTGGTTTTATTCGAAACCGGACCATATAACCTGGACCTGGACCGAGACCGGACCGGGATCGGATAGCAAACAATCCAATCCAATCTTCGGGCCTCGATTTGAGATAAAAAACCGTTTGTGACCGGACCGAAAACCGGATAAAGACCGGATAAAAGAGCCCAACACCCAAAATTTAACATCCTCACCCTTTTAGGCCTTATGCCACTCAAATCTCCCCCCAGGCCACTCAAATCCCCACAAGCTAAATTTAAAATCAAGACCGAATTGGGACCGGACCGGTTCAAGACCAGATCGGATCAAGACCGGACTGTATCCAATCCAATCTTTGGTCCTTATATTCTCGAAGAGACCGGATCGAAACCGAATCAATTCTGGCCAATTTAACCGAACCTGACTGTATAGCCACCCTATATGAAGAATTGTGGATTATGATTTTTGACAGAACAACCGTTGCACAGTGCACACCCCTATAAAACGACAACAAAAAGGCAATGTGAAGAGATAGAAAATCCACCACTCCTATATCTTGAACGAGAAGAAAAGCTCCTCCTCCCCACTCAGATCAGCAATGGGAACCGATCCCTGGCTATTCCTTGTACTGATCTCCCTCTCCCTAGCAGCCATCTTCCACAAACTCCAATCCGGCAGAGTTTTCAAATCGCCGGCGGCCAATCTCCCGCCGGGACCCCGCGTCCTCCCCATCGTCGGCAGCTTCCGGTGGCTGCGGTTGCTAATATCCCCACTCGAACTCCGCGCCGCCGTCCGCTCCCTCCACGCAAAACTGGGCCCAGCCTTCACCCTCCACTTGGGCCCGCGGCCCATGGTCATCATCGCCGACCGCGTCCTGGCCCACCAGGTCCTAGTCCAGCAAGGGGCCGTTTTCTCCGACCGGCCCAATTCCCCACTGGTTCGCCGCATCGTGACTTGTAACAGTCGCACCATCACCTCTTCACACTACGGGCCCACGTGGCGCACTCTCCGCCGCAACCTCACGTCCCAAATCCTCCAATCTTCGCGCGTGAAGTCATACTCCGTAGCCCGACGCCAGGCCCTCCTCCTCCTCCTCACCCGCCTCGCCGACCGCGCGTCCCGGCCACGACCCGTGGCCGGGCTCTTCCGATCGGCGATGTTCCGCTTGCTCGGCTCCATGTGCTTCGGCTCGGTCCACGACGACAAGCAGATCGACGAGATTGGGCTGGCCATGCGCCGGCTGCTTGCATACGTGATGAGCCCGTTCAATATCCTCAACTTCTGCCCGGCCCGATTCAGCAAGATCTTATTCCCGGCCCAATGGGCCGAGCTGGAGTCGGTTCTCCGGCAGCGGAGGGACGCGCTGCTCCCTCTGATACAGGCCAGGAAGTCGTCGGGCTGCGGCGGCGGCCGCGATTTGGCCTACGTCGACACTCTGTTCGATCTGGATCTCGTAGAAGGGGGAAATGGCGAAGAGAGGAAGCTGGGAGAGGAGGAAATCGTGAGCCTGTGCAGCGAATTTCTGATGGCCGGTACGGACACGACGACGACGGCGCTGGAATGGATCTTGGCGAACGTAATTGACCGTCCCGACGTGCAGCGGAAGTTGATTGACGAGATGAGGGAGGTGATTGGGGAGGGCGGCGGGATTGTCGAGGAAGGGGATCTGGAGAAGCTGCCGTACTTGCAGGCGACGGTGCTGGAAGGGCTCCGACGGCACCCGCAGGGTGCGATTCTGCTGCCGCACGCGGTGGCGGAGGAGGCGGCGGTCGTTGGTGGGGGAAGAATTCATGGGTTCTCGGTGCCGAAGAAGGGGATGGTGACCGTTCTGATGGCGGAGATCGGGTGGGATCCGGAGGTGTGGGAGGATCCGATGTCGTTTCGGCCGGAGAGGTTTTTGGGCCGACGTGGATTCGACATCACGGGGAGGAAGGGGATCGAGATGGTGCCGTTTGGCGCTGGGAGAAGGATGTGTCCTGGCTATGCTCTGGCGCTGCTTCATCTGGAGTACTTTTTGGCCAATTTGATTTGGAGGTTCGAGTGGACGGCGGCGACGGGTGGAGGAATTGATATGTCGGAGAAGGAAGATGTTAGCATTGTTATGACGTATCCATTACAGGCCTATTATTGCCCCAAAGTCGCTTCTGGGTATGAGTTGGATCGACAATTACGAACTAATAGTAGTTTAGATACGAGTTTAGAAGAACTTCGAATTAACAATATGTGTTATATTAGTCCTAGGTTTAATCATTCATTATAGAATGTATTTTTCATTGATTTGGTTATCAATATGGTCTTAGTTTCCCGTTTTGGTTTGTTTCGTGATAAAAAAAAACAATGAAGGATAATCGTTTGCATTATTTGTATTGTTCTTTGTATCGTGTTTCATCTGAAATAGCATTAGTGTCCGAAAATGTTAGATAGAAGAAAATAGATATGAATCTAACAAACTTAGTTTTCATAATAAATGTCAGAAGTTTGTAGATCCCATTAAATATACTAGTCGACATAAAAAAAAATGTATAAAGTCTCACTTTATATAGCAACGCAATTAAAAGTAACATATACAAGAACCTACAATATGAATCTTAGTACATAAGATCAAATAACTATTTTGACAAGCCTATATCAAACTAAATATAGCCTATGTTTGGCCCCAGGGGCGGAGCTACATTGTAGCTAGGGTGGGCCCCGGCCCCCCCGGGATTGATCCCGGCCCCTAGGTTTTTAAAGATATTTCGTACAAATTTTAGAAGTAGAACATGTTCTGTAAATTATATGATCAAATAGTTATGTGGTCTAATGGTAGCCAAGCTTAACTTGTATATTATAGCACATGGGTTCGATCCACATTGGTTACATAATTTTTTTTAATTATTTTCGGCCCCCCCGGTCTCGAAATCCTGGCTCCGCCCCTGTTTGGCCCGGCTTTTAGAAGTGCTTTTCGGCTTCAAAAGCTTAAGCAGGGCCAAACACCTCTAAAAGCTCGGCTTTTGAAAAGCCGAAAAGCGCTTTTGTATAACATAAAAGCAGAAGCTCCGATTTGGAGCTTCTGCGAAAAGCTGTTTTGAAAATACAAGATTATCCTTACCATATTTTAATTTTATTTCAGAAAATATAATTTTCCTTCATTTATATCATTTTAAAAATAAAATAAATTATAAAATCATATTATTTAATATAAAAGAAATCTAACAAGATCCATTTTGACTACTTTTTATTGTTTCGAATTTTTATTTATATTTTATATTATAAGTCCTTTATAGTCATTTTACACAACCGCTCATATTAAAAAGCACTTCTAATAGTTTTACAGCCAAACACTAAACTGCTTTTTTTGAAAAGTACTTATCTAAAAGCTCCAGCCAGAAGCTGCTTCTGCAAAAGCTACAGCAGGGCCAAACTAAGCTATAATGTCGTCTGATTTTTTTTGGTTTCAAATTTTATTTTATATTGATCGTAGTTCTCATGGTTTTGATTCGATTCACCGATATTCGGCCTTTAAGCCTCAGCAAGCCGCTAAGAGCCCACTTCATGTAGCCCAGTCATAATTGTTTTCAAGCCCAATGTAGTTACAACTGCAGGCCGCAATATGCCCGGGAGCCCCCGATATCTGAACAGTGAAAAGATTGAGAAGAAAGCCCAAAAGCCCGGCTAAGGAAACCCTAGCTCCCATTTTGAATAAACTCGATCGTCTCTGTCACAAACTCTAAACCGAGCCTTTCACCCGCCGGCAGCCATGGTAGGCATCTGCGTTCCTCTCAAGTCTCTCTCTCTCTGTTTCCCGTTTGCCGTCGTCTCCGCGTCGTAATATACAAATATCCGTTGTGTCTCGTTTTGTTCAGGGTATCGATTTGAAGGCAGGAGGTAAAAGCAAGAAGACGAAGCGCACAGCGCCGAAGTCCAATGATATCTACCTCAAGCTTCTCGTCAAGGTACTGGGATTCTGATATCCATGCATATTTCGTTTCCCTGAAGTTGGAACCATTTCGATTGAACCCTTTTGCCTGATTTCATATGGGTTGATGCTGAATCAGCTGTACCGGTTTCTGGTGAGGAGGACTGGGAGCAGCTTCAATAAAGTGGTATTGAAGAGGCTGTTTATGAGCAAGATCAACAAGCCGCCACTCTCTCTGTCCAGGCTTATCCGCTTCACCAAGGGGAAGGTTTGATCACCTGTCTTTGTGTTTTTTGTTTCTCAGCCTGGAAGTTGGGTTCTTTTTGCTTTGGTGCTGAGATTTCGTGCTGTTTGATTTGGGCAGGAGGACAAAATTGCTGTTATCGTGGGAACAATCACTGATGACATTAGGACCTACGAGGTTCCAGCTTTGAAGGTTACTGCCTTGAGGTTCACTGAGACTGCCAGGGCCAGAATTGAGAAGGCTGGTGGAGAATGCTTGACGTTCGACCAGCTTGCTCTGAGAGCTCCTCTTGGCCAGAACACTGTATGTTTGCTTCTTCCTTTTCTTCAAATTTCGCCTTTTAGTTTATTAGCTACTTCTGCAATAGATTAGTGAAAGGCTGGTTTGAATGGTTGAAAGCCTCTTTATGTTTTGACTGGAAAATGAAAGATTGGTGAATTGTGATGCTCATGTTTATAGTAGTTGGGTATTGCATTAATATGAGATCATTGATGAAACTTTCATCATGCTACAAATCTCCAATGACCAATGCACATCTTAATCGACTGAGTTCATCAATAGTACTCCAATCTTTTGTTCCTGTGATTCTAAGATTCTAATGAGGTCTATATGTTGGATACAACTTCCTTCTCTGATGGTCATAATTGCTAATTACTACTTAGATACACTCTGCCAATGTAAATAGCTACACAGATGTTAAATCCTGAGACGGGTTTTTGTCGTCCGTCTGCAGGTTCTCCTCCGTGGCCCGAAGAACGCTCGCGAGGCAGTGAAGCACTTTGGCCCAGCTCCCGGTGTGCCTCACAGCCATAGCAAGCCGTATGTTAGGTCGAAGGGAAGGAAGTTTGAGAAGGCTAGAGGAAGGAGAAACAGCAGGGGTTTCAGGGTTTAATTTGTGGGGTTTTTTTTTGTCTCGAACATGCGAACATTTCGTGCTGTCTTCTCTATCGGGCGAAATTTTGCTAGAACCCTAGGCAACTATCAAACATCTCTTATGCTCTGTTTAATGCTTGGAAATTGACTCTTTTGTTGTCTGCTGTGAACAACTATGTTTATTTTCCATTTGTGTTGTGAGTTATATCCTGCTTAATCATTTACCATTGCAAGATTTATCTGGCCTCCCACTTTACTTCCATTTGTTATCGCACAACCTGCGGTGGTAACTTAGCTATCAGGTTCATAGTCGAGATCATACGCCATCCAATCACGAACAATGGCCATGTCCTAACTACTGCCTACCACACTACTTGTGCATTCATCGATGGCCTTATTGAGACGGGAAACATACACGAAAGATGATTGACATGGTACACAACGATCAGTACTACTGCAACTGCAACTGCTACACGAAATCAGAAAGCGAAACTTGGGTCGGAGTAAAAATGTGCGCTTGGAACGAATGCGTTCTGCCCTGAACTTCAACACGATCGCCATGTTTCCCGTCGACGGGGAGAAAATGTACACTCCGTCCTTTTCTCCTGCCTCATGAGGCTGAGAGCTCACACTTCCGCGACTCTATCGCGAGCAGATGTACCGATCCTCCTTCCAAACTTGTAAGATCTCCACGATCCACGCGTGTGACGTGAAGGTATACAATCTTGATCCAAGACTCAGCAACTTCCTGTTTCAGCATGCACATACGGAGTAATTTTCGCAATCCCCGCTACAGTCGTGAAACATGGTTTGAAGTGAATCCTTCAGCACAAAACACCCGATCGAAGCCATTCCTTTGCCGCCGGAGGGGAGGAGGTTGGGTTATAAAGGTGGATTCAAATCCTTTCTTCAGTCATGTCGAGCGAAAGAGTAAAGCAAACTCCCGACTCTGCATAAAACCAGTAGCAGTCACGTCTCCTCTGGTTTTGAGAATTATTGTGATTGTCCCGCTGCTGCTGTGGATGAACATAGTTGCCGCCATAGCCAAGGTGCGGGATCAGATCACCATTGATGGTTAGACTCTTCCACGATCCATTCTTTAAGCTATACACCTGAATGACCAATCAAACCCAGTAAACAAAAAGTGCACAACTATGAATGATGAATTACCACTTGTTCATCAAGCAAGAAGGGAAGAAGCAGACAAATCTCATTACCTCCGCATAAGTAATCAATCGTGGTTAAAGGCTCAAGACTGGGATCAATCATCCATCTCTTCCCGCCACGCATCGCCGAAATACAACATTCTAGCTACCTTTTAGTCATTGGTTTGGGGATCGAACCCGAAACCGGTGATCTGCTGATGAGGAAAGAGTTCGCGGTGCGAGATGGCGGCGGAAGCGGGGAGTACTTTGGTCTCTGAGGTGGCCGGATTCCACAGAATGACGCCGATTGTATTCCATGGAGAGACTAATCCATGGAGAGGAGCAACCTCTCACAGAGTCGATTGTATTCCACCGAGAATCATTAGGTTACACATGTTGGCTAACAACATATATATACTAGCCGAACTAATCCTATCTCAAGGCCCAAACGGAATTAACCAATATTACTAACACAAGAATTAATGGCCAAATTACAATTGACTACCCATAATTAATAACACCCTCCCTCAAATTGATGGTGATCATTCCGTTTAGTATTATGGTTGTCATTCTTTTTAGTATATAAAAGCTGGGGTTAATTGCATGGTTGGTCACTGAGATTTCAAAAAAGGCTCATGTTTGGTCACTGAAAATATTTAAATCCAATCTTGGTCACTCAAATTAGTTAAATGGTTCAAGTTTGGTCACTCTCAGTCCAACTCCGTTAAATATGTCTGATGTGGCAGTCAACTCTCAAAGTTGACCGTTAACTCGGTGACGTGCCAATTAAAAAATAATAAATAAAATAAATTTTAATCTTCTACCATTTCCAACTCATTTTCACAATAAAGTAAAATAAAAATAAAAATAAATTATTATAATCACAATTCTTGAAGTGAAGGTACTCAGGAACAGTGAGCTCCTCAACAACCAGAGCATGGAGATTGACCCTAAAGTACTCCCAGACGCCGGGCCTGGGGCGCACCGCCAGAGCAACCCAGGGAGGTAGCACGATCGCTTCCTGTGTGGATCTGAGAACCTCAGCGAACGCGCCTTCCTGGAAAACCTTCTGGTTTTCTTCAGGGATGGCTTCGAATTCCGCAACGATCTGGTGGTGCTGCAGGATCCCTTTTCCCTTTGCCTCAATCCTGCAGTGGAACGAAAACCAGAACCATTATCGACGACGATCGAGGGGGAATGGAAATGCAGGGGGAGCGGGAGTTTACCTGGAGAGCAAAGAGACGAACTCGTTCCGGTTGCCAGCCAAGGCAGTCCAGCAACCTATCAGCAACAAACTCAATGTACTGGCTCATCAAAGCCCCATTCATCCCTACTAGCGCGCACGGCAGGGCATCACAAATAAACTCCCTCTCGATATCCACCGCATCCCTCACTATCCCCTTTACCCACTCCTCACTGGGCTTCACCTTCATCAACCTATACAACAATCAGGCAAAATCACAATGAAGTCCTTCATCTCGCGAGATCAGCTCGTTGGAGAACGTCAATCCATACATCAATCCACGCTTCTTTAGCCAAAATATCGCGCAGAAGCTCCCGGAGAAGAAGATCCCTTCAACGCAGGCAAACACAATCAACCACTCGGCGAACGATTCCCCACCGTCGATCCACTTCAAGGCCCACTGGGCCTTCTTGGCCACACAAGGCACCATCTCGATGGCACGGAAGAGGCGGTTGTTCTCGTCGGAGTCCTTGATGTAGGTCTCGAGAAGGAGGTTGTACATCTCAGAGTGGATGTTTTCGATGGCGATCTGGACCCCGTAGAAGGCCATAGCTCTCCGCTACTTGCACTTCCTTCATGAACCGGTCGACGAGATTGACGAGGACGATTCCGTCGGAGGTGGTTAAGAAGGCGAGGACGTGGGTGATGAAGTGGCGCTCGTCGGGGGAGAGTGCTTCCCAATGGCGGGTGTCCTCAAAGAGGTTGGGTATTGATATTGCGGATTAGAAAAAATTAGGATTATTTATTTCTTTATTTTTAAATAAAAGTGAAAATGAGGTGGAAATGGGGTGGCAATTTTAAAAAATTTAATTTTATTATTTTTAAATTGTCACGTCACACATTTAACGGTCAACTTTTAGAGTTGACTGCCACGTAGGCAAAAGTTAACGGAGTTGGAGGAAGAGTGACCAAACATGAATGGTTTCAGTAAACTAAAGTACCACCAATGGATTTAAATATTTCGGGTGACCGAACTTGAACATTTTTTATAATCTCAGTGACCAACCATGCAATTAACCCATAAAAGCTGGCTATGCTTTTTCAGTTACTGTTTCACTCTGTCTTTTAGTGCTATCTGTGAAAGAGTTTCGCCAAAGGGCTAACCCGCCCAAGCCTTTCCTTCGTCGACGCACGTACCCTTACCTTCCCTCTCTCCACTCCAGCGACACCCATGCCTCCCCTTGCAGTGGCGGATCCAGGGGGTGGCCACCCGGGGCCCCGGCCCAGCCCTCCTCTGGATCCATAGTTAGTATAGGCCTTATGAATTTTCCGATTTCAGTTATTACGCCCAATGCTATTTTATAATAAAATTGGATATAATTAGCAAATTGATTCAGATGAACATATTCAAATCACTATTTAACCTAGAAATTCTAGCCCCAGAGGTTTTTCGTAAAAAAAAAACAATGAAACCTATAATTCTAAAGCATAATAGACTAAAAGAAATATGAGTTTTGTTACCTTGAAAATTTACCAGACAACTGATGATATAGGGATGGAGACATAATGCAAATTGATATTGATTTGTCTAGTGTTGACGCTTCTCGTTTCAACAACTACTACAGAGAGAACCTGAGAAAACCTTTTGAACAAAGAAACATGTAAAAACTGATTTGCACAATAAATGAGCGATGAATTTCTTGCCAATTGCTCAAGTATTTTATTTGGGACAGTGTATAGTATTGGTATGGATATGGACTATATTATTGATGCATTTGCTAAATTACGATACCGTCGTGTACAATTTAGATTGTAAAAAGCTATAATCATTAATTTTTTTTATGGTTCTAATTTTCTAATAAAATGCGGCCCAGTGCTCTTCTGTGTTCTGGATCCGCCGCTGACCCCTTGCCAACCGTACTCGCAAAGCTGTGTCCTGCCGTCCTTTCACCGGTTCCCTCACCTTTACCGTACTTAGAGGTCGTCGTTGTTGCTGGCACACGGCACCGCTAACACATCCTCTTCCAAACACGTCGCCGCTCTGAGATCTATGCACAGCTGCCGAAACACGCCATCGACCATAATTTGTACTTGCCTCGCCTTACTCCCATGGATTCAGAGAAAGTTTTCTTCTTTGTTTCCCTCTTTCCGATTTTCAGACCCAGCTCTTCGACCACCCCTCTCTTCCATCGCTACCTCTTCCTCTCACTCCCTCCTCTTCAATCTCATTTTTTTCCTTTTGAGAGCCTTCTTTTTGGTTGTAAGTAGGTCACAAATCATTCTCAGTGAAACTTTGCATTTTCCCCTGTAATTTGAACTCAACGCTAACAAATATTGAGATTTTAGTTCTATTTATGATTTGGGTTCCTCCGATTCTGGTGTCTCATCGATGATTTGAAAATGACGACTCGCCGGTACCTCTTCTTCATCGCCTAAGGTGCATTTTCTGCTCAGAACTGAAAATAAAATGATCGATTACCGTCACTTCCTTTGTGAATTTAATTTGTACTGATTTGCATTCATGCTTTGGATTCTAGCCAGAAACGCAGTACCAGAACATGAAGCGGTTGTATCCAGGGTTCTCGCAACCCTCAGAGATGATAAGATGGACAAGCTAATCTCTGCATATTGCAGCACATATTATACAAGAGACTGCTATTGGGGAGAGCTATGCCTCGGATAAGGTACATTGCGGGTTAGCTTTAATGAATTCCGCCACAGCTAAGCTACGATTCCAACTAACTGGTCGGTGTTCCTATGACGAGTTTTATCTTCTCATTTGGTGTCAACGAGTCTCCATTCTACTCCCTTTGTTCAGCTCTATCTTATTTTCTTCTCATTTGGTGTCTACGAGTCTCCATTCTTCTCCCTGTGTTCAGCACTATTCTTTGGTTGTTGTTCTTCTCTCTTATAAGATGGTGTGGTGGAAATTCTTATGTATAACAACAAAAATCCAGAAAAGGCTTGCTTTTTTGTATCAGATGTATTTTGAACATCTACCTTATACAGTGGTTAGACCATTATACATTTCCACTAATGGGGGTTGAAATACTTATTAGGTTGTCGGACCCTTAGTGAGCAGTGGAATAAGAATTTCTACAGAATGTTCAGACATTAAGGAAGGCTGCTGCAGGAGCCAACGAACTATTTTATACGTATTCATGTTTGTGTAGCTTTTGCGATTGTTTGTTTCTTTAATCATTTAAAAAAAAAATGGTTTTCCCGGTTAGATTTTGATGGAACTGCTGTCATACTGAAAGAAGAGGGTCTACTAGACGCCGGTAATCCTTGCATTTGTTGAACCCTTGATTAAATCTTTGTGCATCCCGTCTTTCTGATTTTCATTTAAAAGCATTTATTGTAGTAAAGAAGAGGGTCTACTATCGCCTTAGTATGTTCGTTGGAAATATGTTGGGATTGTTCTCATCTTGATAGAATTTTATTTGGTACTTGGTATGAAAAAGCTCAGACATTCAACTTTTTGCAGTTTTATGTTACTGAATTTGGTCAACACTACTTGGTTTCTACAAACGGCAAGTTCATATTCCTTCCCACCCGGTTTCGTGTGCTGATTCTAATGGAGCCCTTTGATCATTAACCATTTTACAATGCATCAGAAGGGTCAAGAAACCAACACAAACAGTATTACTTCTATATTGGTCTGGACTCAGGGACTAGAGCATAGGTGAGCATTATTTTTCTTTTTGTCATTTTGATGTCTTCAATTATATGACTTTGAGTTTATACATTATTCAATCTTACTAAGGTCCATCGCGTTGTGAGATTTAAGCATTGTAATGGTTATGGATCTGCAGGAAGGAGCATGTTAAATTTTCTAATTCTGCCTGATTTATTGTAGGGGAAAACTGGATAAAAATGAACTGCTGCTTGATTTTGATCTCAAGTTGGAGTCTTCGTGTATTGTAATAGTGAAATCAGGAAAATGAACAAGGATCTCGCTATCTTGGTACATGGCCCCAAGTAAGTTTATCGTTATTTGCCCTCATGCATCCTTCATTCTTATACATTTAGAAATCAGGTTACAAGCAATAGGGAAATCGTTAGATTTTGAGGTACATATTTCACATCAAGGTACTGACCTTTCAAAAGACGTTTCTGGCATTAGTTGACAATGATATCATGTGATCTATCACAAGGAAATATGTTGAAAATCTTATAGAATTAGTTTTGTAATTCATGCTGAAGTTTCTCCCATTTTGTTCTGCTCTGGTTTCCATAATCAAACATGAATTGACAAGCCATTCAAATTCTCCAGTTTCTTTTGCTCATAATGACTTCTCTTTATAAGGTAATTGTTATCGCCGCCTCAAAGAACCCTCCGTTGAACGGACAATAAAAAGAATGAACGAGGAACATCTTCTGCTGCCGGAATTGCTCTTTCTTGCCTACTACGCCAGGTAGTGCTGAAGTGATATGACATGCTATTCGTTGTGGATGAGGTAATCTGTGCCTTTGCAAGGCCTGGAACAATGTTTCTACGTTGTCCATGTTTTTGCCTCTGTTTCATTCGATTAGTTGTATTACTTACTTGGGGGATGCTCATTTCTGTAAGGTTTTACAGCCAACAAATACCCTCTTTCATCGTGAATGACTAAGGTTTAGTAGCTAAGGGTTTGTGGCTTAACGGGACATTTGCAGTTCATATGCTACATTATGTTGCAGCCTTCTTATTGTTATCAGTTTTAAAAATTAGTACTGGCATGAAGTCTGACTAGGACATATCATCAAGTTTCATTCTTCCAGGTTCTTTGTTATCAGAACCCAAGTGTCTTTACCATCAAGCTCCGATAGTAAGATTTGGTGATTCCTGCTTCCACTACTACTTAAATTCACCTCTGTGTATCTACCTGTTGATGTTGATTTCTGTTACATCTTGCTTTACTTTGAAAGGCCTTGCTTTCATCTCTTTACTGCCTTAAACTGATGAACTCGCAGGTTGGTAAACTGGTAGCAAGTGAGGTCGATGAAAGTGCAAAACCTACTAGAAACTCAGATAGTGCAAATGAACAAGCGGAAGTAACTAAAGGTTAGTAAACTGGCTGTTTCCTTCAAAAAAACTCAACTGGCAGCAAGTAAATTGCTGTATTTATATAGCTTTTGTGATGTAATACATCCAATCTTCATTCCATTTTTGTTTCTGCCTTCTTACTTTAGCATTAATCATTTAATCTGTGTTCCATATCATGGCGTTTTAATCTGTTAAATAAAGGAGACAAAGGTGATGCCATATTCTGGAACCGGTGAGAGGAAAGGCAAAAAGGCAAGAAGAGAGACAGATTCATTTCCTTTGTCGCACCTGATCTCTCTTTCTCAGTGATTTGGCTGCAAATAGATCTCAGATACGTATTGTGTGGAGGGAGGATTTGTTCATGGAGAATTTTATGATGAAGGTATGCTCAATTGGTTTTAAATTCTACTTGCTTGCGTTGATACATGTGGGAGTAGTGGAAAAAGTTCTGAGCTTTGACTTTAATTTTGTTCTTAGGCAACGTAAGAGAGGCGCACTGCAGTAGAAGCTTTGTCATGATCGTTTTTTCTTCTAGACATTGTTTGTAATTGAAAGACTATTGAGTAAGCGACCAGTGTTGCTTTGTTGCCTGTAGGGATGATTTGTGCACAGTTGAGAAGCTTTTAATGTGAAACAATTTGTTTCCAATTTAAATGGATAGGCTATGGATAGGCCTATGACCAATACCTGTTGCTAACCCATGACATGAAGCTCCCAAAGGTCTGCACTTCTATTGACATTTGCCAGTGCCCCAAAAGAGCACAACAAGAGCAAGAGACTCACAAACACGACCATAATCTCAGGCTACCATGAGTCACATATCAATATCAGCATCCACATTCAGACTGTTATTCCTCTTCTTTTCTACCACATACAATGGGTAATTTGCATGGCTTGATGACTAAATTCCCTGCGGCGTAGCCGCGGGTATTGGTATTAGTTTTATATATAAAGCATAAGTCATATGTGTGGCATGCTTGCAAAAACTGTGTCCGTGATCAGCGCAAACCCCAAGCGTGTGATCCTCGCAACCGCTTTCGCGTCAAAGCAGACAAGTTTAGGAAGCTAGTAAACGGAACAGGGCCAGGCTGAGGGTGACGTGACGGAGGCGGAGGTTTGTCTATGTTGCTGATGTTGTGGTGGGTTACGTTTACGTTGTCGATGGGCATGAGGTTTGAGCGGAGAAGAAGAGGTCAGATGAGAAGAAGATACGGGCGGGGAGACAATAATAATTTTTAGGTTTAAACGGAATCGGACAGTATTCAATCCTGTCGCTGTTGAAACTGGATACCATCCAATTCTATTTTCGGTTGTTGTTTTGACAAAAAATATATATCATTAGCAAAATTGGGTTAAACATGGATCGGACAGTTTTTCATCCCTACAAATAACTAGCTTTCACCCGACCTGTTGGTCGGATATAAAAATGTCATTTTATTTTAATTCATTAGCTTATTCATAATTTCAAATAGTTGTGTTCTTCTAAATAGTTTATTTATGAGTTGAAAGTAATATTTGTTTTTATTTGTTGATCATGATATAAGTGGTAATTAATTAACATGTGTGTTTATTGGGATGCTATATTGAGGGAAATGTGCTCAAATGGAGGACATTGAGACATTTGCTTCCATTATGGTATCAAATGTCAATTAAAAACAACCGATCGGGTTGCGGATTAATCGAGTTACTGACCAGTTGGACTATGAGTCAGTCAAGGTTACGGGTTAATCGGATTACAGGTCAGTTGGGTTACGATTTATTGACTTTTAATTAAATCAAATTGCAGACAAATTATGAGTTGGATTGATCGGGTTGTAGATGTCGATAGATAGATTCCTCAGACGCTAGCGAGATCCTTTGTTCCTTCCTAGCAATTCCATCCCTAATTCCCTAACTATCTTCTGCCCGCTAGTCGCTAATAAGCTGCTCCAATGGCCGGAATCAGCAGCGGCGGCGGCGTTTCCCTGACGGAGGATTTAATGGAGAGCATCCTCCAAAGGCTGCCAACCGCTTCCTGTATCGCTAGATTCCGCTGCGTTTGCAGATCCTGGCGTGTTCTCCTCTCAGATCCCCAATTCATTCTCAAGATCCTCTTCTTCCCCAATAATTCCGACGACGAAGAATCCTCCCTCCAGATCCTAATCACCGGCGGCGGAGAAGCCGCCACGCCTTACGAAATCCGCCGCCACCGTTACTCCTTGCTCTCCTACGACACCCTCCGCCCCGTCTCTGCCCCAAACGCAGAAGGGGATTTGCCCTCCTCCGACCGGCTACCCTGCCCCTCTTTAACTGTCGCCGGGAATTGCGACGGCATATTCTGTATCGTCGACACGGACCCCAACATCGAGGGCGCCCCCGACGTCATTCTGTGGAATCCGGCCACCTCCGAGACCAAATTACTCCCCGCCTCCACCGCCATCCCACGGCGCACCCTCTATCCTCATCAGCAGATCACCGGGTTCGGGTTCGATCCCCAAACCAACGACTACAAGGTCGCCAGAATATTGTATTTCGGCGATGCGTGGCAGGAAGAGATGGATGATCCCAGTCTTGAGCCTTTAACCACGATTACTTATGCGGAGGTAATCAAAAAAATTCTGCTTCTTCTTCTTCTTAATTACTTATGATGACGAAGTGGTAATCATCAATTGATAGTTTTACACTTTTGGGTATTCAGGTTTATAGCTTGAGGAATGGATCATGGAAGAGTCTAACCATCAATGGTGATCTGATCCCGCACCTGGGGTATGGCGGCAACTATGTTCATCCACAGCAGCAGCGGGACAATCGCAATAATTCTCAAACCCAGAGGAGACAACACTGCTACTGGTTTTATGCACTGTCTGGAGTTTGCTTTAGTCTTTCGTTCGACATGACTGAAGAAGTGTTTGAATCCACCTTCATAACCCTCCCTCCTCCCCTCCGCGGCAAAGGAATGGCTTCCATCGGGTGTTTTGTGCTCAAGGATGCACTTCACACCATGTTTCACGATTGTAGCGGGGATTGCGAGAATTACTCCGTATGGTGCATCCTGAAACTGGAAGTTGCCGAGTCTTGGATCAGATTGTATACCTTCACGTCACACGCGTGGATCGTGGCGATCTTACAAGTTTGGAAGGAGGATCGGTACATCTGCTCGCGACAGAGTCGCGGAAGTGCGAGCTCGCAGCCTCATGGGGCAGGAGAAAAGGACGGAGTGTACATTTTCTCCCCATCTACAGGGAAATATGGCGATCTTGTTGAAATTCAGGGCAGAACGCATCCGTTCCAAGCTCACATTTTTACTCCGACACAGGTTTCCCTTTCTGATTTCGGGTAGTAGTTGCAGTAGTACTGATAGTTGGAGCACATTAGATGAATGGCACATTGTGTTCTTTGTATTTCTTCATGTTCTCTAGTCTTTACCTGGGTTTCAACTTTCAAGGAGGTTAGTTCTCTAGAGAAGAGATATAGAAAAAGATAAAAGAGCTTGGTAGTAGATGACCAGAAAATTTAAATTACAAACAAATTAAAAAAATAGTATCTAAAGAACGAATTTGAATTACATGAATTTCAAATGCTAGCAGTTCAAATACATCAATTTCAAATGCATGTATTTCAAATACCTTACATCTGAAATACACCTATCCAAACGCACCCATATATGATTAATCTGTTCTCAAGTGTACTTTTTTTTTTTTTTTTTGCATGGAGCAATAGTCGTTGTTGACTGGGCCAACGGTTCATAAATCATAACCTCTACACGACATGGCCCCAGCTGCTGAACAAAGGCATCGTTCCATGGGGACATTATAGCGTAGCTGCGATCCAACACTACGCAGGGGAAGCGGCCAACTTGAAGCCCAACATCGTGTGCTGGGCTGATCCACATGGAGCCGTTTTCCTGTATGAGATCCGCTACTGCACGGACCTCAATGGACAACAGGCTGCTTGTCCCGTGCCGCATTACCACGTGGCAATCATGTGGCTGGGGACAACATATGTGTATATCGCTAATTAAGTAGTACGTAGCCGCAATACATACATGGGGAAAGATTTCAACTAAATAATACATCAATGTAATGTTTATAATTGAGTTGCATTTTTAATGAAAAGACGGATCTTTTTTTTTTTAATAAGGAGTTGATTGAATAAAAGACTCCACAATGGTGAACAGGTACATGGGCCAGGCCCAAGAAAGGAACAAAATACACAAAGACAAGAGTCCAATAGACAAATCACTCCAAGTAAAGCAAAGTTCAACCAGACTATGGTCTGAACAAGAAACCCTAATCCCATTCCCATATGATATAGACTGGTAATGAGGTGGTATTTTTCATACCGTATGATATGTTGTTATTTAATACCAGTCAATACCATATAGTACAACCAATACTATATGATATAGACCGGTAATAACTGACAAATTTTTTTTGTTCCAAAAATATCAAAGTGGATATTATTTTGAAGAGCACAATTAATCTGATATAACTGTGCAAAAAAAAAAAAAAAACCGAGGTAAAACGAGTGAGAAATCGTCCGTTAAAGATTAAGAAAAGAAAATTAAATGTTTTTCAATAAGAGAGAAAGAACCGCTGACGTGACATATTCTTATTGGATTATGCATGGAGTTACTCGCCTCATAGGGGGCGGATTGCAAGTTTGGTCACTTATATTATCTATTTATAACAAGTTAGCCACCCGATTCACTTTCGCTTCAATTTAGCCACCGATACTGTTCGTTTGTGTCTTCTTTGGTCACTCGCCGTTTAGTTCCGTTAAATCTGTCCTACGTGGCAGTCAACAATTAGGTTTGACTGTTAAAATGCTGATATGGCAACTAAAAAATAAATAATTAATAAATTTAAAATTTGATACTTTTACAAATTAAAACTCACAATTTTCAATCAAAAATATTATTAAAAAAATTAACAGTCCACTTTCTCTGTGGGGTCAGTCTCCCGGCTCCCCAGTTCGCCAATTACCCCATCTCCGTCCCCACCAACCCTTCCTCTACCACGATCCCATCCCAAACCTCCTTCATTCCGCCCAACGCCGCTGTAAACCGAAACTCCTCCGCCAGAGCTTCCTCCGGCACCGCCAATCCCAACTTCTCCTTGATAACCGGCCAGACCTCCCTCCACGCAAAACCCGACCCATTGACCAAATTCAACGCTTGCCCACCCGTCGAGTAAACCCTCTCCTACGTCGCCGCCCAGATCGAGAGAGGCGATGCATGCTTGACGGTCGACAACATATCGACGGATCGAGAGAGACAAAGGCGGGTCTGTAGATCCAGTGGGATGAACTCGCTATTTCGGCAGCGGCGGCGACGAATGAGAAAGGAGAGGCTTGGAGGAGATGAAGTCCGGGTTGGTAGGGATTTTGTTGGGGCGGTGGAGATGGTGCCGACGGGGAGAGAGAAGAGGAGATTTTGGGGCTGGGCGATTGAAATCTCTATCTCTATCTGCATCTTCTTCCCCTATCCATAAGAACACACAAAGAAAAAAGATCCCTAAATTGACGAAAAAATCATGCCTTCCAATAAATTGGAGTGGTTAATAATTAATTTAACCAAGGGAATGAACAAATCCCTTCTCCTTCTTCTTTCCCTTTCTTGCCTGATGGTAGCGCAGTATGGGGGCTTGTTGTTGCAGCGACGATTAGGTGGTGCGGCGGCGACCTAGGGAGAAAACTTCAGCAACGACAGGCGTGGAGCGGGTTGATGGCTGAGAGGCGCGGATCGAAGATAGTAGAGGTACAAGATCGAGGGTAGTAGCGACAACAAAGTGATGCCACGATCGACGACGGTGAAAGTGTGATCTCCGGTACATAGGCTCGGTTGACGCGGCGGAGATGAGGTAGGAGAGGGGGCGGATTTGATGGATGGATTCTCGAGGAGAGTGACCACGAGAATTGTTAGGGGTCGTTTGGAGAACAGGATTCAGGACATGGATTCACTGAATTCGTAGATTTTATAGAAAATTATGTTTTTTTGTTGCTTTCTGTATGGTGGATTCTACCTTTTGAGATTTCAAATCTCTAAAATCTGCGGATATAAAATCTCTCATAATCAGAGAGATTCTATATCTTGATTCATGAGATTTTTTTTCTCCTAATTTTTCTCTTACTTTTATTTATTTATCACATGAAATATATTTATCAACAAAGTTTTTAATATTTATTGAACCACTCTAATTTTTTTTTATTAAGGATACAAATTTTATTTAATATAAAATTAAATTTTTATTTTAATTGAATGCTAACAATCACAGTTACCAAACAATAAACATTTTTTAAAATCTGTTTTCAACAATCTGGAGAGTTAGAATCTTTAGATTGTTGACAATCTGTAGATTTAAACTCATATTCTCCAAACAACCCCTTAATTCTTTTAAATTATATTTTTTTAATTGAAAATTGTGAGGTGTAAAAGTATAAATGTTAATTTTATTAATTAATTAATTTTCAATTCCACGTCAGCATTTTAACGGTCAAACTTAACCATTGACCACCACATAACACAGATTTAACGGAAGTAGATGGTGAGTGACCAAAGATTGTATAAATGGTAGTATCGATGGCTAAATTAAAGCGAAAATAATTTGGGTGGCTACTTGTTACAAATAGATAATATAAGTGACCAAACTTGCAATTCACCCCGCCTCATAGTATATTCTAGTCTCTAGACCCCTTTCTTTCTCTATTCCTCGCAAGTCGCACAATCCATATCTATCTTCTGCTCGCTAACAAGCTGCAGCTGCAATGGCCGGAATCATCGGCGGCGGCGGCGTTTCCCTGACGGAGGATTTAATGGAGAGCATCCTTCTAAGACTGCCAACCGCTTCCAGTATCGCTAGATTCCGCTGCGTTTGCAGATCCTGGCGTGTTCTCCTCTCAGATCCCCAATTCATTCTCAAGATCCTCTTCTTCCCCAATAATTCCGACGACGAAGAATCCTCCCTCCAGATCCTAATCACCGCCGGCGGAGACGCCGCCACGCCATACGAAATCCGCCGCCACCCTTACTCTTTGCTCTCGTACGACACCCTCCTCCCCATCTCTGCCCCAAACGCAGAAGGGGATTTGCCCTCCGACCGGCTACCCTGCCACTCTGCAATCGTCGCCGGGTGTTGCGATGGCATATTCTGTATCGTCGAGTTCGACCCCTATTTGAAGGGCGCCCCCGGCGTCATTCTGTGGAATCCGGCCACCTCAGAGACCAAAGTACTCCCCGCTTCCACCGCCATCCCGCACCGCGAGCTCTTTCCTCATCAGCAGATCACCGGTTTCGGGTTCGATCCCCAAACCAATGACTACAAGGTCGCTAGAATATTGTATTTCGGCGATGCGTGGCGGGAAGAGATGGATGATCGCAGTCTTGAGCGTTTAACCACGATTACTTATGCGGAGGTAATGAGATTTGTCTGCTTCTTCCCTTTCTTGCTTGTGATGAACAAGTGGTAATTCATCTTTCATAGTTGTACACTTTTTGTTTCCTGGTCTGATTGGTCATTCTCATTCAGGTGTATAGCTTAAAGAATGGATCGTGGAAGAGTCTAACCATCAATGATGATCTGATCCCGCACCTTGGCTATGGCGGCAACTATGTTCATCCACAGCAGCAGCGGGACAATCGCAATAATTCTCAAAACCAGAGGAGACAACACTGCTACTGGTTTTATGCACTGTTTGGAGTTTGCTTTAGTCTTTCCTTCGACATGACTGAAGAAGTGTTTGAATCCACCTTCATAACCCTCCCTCCTCCCCTCCGTGGCCGTATGGCTTCGATCGGGTGTTTTATGCTCAAGGATTCACTTCACACCATGTTTCACGATTCTAGCGGGGATTGCGAGAATTACTCCGTATGGTGCTTGCTGAAACAGGAAGTTGCCGAGTCTTGGATAAGATTGTATACCTTCACGTCACACGCGTGGATCGTGGAGATCTTACAAGTTTGGAAGGAGGATCGGTACATCTGCTCGCGACAGAGTCGCGGAAGTGTGAGCTCGCAGCCTCACGAAGCTGGAGAAAAGGATGGAGTGTACATTTTCTCCCCTTCGACGGGGAAACATGGCGATTGTGTTCAAGTTCAAGGCAGAACTCATCCGTTCCTAGCTCACATTTTTACTCCGACCCAGGTTTCCCTTTCTGATTTCGAGTAGTAGTACTGATAGTTGGAGCACATTAGATGAATGGAACATTGTATCTTTTGTTTTTCTTCATGTTCTTGATCTGAGTTTCAAGGAGGTTAGTTCTGCAGAGAAGAGATATAGAAAAAGATAAAGAGCTTGGTAGATGGAACTTAAACTCTCTCTCTTTCTTGGATTCAAAGAACTTGGGGTTCGTTTGGTAGCTTCGTTTCACTCGTTCTCCAGAAATCCTAGAGGTTATTTGACGATAAAACTATTGATGTTGGTTTATATATGATGATTTGACTTCTCTTATCTTTATACTGGATTTTTATGATGGGTTTATTTTCAATTTGATTGCAGTGTGTAAGATGAGGACTATCTTCAATAGATATTGTTAGTGAAATGCAAAATTTGTCTAGTATATTATTGATCTTGAAAATAATATACAACATGAGATGATATCGTTCTGCCTATTTCTAAGGAAGTGAGAGTAACCAATCAGCTAGAACTAAGGAACATAATACAAACATAATACATAATAGGTTGACTATGTCAATACACTCTATCACGCTCCCACAAGTGAAATCTCAGAGAGATGAAACTTGCAAGATAATTGTTGAAAGGAGAGTCGAGCCAATGATTTGGTGTGGACGTCTGCAAGTTGTTCTGGTTCTGGTAGGTAATGAACTCAAAGTTGCTTCTTGACAATCCCTCGTCACTGGAAGAGTCTATGGCATCAAGGTCGGTCACTGATATTTTGGCGACTTGAGTGGCCTTCATCTCCAATGAGACGATGTCCTATTGGAAAAGGAGGGTAGACGAGCTTGGTATGGTTCCGGTACTTGCTAAACTTAACCAGCGATCTGAAAAGAACATTGCCACCGTG